TTGGTTTTGTGAAGACGCGGACACGCTTATATACTTTGCTCACATATAAATCATGTTGAAGAAAAGGGAGGACCGTCTTATATTTTCATTTCTTCGTCTCATGCTGATGTTAACTTTTCGAATCCTCTTCACATAACCTCAAGGACTGGACAAGAGGGTACAACTCCCCAGGCGTTTATCCGTTAGGTGATCCACGCTTCTTATCCTCTATCGACTCTCCTCCTTCCCTCTCCTTCCTCCGCTGCGCAACATCCCAATTGTACACACGCGCGAACGCAACTTCAAGCGTCTGCAAAACCTCATTAGCCACTTACAAACCCCCCCAAAATAATAACTTCAAAAGAATCAACCCAAAGTAAAGAGAGAAGACATACCGTGATCTGTTCGCGCAAGAAATCCAAATCCTCCTCACAAGTACTCAAGCTGTGTCTTGCTGTGGCCAACTTCGATTGCAGCAGCTCCTCCGCCTCGGGTATGGGGTACGCGAGCATAACGTTTGCACCAAGCCAGAGGTACACTTCGTCTGTAGGTGGGACCTCTGCTTTCGCATAGAGCGTATCATTCAATTCGAACGTTGTCTCCAGCGGTTCAGAGTCGTCCTTTCGCGACTTGAGGAAGCGGACTGTTTCGAGTGTCTTTTGGATATCGGGGATCTTGTCTTTGAGACCAGCAGCTCGTCTTTGTGTGTTTTGCTGCATGAATTGGTATTTTCTGGGGGTTTAGATGGATTAGAGGGTGGGTTGGGGGTAAGGGTATGAGTGGAGGCGTACGAGATCATCTCTTTGAAGTTGTTGATGGTGGATTCCACCTCGGAGCGGTCAGTCACATAGTCTTCTACTCTGTCGATGAATGGAGCCACAGGGATACCCCGCGGGTTTGCTATAAGGGTGGCATTATGTCAGAGGGAGGTCGTGGTAGAGGGACGTATCGGTATACATACTCGCGGGCTCGCTGTTGAGATGTTAGCTCTCTTCGTATTCAATGGCGGCATAGAAGCTCTATATTGTTACTGACCTCCCGGCTTTAGCTACATCCGCCATTGCGCCTTGGACTTGTAGACTTTAGCAGTGCGCGTTGTTTGTTTCGCGCATCGGAAAAACTGCCCCGCCATGTCCGCTCTTGGCACCTAGTATATCTCCACCCCGCTTACCGTTTACTCTCCCCGCCCCGCCCCCAGCTCTACTTACCTTCTCGCTTATACCACGGGCCTTACAAGGATCTCATATGTACCTGTTTAGTCATGTTAAGCTAATTATACTGTGATCTCAACACTTGGCACATGATATGCTGACCCCTGTAGTAGACGCCCTACACTACCGAACGCTGCGCGCCCTTGAGAGGAGCGTCTCCACACCATAGTAAGTATCAGGATTACATGAAGACTTTTCTCCGGAAATCCCTCAGGAAATCTCGGATCCTTTGATACGTAGGATCATGACACGATGACAGTGTCGCTTGCAAGGACGCTATCTCTGAGGCGCTCACTTCCAATCAATGTCAATGCGGCCTCCCGCGTACGTGGCTGGACTTTTCTAGCATTCGAAGAACTGTAGGGCCATGCCCAATCCTGCATATGCTAACAACCGATAGCCTAGCGCGAATAATGGGCATGCCCATGCGCCCTATGGAGATAGTAACCGCGTCCCCGATCTTGGCATCATAGACTATCAAAGGCTACTGCAAGGCCGACGTGAGGTAAGATGTAAGCACATATGCTGATGGCCCGCCTTCAGCTACGTTGAGAACCGATCCAATTACGAACGAGTCCATTATCCTTGACCAGCCCGCAGACCTGTCTGTAACAAAACACGCCACAAAATTAATCATCAGGGAAAAAAACGTCACCGGTTTTCCCGTGGTGGTTGCGATCAGCGGCTGCATCCGCGTCTTTCGCACCACTCGAGGAATAGCTGTAGATGACCTTGGCCCTGCACGTTCGGGCCTCCTCACTATTCTCCGAACATATCAGCTCGCGGCATCCTCGCTAACTGAACCTTCTGTAATTGCATTCGGTCTTGTCCTCATGCCATGCCAAATATGGCCCAATCGTCAATCAGGCAGAATCCCATCACACACGTCTTGACTCAGCCTGCTAACGCCATCACACCAAGATAATTTCGCCGCCTGCGGATACACCCGGAGCGTTCCTATGTACGCGCCCTGTCTCAGATAATAATAGCAGACTTTGGTTTTTCGCTCTGCATACTTGATCGTATCACCTTTTATTATGAATGCGGTATCATGAGTTTCTTGCATACGAATCACATGTAAAACAGCCATTACCGACCAGACTGTGCTTTCCATTATCCATTTCCGGAAAGCTGTTTTGCATAAGGCTAGACATTCGATATTGATCGACATGATGATCCACGTATTCCTTCAGGCATGCAGCATTCACAGCAGGACAACTGTCAAACGGTTTCTGGGGATCCCTACAATTAGGCCTTAGACATGATCGGCGAATTCGCTCCCTTGGGCTCCTTTACAACTTCATTCAATGATTCATAGAAACATCAGTCCAACTCGGTATCGTGTTTGTGATAAGATGGCTGGGCAATGAAGCTGTAAGGCGTCTCGTACTATGTTGTGCCACTTGCATGACGTGGCGCATCCTCGCTTGCGAGCTGAGCAGGGCGATGTGATAACCAAGCATGCGAGTGTATACAGTGGAGCTTAAATGCGCCTAACGAGGCTATGTATCAGGCAACCCGAGGATACCGCTTAGACCTTGTACAGTGACTTTGCTGTAAACGCAACCGCTTCCATGGTACCACTTTCTCGTACTTGAAACCGTTCAATCGGTGAGTACAACGACTCGTTGAGCTGACATGCGCTTGTTGAGCTTCGCTTCGCTTCATATACCATGTTCTGAGAAACGGCCTGAGTGTGATGTGTCACTAGTTGCCTTAAGCGTGACCGCATAGACGGCTGTCCAGTGACATAGCTTACGAGGTCACGTGGTCAACCTGTCTTCTGGAACGTGAGGCTGACCGGAAGCGCTGTGCGTCGCAGCGTTTGATCGGCGATTTCGAACCGAACACCCGGTGAAGGGTTTGTTGGAACCACACGGCTAAGGTGTTTTGCCTGGACGACCCGAGGAAAGACAAATTGCAAGTCCAAATGGACGTTGAGATAGGTTCGGATTAAGAGCAGTGCAGTGCCGAAAATGCAAGTTATGACCCGTAAATTGCTCATCTCAGTATCTTGAGACTACATTCTGTGACACAAAGTGATTAAGTCTCTCGAAATATCTCGTAGTATAGGGTTGTACAACAGAAAAGTAAAAAAAACCAGGGTAATTCCCGAACACTCGGCCCAAGAAGCAGACCCTGGAGTCGTTTGTCCGACAATCGAACTGCACTTCATCGGCACCGATACTCTGTCGCCCAAGCCCCTATATGCCGGCGTGATAACAAGCAAAACCCAAACCAGCATATTTCGCGAGGGTGAATTGCATACCAAGCCAAAAAACTGGAATAGCGTTGCATATCGAACCCTGAAATAGCACACACTGCTTCCAGTCCATGGAAAACTAAACACCACAAACCCGGAGATCTACTACTCCAACATACAGCACAGCAAGCGAAGTCTCACACACTCGTATCCCCAAACACACACCCAATCTAAACCCAATACCATACGATCCATCCCGCCCGTCCAAATGGCCCCATTCCCGACGGACCGCATCTGCATAGATGAAAGGCTGCATGGAAAGAAAGCCTCACCTATCCGGCAACTTACAGCACCACCACAAGCCACCCTATCACATACACCTCAAGTCAAAAAGCCACAACAATCTAATCTCTTATAGCCAAAAACCCTCCTCTCTTTTACCGGGCGGCACCCGGATGATCCAAGCGACCCGAAAGAAAACAAGTTTTTCACCATAGGTAGCCTGCATTGCATTGTAGTCGTATCGCAGAGGACGGGATTGCAGCAAGGAAAAAAAAAGGCAGGATCTGTGTGGGATATTTGGATATGCGGGCATTTACCCGTTCGCTTGGGCTGGTAACGAGGGTACTTGCAGCCAGCTTCTTGGGGAAGGGGTCCTCATGCAATGCGGGGGATCAGGCTGGCTGGGTAAATTGTAGATTTGCCGCGAGAGAAGGAGGAAAGAAGGAAAGAAGGAAGGAAGGAAGGAAGGAAGGAAGGAAGCGGGGATCGAAGATCATTGTGTTTCCGTGAGGGTGGGCTTCAGTGTGTAGCTGGTTGCTGGTAAGTGTGTCCCGAGGACCTGGGGAGAGCCGGCCGATTGGTGGGACAGATGCAGTTTCTTGGTACGATCATGTATATGGGTTGCGGAGAGAGGGTGGGGTAATGCTTTGTTCTGGATCTAGATATGGATATGATCTAGATGAAGGCGTGGGGGTGCTGTGACACCATGATAGATTGAATCGCTGGCCATCTTAGTAGAGCTTGGAAGGGTGTGCGAGAATCCGGGCTGCGGAGCCGAATGATAGAAGTGATTGACTTTTCTGTGCAAGATAGACAAAAGAATCGGTTACCGAAACGCGATGTTGGAAAAGAGTGCATGATACACAGCGTGAGCTGGATCATGCTGTGTAAGGGCTGGCGAAGTAGACAGCTCTCCAACCAAAAGACAATCAAAGATAACAATCACATGTCACAAGGCAACAAAGACCAGATTTTATGAAGTTACCCTTGCATTGCGGAAGCCAAAACATTACGTACAGAGCGAGACTATCAATAATCATAACGGTGCGTGAACATAGGAAAGAACATAAGCCAATCAAGTCGTGTGCGGGAATGTCGAATCAAAACCCAGAAGATTCAAACCCCAAACGCCATCCAGTCAGGCCACCTCGCCAAAAACTTTACCGTGACCCCGAAACCTGCGCCATGTGATATCTTAAATGCCATACTGGCAAAGAAGTGAAGACAATTCCAACGCCAACATCTCATTACTCAACACTTGAAACATAACGAGATGCATGCAATATGCGGTGATTACAATCGAGAACATGGAGAACACAAAGTCATCACAGCTTGAGACCTTGCTGAATGAGCTTTCCAAGCGTAACACCCTGGTAGATAGGTTAGCATGATGTAGGGGAAAGATAGATAGCGAAATGACTTACGTGATCACCCTTCATCATAGTGAAGTGGTTGCCACCCATGACGGCGTACTGGAAGTTCTCCTTAGGGAGAAGCTGGGCCCAACCGTTGTCAGAGAAATCAGTACGGTTGTTGAGAAGCCACTTCATGGGAGCTGGGTCCTCTCCCTCACCTGGGGGAGGGCGGGGGTCCTCAGGGTTAGGGCAGACACCATCTGTACACCAGATGGCGAGGACAGGGGGAGCGATCTTGGGGTTCATGGGGGTCGGGTCGTAGTCCTTGAGGTTCTGAATGGCAGATGCGAAGTGAGGGAGGAGCCATGAAGGAGTACCGCCGGGTTTTCCAGTGCCAAGGAGACCAATCTGATCGAAGAAGATGTGAAGGCGAGCGGGGAGAGGATCAAGAGCGACTGGGCAGGGAGCATCGATGAGAACGAGGCTCTCGACCTTTTCACCGGCGTTCACAAGTTGCTGAGCGACCTCGTATGCCATGACACCACCAGCAGACCATCCACCAACGAGGTAAGGACCAGCTGGTTGACGGCGCTTGATCTCGTTGAGGTAAAGACGGGAGACACCCTCAACACCACAAGTCCATTTCTCAGGGCATTTCATGAATGGGCAGTTAAGTCCATAGACAGCCATGCTAGGAGAGATATTGGGGATGGAGATGTAGCTAGTCGCGCTGCCAGAACCGTCGGGGACCAAGAAGAATTTCTTGGTGGCGGTCTTAGGGTTACCTTGAAGCAAGACAGAGGAAGCAGGAGGCAGGTTGGAGACATCGGGGAGCGAGGCGAGCTTCTTGTTCACCTCAGAGAGCTGAGGGGCCTTGGAAGAAGCCTTAGTGGCAGGCTTCGCAGCCTTGGGCTGAGGACGCATGCCAAGCGCAGTCTCGATATCCTTGATTGTGACGTTGACGGTAAGGAAGTCGGCAGGAAGATCGCGACCGGTAGCTTCACGCATGGAACCAAGGATAGTAAGACTCATGAGGGAGTCCATGCCGATATCGGTGAGGTCAAGGTCGTCGGTGATCTCGGAGACATCAACGCCCATCTCTTCAGCCACAAGCTTGCGGGCCAGGCTGGCACCGCCCTCAGTGGCAGCCGAGGGCTTGATGTCATCATGGCCGTCGTCGCTACCGGCGGAGCTGGCAGGAGTGCTGTCGCTCTGACCAGCAGGCGCCTCGAAAGGAGTAGGCGCGCCAGAAGGCTCGTCGGATGTGACCGAAGAGTCATCCTCGACGATGGTAGTGCCATCGAACTGAGAGAAGTGCTTCTTCAGTTCACCAACAGTGGAGCAGTCGGTGAAGAGAGTGGAAGGAATGTCCATGTCGAGCTCCTCACGAAACCTGGCAGAGATGGTCAGAGACAGAAGTGAGTCGACTCCAAGGTTCTCGAAAGCAGCCTCGTCAACGAGCTCAGACATGTCGACATCAATCTCTTGGGCGACAATGTTCATGACCTTTGAGGTTACACCGGCGGGAGCAGCAACCTTGACAGCCTTGGGAGCCTTCACTGCCTTGGGAACGGCTGCGTGGGTCTTGACAGGAGCAGCGGTAGGAAGAGCCTTGGGAACAGGCTTAGCAACCGCCTTGGCAGCGGGAGCAGAAGCGGCCTTTCCGGCGGGGGGCATCATGATGTTGAGAGCGCGGCGAGGAATGTTCTGGAACTTGAGACCCATGACCATACCAATGATCTCAGCACCGTCCATGATGTAGACATCACCAACAGAGATGTTGCCAGGAGCAGGTTGCATGCGAACATAGGAGCGGTACTTCTTCTCAGGCGAAAGCTTACCGGCAATCTTGATAGATCCCCATCCGTGAGAGATGTAGACGGAATTCTCAGAGTCAAGGTGGTCGGAGGCATTGACGATGAAACCCGAAAGATGAGCAAGAGAATCGATCCAGTATGGGGAGCAGAGGAAATCACCATCAGCCTCGGTGGTCTGGAACTGAACTGAAGCAGTAGCCTCAGTCTGTTTACCATCGAGGATAACTTCTTCCATACCGCGGTAGTTGTCGGCATAGGTAACAAGAGCCTTGAAGAGCTTGTAGGCCATTCCACGGAGAACCTTGTGGGCGGCGCCAGTCGCAAGCTTTTGCTGGAGCATGTCGATCTGAGACTGTACCATGTACTGGATGCGACCCCATTCTTCCTTCCAGGCGTTGACATCTTCGTACTTGACGATACCAACAGCGTGCTCGGCGAGGATCTTGGAGCCATCGGCTGAGACGGTGCGGAAGGTGATCTTGACTTGGCTGGTTTCAAGGTCTGCGTTACCCTCAATCTGCAAGTGCTGGCCAGTAGCAGGAGGAGGGTACTGGGGGATGAGAGTCTTGGTAACCTCCATTGAGCAGACATTGAGTCCTGGTGTTTCAGTACCAGGGCGAAGCTGCTGATAGAGGTAATCGGCCACAGTCATCGCCTGATCAGCGTATAGGGAAGATGGAGTAAGAGGGGTACCGTTGACTTGGTGACCAGTGATAGTAGCCTTCAACTTGGGGTCGGATAGGTCAGACTGGACAACAACGGTGCCAGAGTTGGCATGGAGATCCTCGCGGACAATCTTGTGGCAAGAAGTTGTCGACAGCTTGGAGGGTGCCTCCACGACTGGTGCCGCCTCGATAGCGCTGACTGCAGGTGCTGCCTGGAGAACCTCACCCTTGGTAAGAGTCCAGTTGTTGTGGTAGTCCAACCAGTACTTCTTCGAGTCAAAGGCATAAGTAGGCAGAGTGTACATCTGGTGGGCATCGTTGAAAAGCCTGTGGTACTCGTTGAAGTCGATGTAGACACCAGCCAGGTACATGGTGGTGAGAGTGTTGGAGAGGGTCTTCCAGGGGTCCTCATTACGGCGGAGAGATCCGGCCGCGACGGGGGAACCACCAAGAGAAGACTTGACCATACCGCTGCAGACAGGGTGGGCTCCAACCTCGAGCCAAGCGGTCTTAGCATCGAAGAGCTTTTGCTCCTGACCGTTGGTTAGAGCAGTCCAGAAGTTGACAGTCTCGCGGGCGTGACGAGCAAGGTAGTCAGGGCCAATGATGCCAGCCTCTACAATGATGTCCCCATTAAGGGGCGACATAACCGGCACAACAGGCTTGTTGAAGGTGACCGAGTCAGCGGCAGCCTTGAACTTCTCAAGAATAGGCTCAACCTGAGCAGAGTGGAAGGCGAATGGAACATTCAGTTTCGTCGACTTGAATCCCTTGGAAGCAAGAAGCTCGTTGGTTGAGTCGACAACATCAACGGTACCACAGAGAACGGTCTCTTCAGGGCCGTTCATGCAGGCAATCTCGGTCATCTTGTCGCCCAAGGCTACCTTGATGGCATCAACACTGCCCTTAACAGCAAGCATGCCGTGAGTGTTGGCGGTACACTCTTCCTCTAGGATCTGAGCACGGCGACCAACCAGGAACACCATGTCGCTGGCGGAGATGACGCCAGCAACGTGGAGAGCCGCGTACTCGCCAAGGCTGTGACCAATGACAGCGATGGGGCGAACACCCCAAGCACCCCACATGCGAGCGAGAGCAACTTGAATGCAGGCCATACCAAGCTGGACAACTACTGGGGAAAGGGTAGCAACGTCTGCGCCGGTCAAGAGCGGCAGAATCGAGGGAAGAGAGTGCAGACGAGCAAGCTTGTCTAGCTGGTCGATATCGTTCTTGAAAGTCTCAAGATCCTCGTACAGCTTCTGTCCGAGGCCAGTGTACTGCGAGCCCTGACCAGTGAAGGTAAAGGCAGTCTTGGTTGGAACCATGGGCAGAGGGCTGTAGGTATCCTTGAGCTGAGCACGTAGGCCATCCTTGACCTTGGACATGTCAGAGACGCAGAAGGCAACGCGGTAGTTGTGCTGGATGCGTCGAGCAGTGGTAGTGTAGGCCAAGCTGGGCAGCGTAACGGATGGGTTCTCATCGACGAAATCGATCAAGTTGTTGATGTTCTTCTTCAGCGATGCGATAGACCTAGCACTGACAGTAACCATGTGCATGGTGCGAGGGTCGACACCCTTGGGTTCCTCGGGAAGAGGACCGTCCTCAAGGATGACAGCGGTGTTTCCACCAGCAGCAGAGAAGTTGTTCAAGAAGATCTTGCGCTTCTCCCCACCCTTGCGTGGCCAAGCAACCTGAGTGGTCTCAATGTGCACGTTGCGCTGTGCAAGATCTTTGGGGAAGGTCTTGTTCATGACACCCTTGATACCTACATTGGCAGGAATAGCGTTCTTCTTCATCATCATCAAGACCTTGACGAGAGAGTTGATACCAGAAGCAGCTTCACCGTGTCCGATGTTGGCCTTGATGGCACCCAAGTGCAGAGTCTGCTCGGGGGTACGCTGGCGGTGGCGAGGAGCAAAGGCGTTGGTGACCGAGGTCATCTCAATTCCATCGCCGGCCTGGGTACCAGTGCCGTGCATCTCCACGTAGCTAATATCATGAGCATCAACACCGGCGTTGGAGAGGACCTTGTTGTAGAGGTACTCTTGAGCACCAGCGTGAGGGTGGGTGATGGAAACGGCCTCGGCACTGTGGTTGGTGGCAGCGCCAAGGATGCAACCAAGAATGTTGTCCTTGTCAGCAATGGCATCCTCATAACGCTTGAGGACGACGGAACCACAACCGTCACCACGGCAGTAACCATCAGCATCGTTGTCGTAAGTCTTGCAGCTTCCAGTCTTGGACAAGAACTGGCCCTTGCTAAGACCGGAGAAAATGTCCGGATTAGTCAGGACATTGAGACCACCGGCGCAAGCAGTATCACAGTCACCAGCCCAAAGGGAAGTGCAGGCCAGCTGGATGGCAGCAAGCGAAGAAGAACAAGCAGTGTCCACACTGTAGGAGGGACCAGAGAACTTGAAGTAGTAGTTGATGCGGCCGGGCGCGAACGCCCTCACACCACCCGTGATGAAGTAGGTGTCGATGTTCTCTGAAGCGTTGATCTCACGCCAATCGTCCGAAGTTTGACCATAGAAGGTACCAATGCGCTCGAGTTTGGTCGAGGGAGTGCGGTTTGGTACGTATCCAGACATTTCGAGGGCTTCGTAGGCAGTTGTGAGGGCTAGACGACCCATGGGATCAGTCTGGGCAGCCTCACGGGGAGACATGTTGAAAAAGCGGGGGTCGAATAGACCGGGCTCGTCGATGAAGCAGCCGTAAGGGGTGTGACTCTTGTTCTTGCCCTTGCCTGAGGGGTCGCAGTGGGCTTTTGCGTCGAAACGGTCTGCAGGGACTTCGCGGTGGACATCCAGACCGCGCTCGAGAAGATCCCAGAGCGCCTCAGGGTTGGCAGCACCGGGGAAACGACCAGACATACCAACAATGGCAATCTTGTCGTTCTGTGTACGGCCACGGCTATCATGGTCGGCTGGCACCCAGGCAGACTGGTCGCGGACGGTGATGGCTGATTGGCCACCATTCTTCAGCGCGGATGCGAGGCTGTTGGTAATGGATGTTACACCGAATGCGGAGACAGAGCACTGTGCGTTGGATGCAGAGGTGACCTGAGAGACAACCTCAGACAGAAGGCTGTCCCATCTCACAGGCTCAACAAGCATCTCATGAAGGGCAGTTCGGACCAACTCCAAAGTGTTGGTAGCAGTCTGGCATTTTCCAGTGGCTGCCGAGTGGACGAGGGCGACTGGGCGGAATTGCTGCAGATGCCTAATGGCGTCCTTGTCGAGGATACGGTCGATATCCGCCTGGGAATACAGGTGAGATGCGTGGTAGGGCGCATATACGGGGATAGGCACACGAGCACTGGACTTGAAAGCCTCCTTCTCGAGAAGGCGCTTCGTGGTAGCAGGCGGGCCGCTGATGGTTAGCGCCATTGTACTAACGGCGCTAATGTAGGCCTGAGCCAGGGTCGGTATCTTTTGCTCCTCGTGGAACGCAGCGATAGCGTCCTTGGCAGCATCTTCAGAAATGTTGGTCACGATAGTGGACCACGAATCTTTGGAGGTAGAAGATTGCTCAAGTGCCTCCTTGGCTGCACCAACGCAGGTGCCTGCGCGGAAAGCAACCCGGACAGCTTCGGTCGCGAGTGGGAGAAGCTCACTCAGTGACCTGGCAGATGCAACGACAGAACCTGCAAGGAGACCGGTGCAAAGACCGACAACTCGAGTGTTTGATGGATTTGGAAGCTCTGTTGGATTCTCGGCAAAGTATCTGAAAGGTCAGCGGGACACTTGACAAGCACAGGAAAAAAGGCTCACCCGATGTAGTGCGCCAACTGCGCAATGGTAACCATACAACTCTCAATCTCAGGGATTTTCAGTCCCTTGGCGTAGTATGCTTCCACAAGATCCCATGTTGTCAGGAAGTTGGGGATTTGGTCTCGCTGTGTTCGTGGCAGCTTTTGCACCTCTTCGCGAATCACAACGCTGATCCGGTCGAGAAAGGTCGTCAGGGTCGCGTTGTTCTTCCAGGTACAAGCCTTCCGCAGGAGCGGGTACTGGTCGGCGGTTTGGTCTCCGAAGATGAGGACATCCATTTTGGCAAAGGGTATAAAAGAAGAATTAGAAAAAAGATGGAAAGATGCAGTAATTCGGTGCCGAAAAAGGCAGAGTAACCTCGATGGTGTGTTTAGGAGGTGAAAGGGGTGGGCTTCCAAAGTTAATGGAAGGGTAGTTGGTGATATATGAAAGCGAAGAGCTCCAGTGTCGTATGACTTAGGCACTTGATGCAAGGGTAATGGCCCAAGAAACTGGAGGAGGAATGGTGGGATAGAAAGGGATCTGGGCTTGGAGGTACTCGTATATGTATGTGATCAGCCTGGAGTGATAGGCGTAAGATGTCAAGAAGGTGGTCAGGGCGTGGATCGCGCGATGACAAGCACAGTGCGTGCCGGATCTGTTACAACCCATGTATTGCGGAGCGAAGTACTGCAGAAACGTATTGACGTGAGAATCAGTGTGGCCCGCGGACTACTTCCCTTCCTGGATAGTACAGCCATGATTCCGAGGATTGATGGCGTGCAGATGCCGGCTGTGCGTCCGAGTAAGCTCGCATGCCTATTGATAGATGGCGCGCTAGACGTGGAGACCAGCGGCTGAGATATGCAGCCAATGCATTGCGGATGATAGTACTTAGAGATGAGACGTGGGGACGTGAGAAGCGAGGGCGCTGTCTCAACTCTGGTCTAGTGGCTCGGATCCCCTCCCAAAAGCCGGGGTGGATAGACGTCGAGTCCGTGTGCTCTACTATCAATTACAGCATCTTCCAAGCAAATTTAGGCTTAGATCTATGCAGTCAGGAAGAATCCATTCTGGTAAAGTGTGCATGCTGGAGCTGCTTGAAGCGAACCCTGTACACATGTGGAAGACTAGTGGGTACAGGCATCACAGTACAGGACCTCCAGGCAAACCAAGACCCTCGTGGCAGTTCCGTGACACAAGACTGTGGGTGCTATATTCTTTGGATTAACAGCTTGTCGTACCGAAGTGTTCCAGATAGCATGTATGTGCTATGGGGCGGATGGTGAGGTTGACGAGTCAATCAAGACCTGGTAAATCATCCGGTGAGCGATCACGAACGTTGCCGGATCTCTGTAAGCGTTTCCATTGCCACGTATGGAGTACTATGATGCTACAGCGTTGTTGGCTCCGACCAAGCTCCTGGAGCCCCCGCTCGGACTTATGGCTAGGTGAGCACGCTGGCTGGGAGGTTCAGCATGAGGCATAGCGTACGTCTCGGAATGCCTGGAGCTCGGCGTCTCTTAATGATCATCAGAGCGCCAGCTCATCGGGTCGCCTACTTTGGGTTGGTCTGAAAGCAAGCATAAGGAAAGCAAGCATTGCTTTGGGCGGATGGTTGATGTGGATATTCGAGCATCCAAGCGCCCAAAGCCACCAGCCATGGGAAGCGCGCCGTTGAGACGCTCATCTCTACGCCCGCCTAACGTTTGCCTGGCGTCAATCGTGGCAATTCAAAGGCTGAGCAAGCTTGTTACTCCTGTGAATAGTTACAGTCAGCCATGCCCCATTTCACGGCTTCCCCAATACCGACGCCACAGGCGGTACTCCGGGCTTACGAGGGGAGTAGCATATCTAGAACTGATAGGCTAAGTCGAGGAACGCCTGACGATAGATACGAGCTTGCATCGCTTGTTTCTGTGGGGCGTAAGGTTCTGGATAGTGTGCGAAACCAATCGCCTACGACCTTGTACGGTCATGGTAAGGGTGAGTACAGGGCCAGACGTGCTGATGGAGCAATTTTTTGTTTCCTATCTCGACAGATACACAATCTAGAATCCAAGTACCGTAGAGCTGGCATGCGGGGGACAGTGCGGGTGGTGGTGCTCGTGATGGGGTGTATTTGTGATTACGAGGTGACGTTCATTACGGAGAGCGGAGAACCGAATAAGCAATGGGAAAATGATCGACAAGCTTTTTGCCATCTGGCACCGCCCGCCAACCCTACGACCCAGCCACACACGACACATGACACCCAACCTTGGAAACAGAGTAACGCCTTGTCCCTGACAGCATCAAACAGATTACATCAACATGGGAAACACTGCCTGCATGTTCTCATAATAGCAACTCAATCTACAACACCGTATTTTACGAACACAGTTGAAACAGCCCGCACCAAGTGTTAGGGCGGTGGTACGTAGTGGTGGTGGCGCCACCACTCGCGTAGTCGCCAGGTCGCAAAGGCAAAAACTCCTGGCATGCATTGTGAGAACCCTGAAATGGTTCGTCTCGACACATGTTTCACCCCTCGTATCCACCCCAATCTCGATAGATACTCCCAAAAAAAATCACCGCATGCGTCTGATACTACGTCGGATCCTGAATGCGGTGAGGACAGCTACTGAATTCGAGTTTCCCATGTGTACATGGGCGCGGTCCATGCCCCTTTCTGCATCTACTTTGCTTTTCTCGAGCCTTTTACTTGGTTTTTGATGCCAGACTCTCTAGTCTCCGTACGCTTGTGTTTTCCCCAAATTAGGATACACCTGCGTGTGCCACACTTCCCCGAGCCTCTAACTTTTTACGCGCAAGTGTCTTGTGCTCCTGGATCTTGCTCTTTCTGGAAGTCGACATCCATTGACGCTGGATCGCACTACAAAGTCACGGGATATTCTTTTTCCAACAACGCATACACTGGCGTCAGTCCTGGGGGTAAATTAGTCGCCGACTCGCTACCTTATCACCAAGTCTTCAAGCCAGACTGTCCCAACACTTGGCAAGTCTTCAGGCATGTGATAATGCCTATAGGCTAATAATCAATCAGAATAGCCACTTCGTTAGACGCAACATGGAAGTCATTGCACGGATGAGCCAGTACAAGCAAGGCGATATGCTCGCATCAGCTGTACCATCGGCCCCTCTCTCTGACAAGTCACTCATCCGGGTACATTCTGCGGCCTATGAACAATATCTCCTCTTTAGCACATGTCATCCTTCTTCACAGTTCACTCTACAACCATAGTCATCGCCAATGTTCCACGTCTTTTGCTTGTGCACGGTGCGTAATGTAGCTGCAGTCCAGCGTGGCGAACATGCACAGTAAGTCTTCCGCATGGACGCCGGAACTGACGGTATACAGATTCTAGTCCAGCCCCTTGATGCTTTACGCGGGCTGATAGATGGCACAAATCGCCTTGCGGGAATTCCGGCTCGGCAGCTAACAGTGCAAAATGCGGGCATTGACCACTGGGAATAGTGCCGCTGCCGAAGAGTTGTAGCTTTTCCAGCCCCATTTCACTCCACGCAAAAGCCTCACTGTCTGGACGATCGAGCCACTCGGATCAGTCAAATCATCTGCTGGGGTTTCTTGGAATGTGGCACAAGTGGGGCGGGCATATCTACGACATTGCCTTGAACGTTCCATCAGCCAAGCCGAGTGGACGGCGCCCAAGGTACCTTCGTATTTAGCCCGAACGTGTGGTCGTACCCGGCTCTCGGATTCCTCTACAGATGTCTTGGATAAGATTGACACCTGAATTGCGCAATGGGCTGGAAGTTTTCCAGGGTCCGCATTAATCGGATGTCCGAAACTCGCCTGGAGACTTTTTGATCCTGCAAGTTTGCAACAAGCAACACTAACCTCACGGATCACATCCACCCTTGGCTTTGTGTGCACTTTGGGACCGCGACAAGAGTTTGCATGATCGCTTTGCGCTATCATCTCCATGGCGTCACCCCCGTGCTTAGACCACTTTTGTAATTTCTCAACACAAAACGTGTCTTGCACACGGATAAGCATCGGGTCTAGTAACTCCTCAGCAACGGGCCGCAACGAATGACATGAGCGGGCCGAGTGACAACGGTAAATATCGATGATGCTCGCATCTAGAGTGTCGCTAAGCGCTCCTCTGGCGTCCAAGCAGATGGTTCGCTGGCGACGACTCCCGTCCCACGGTTTTCCATGGCAGCGGGACGGAACGTTGTTCAGAAGACTTGAATAGCTGCCCACTACGGGAAAGTGTGCCATGCACAATATATTGGCATGTTAGCACGAGCACGATTTACGATTTGGATCTCGCATAGCGCATGTTTACTTTGAACGTTTGTTCGCAGTTGAGGGGCGGGGGAGCCTGCGGAGCCTTGTTCCGCATGATTTAGCACAGACACCCCACGCATGAGAGATGTTCTGATGGTAAGTGGATCCAGCGCAACCCAAGTCGCACGTTTTAGCGCTCCGGTGCTCCAATTGGAAATCCGCTCGTTGCGGCTAAATGGATCGCCCCTTAGTCTGCCAGGCCTTAATTGGGGGGGCATCAAACGGCTGCTTGGCAGCTCGGACTAGCGCGGGCGTCCGCACCGAACCGTCGTAGGAACACCGATTCCACATGACATGACATATTGGTGTCAAGAGGAATAGGTAGGGAAAAATGCCGAGTAAGTCTGTTAATGATCCTTCCAGAACTGTTTCTAAGATGGCAGGGTGTTGCAGTAATCATGGGCAGCTCTGCCGTCATGCAAAGATGATGCGGGATGGCAGCAGTCCGTTTCGAAGCAGTCTTCTGTGCTACTACATGCAGGCCCATTGTCTTCTCTTGCGACCCTTGGGTGAGAGGCCTGTAGTCAGGGCTAGGCTTCAGCTGACACGTACTATGGCGTGCGTAGAAGATGCAAGGTGTTCCGTTATGCCCGACAGGCTACCTCGATTTCCAGTCGTCATCCCTATGACATTTGTGAGATTGTTTCGTGCAGCAAAAATCGTACGTAATACTGACACGGGATATACCACTGCAGTATGAAGAGATAGTACAGTTTTTCTGTAAAGAAGACTCGCAAAATTACAGAGGATGAAAAAGGATGTGGTCAGTCAACTAGGGAAACTTACCAGGGAACCAGGATAGCAGAAGCCTACGACCAAGGATCTATCCTTCCACTTCTTTACAAATAATAATCAAGGGTATCACATCCACGTGACTAACTAGATCAGTAACCTCTCTAGGATTAACGACACCCTAGATATGGGAGTAAGAGATATCCTACCACACACATAACCCCATCTTCCCCTAGTCGTTATCCAGATTGCAACCCCCCACCATATCGCCATGCCCTAGAATGAGCGCTATTCAGAAGCGTTATCGATAATTTTACAAACACATCATGATGTTGATACGCGAGGGTAGCGGTAACCTAGAAGGGGTGTTTCATGACGTTATAGACTGTGGGGCCGGATATATGACGCGGTCATGGACTTTTCGAGGCTACACGGAGGCATTCACACAACATCACAACTTCCTATTTTGTAATAATTAGATTTAGATATGTACAAGGAGAATAGGGCGTGCAGGGTATGGGTGAGGTTGATTGATGCTGCATGGTGAAAACGGTAAAGACCATTGGATCGGGTTTCCAGTACTGTGGATACCGTCCTGCCTGAATATCTAGATGCAGTGAATGGGTTAGAGTTGTATCTATTGGCTTCTAGATGTATGCCGCGAAGGTTGTCGGGTGTGCGTGTATTCCACGTGGGCATATTGGAATAGGTAGTGGCATGTTTTGTACGATATGAACGATGCACACGCAGTGAGATAATTTACACTCAGAAAAATAAATTCTCTTGTTTTCTACGTCTTGTAAAAATCGGTAAAAACAGGCATAACTCTAATGACACATATTCGTTTGTTTCATTTCGTTGTGTAACGTCTAGTAACAATGCATTTTCATTAAAATTCTTTTACAATCAACCAGACAACATGCGATGCCAAGATTCAGCTTCTGGAAAATAATCATGTACAATGATTTAATACATTAACATATCCATTCATCGCTATGAACAATTCCATTACCAAATTTCCAGTTCTCAGATCTTTTTTTTCCCTCAAAAGAAACGTAACATAACAAACAACAAACCCTTCCTTTCTACAGCCTCAACCCATCGCCTATCTTACTCTAACACGGGAATCCCCGCCATCACCATAAGCACTTATTATCGTGACTCCAGCCATATTGCCACATCCCCAACTTTTCCCACGCGTATCCTGTACCACGCCTGCCCCCAGCCCCAGAAAAAACAAGAACAACAACGACAACGACATCACGGCTCTCCAACTCTACTCTCCATTTTCTAGCCTCTCGCCTCCATCATCGTGATCTACAACCTCCCCAACTTATCCACGTAATCACCCACCTTCCCATTACACACCCACGATCTACAAACACCTACGTAATCCCCTCTTATTCCCCGTCCCGCATTCTTTTTCCTTTTAACCCAGCCAGCCACAATTCATATCTCAGAAAACCAAAATTATCCCAGCAAGAAAAAAAAATGCACAACATGCCATTGTCCCCCCTCCCTTATCCCATTCCAACCCCTTTAGCACAACCCCGTCAATAATACGACATTCTCACACCAGTCCGAACGCGTATTTCTTCCCAGCATATGCGGGGAAATGTAACGTAGAAATTCCGTGTAACATATATACAACGCCGAAGACTTCCGGGTAATACTAGGTTGTTCGAGAAAAGAGTATGGGCGGGAAAGAAAGAGAGAGAGAGAAAGAGCCACGTGCGCGGGTGTAACGGGAGCGAAGGGGGGGTTTTCGAAGTGCATAATCTAGCTTGCGCGTACGGCATGTGGAAGAAGGATTTTGCGGTAATACGAGAAGGAATGGAGGGGATGGGAAAGGCGGAAACTGGATGGGAAGGGGAAAGGGGAATGTTGGAGGGTTACGTATTTCGCGGCTGTTCAGGTAGATGTGTGGTAAGATAGTTAGCGGGATTCCGTCTGGTTGTTTTTGGATGTTTCTTATGGTAGATGTGTATAAATTCCATTTTCGTTTTTTTACTATTGGAAGCGAGGACACAATGCGTGATACATTTAATCAAGTAGCATGATTATGAGTATTTCACTTTGGGGGAGCTAGATTAATGCACTGGTGTAGTGTGTTTAAGAGTTTCGAGACCAAGCATTGCTAAGACTAATAAATTCTCAGCATAGAAAGGGAAAGCGAGTGAGTTTAGCATCTCAAATGGGAGATATGTAGCTTATGCGAATGTTCAAATATTTCAAGATCATTGTGATTGTATATTTCAACCTGTACAGACAGAACAATAAAGAGTTTTTGATAATTGTCTTTCATCTTGTAACAAAAATGCCAATTGGCAATTTTCGAGAGAAAGGCATTTATTTTGGAGTTTACAATATTCACAGAGAAAATGGAGCAGTTCGGCAACTTCTCGAATGCCACGCAATCATCAACAAGCCTAGAGATAGAAATTTCCTAATCTGTCAAACGCACCATGATACTGAACAGGGAACCGTTGTTTACTCTATTTCCAGAAAATAGGCTATGTGAATTATTCTTAGATAGAAACACATTGAACATCAGGCAAATTTAAATGCTGACACTGGAAAGTGTTGCTATAGGGCGACTATTTCCAAACTCAAGACGCAAGTTGTTTCGCATTGAGAAGCAAAACGTACTATCCTCTTATCTAAGAATTTGACGTCCAACAAAAAAAGATCATCCTTTGACGCCCTGCACGCTTCTTACTTTTTTGCTGAGTGAGAGAGCAGTGTTGTATGACGAGTGCATGCATCGATTTCTGCATAGCCTGGGTGTAAGCGCACATCGAAAAGCTCTGATGATAACCGTTCCCTTGGGCTTGCGGAACAACGTGTGGAAAAGAGGCGGATACCCTATTGGCCTAGTTGAAGCTAGTCAAACATTACCATACGCATACATTACATGTAGATGTGCATGCAGATAGATGGTGCTTAGCTAGCGGTGCTGCGGCAGGCAAACGCGATTGCGACGTCTCCATTGTCGGGATGAACAGGATGGACTTTTGGTTGTCGTGCCGATGGCTTCTCTTCAGAGATTAGCGAGAGCGGTAGGAACGCCCGCGTAGTGGGGAGCGGCGCGGGAAAAAAAAGATTGAAACAACATATGATGCAGTACTCCGTGTGTGTAATGACGGAACTCCTTTGGCGCTCTGCACGTAATCATCTAGAAAACGCTGCAGCGGGAGGGCGCAAGACGGATTCGCCTGTCGCTCGCGGCGTGACTCGGCGTCGCCATCTGGGCTCTGTATGGTATACACATGCAAAAGCAAAACTTTGTATCGTTGCTGCTTACCAGTGCGCAACAAGTGAGGGGTGATTCAGGCCCGTGGGGTTGGGGGGTTTCCAGAGGGTCAGCAGAAATGGCATTGCACCCGCAGGCTAAACTGTTTTGCCACTGCATATCGAGCGACCAGCGGACGGATGTGGCACGTTGTATGGTTGTTGTGGCTATCACTTTGCCGTTTGGGATAGCTGATGATGTAGAGTAGTGAGGCTTGGGAACGAGGGGGAGTTTGTGGCTACTGGGGCCAGCGTTCCGGGCGCTAGTCTGGATTGGGCGCCAACAGCTTAGCCACCAATATTGCTATACATAAGCCCTGCATAATTGTCATCACTGCTGCTTGCGAATGGATTGTGCGAAAACCCAGGTAGTCATCTTCTCGTGTGAAACCCACTTGTGCCCCATGGGCCTTTTTCGTGCATAGCCCCGGTCGTGCGAGGCCTTGGACGACGCTTAAGACACATGCTGTACTGTCAGGTCAGTGAGCATCCAGATACCGAAGTGTAGTCGCACCTCGTGGCACGCCGGGCCTGGACTTGGACTGACAAGCGCCGTTCACCCGCAGCGGGCCCTCTCGGCAGCCCAGTTCCAGTTACCACTGCTCCGCTCCCGCCTGCTTTCCCCGGCCAATAGGACCATACGGATATTTTAGATGCTCTGCTCATACTTTGGGCCATAGCACGGCCTGAAGCATACGAAGCCTCTGCATAAAAACGGAAATTGCCCAACTAATTCCATCTCAACACGGTGCTTGACTGGGTGACATTAGCCCACTCTGGTTTGCTGTGATGCTGGGTAACAGAGCGTCAGCTCATGCGGTAAAACCCAGCGCGTGTGCCTTATCGTGGATTACTCGACGTGTTTCACCTGCAGGATCCGCATAGCCTGCCAAACATGTCTCGCTACCATGTGTCTGTGCCAGTGAGCCTGATATATCCAAAATAGTAGCCTGTGTATGTATGTATAGTCTCAACAGGGTTCTACGCTCGCGTTTCGTCAGGGATAGTATGTCGACAAAGTCGTGGTTGGCACAGCATTCACGGATCTGGTTTGCAGTGCTAAAACAAGTGGCCGCTTTGGTTGCGGTTGCAAATACGATGCATGCAGCTGATCAGCAAGCCGTCAGAGGAAGCGGCAGTAACAAGCTGTACCCTTATCACGACATCGCCACGCCGACACGGACAAGACTCGTCTCTACTGGCGAATTGTCGTGGTGCATCCCAATATGGCGTCGTATCCGTGATTGCACTTAATCTGGCTCCCTGAGTCGCCGGCCGCTGTAGAGTCTCGTACCGAGTAGCTAGAGCGCCCAAGAAATATGGGTAAAGTAGTCGCCATGATGAATGGCGTCATAGGGAAAGACATGTTTGCTCTTCAAGGGAAATTGCAGTCAGTCTAACGGTCAGGCAGGTAGGGAGACAGACAGTCAGGCAGTCAGGCCAGCATTGATTACCACCGAGTAAGGAATTTGAAACAGTAGTCCTGGGGCGTAATGGCAATATGTGGGGTACGTATGGTGATTGGCGAAACGACTGGCAAAAGCCATGGACACCAAAGACGGGCGTAGCGTGTTTCTGGAAATGTTTGTACGGTCCATTCTTAGCAGCAGGCGGCTGTGCAAGAGTCTCAGGCATCCCGTGACGGACGGGATAATGAGAACGTGCGATTGAGCGATTTGCTCGCACTGGCACTCGCACCAAGCGGTGGCGCCAAGGCCGGTACCGAAGCGAGTCGCGTAGCAGCGCTTGTTCGGCGATCTCTGGCTTCAGTATCCCTTTCACGGAGCGATCGGCCTTAGGGCTGGCGTGGGGTAACCCAGATTGGGCCCGTTGGCTGGGACAAGAAACACTTGCTGCGTCGCAATTGGAAATGTGCTGTCGAAAATGCACATGGACATGACGATCTTTGCCCTCGAGCAGCAGACTTCAGGTAGCCTCTATTGCTCTACCAGCGCCTCGCTGCACACCAGGCTTGTTGGGTGGCGCGGGGTCTCTATGTGGTTATCTTTTGCATCATGAAGAAAGCGGCAGCGGGCGTGTCGGTTACGCGGTGAGCGAACGGTTGCTTTGGGGCTTTCACATTGCTCTAGTCACAGCGGCATATTGCCGCAGAGACCCCAGACTTGAGTCGACACAAGGGCAGGGCCGTGCAGAAGACGGTGAGAGGCGTGGTTCTTGGGTGCATTTGTGAGGAAGCGAAAAAGCACAGTGTGAAGGGCTGTCAAGTCCCAGACCGCAAGTGATCGCCCACAAAGCAATTTTCATGTTGAATGCGCGAGCAGGCTGGCTGCCAAAAGAACAAGTTTTTGCAGTGCGACGACGAAGCGTGCATTGGAGACGTGGCAGCGAACAACGGGAGGCGGCGACCCAGGATGAAGCTGTGGTGGTAGTGGGAGTGATGCAGTCACGTGTGCAGGCGAGCAGAGGGGGAAGGCGGAGGGCGGGGGGCGCTAGACAACAACATGTCGAACTGGATGCTGGTACGTATGTAGTAGGTACATGCCCACGCCCATCCATCCACCCACACACGCCTACATACATATGTACACACATACACCTGTACCCGCAATGTTCCTGGGCGACGCCAGCGCCAGTGACGCACAGGACTCACCGTTCGAAACAACTGACCAGCATCAGCGAGGCCCACGCCCATGCAAGAGGCACAAGCACGAGCACGAGGTTGACGGACGAGCAATGGAGAAGAGAGCGCCAGCCAGCCGATCCAGTGCAAGTGTGCGAGAGAAGGATAGTTAACAATACAGCTAGGCTTGCAACGGCAGTAGGGAAGACTCGCCCGCTCCATTGCTCGCCCTGCTCCCTCGCCTGGCTTGCTGGTGAGTGGCTGCAGTGATGACGAGCACAAAGAAGCAACCGCAGGGCCGTACATAGCAGCAGTAGTGCCCGCTCTGGCACGGGCGAAGCGCTGGTAGTGCCAAATGCAAAGGCAAAGGCGACTCGATGGGCGCCTGTTCTGTTTCTGTAAAAACTCGACTCAGCCGCGCCATGATGTTACCTGATGCTGCTGACAGGGCATATCACTGCCTGCGCAAGTAACAAGACGCGAATGGGCTTCGTATCCCTCGCAATGGACGAACTGGGAAGAGCTGAGCCAAGCTCGTGCTGCTGGCAAGGCACATGTCTAGATGGAGACATTGCTGTCCGCGACCCTCCGTCCATACAAGACCGAGGTTTCGTACCGACAAGACAGGACAGGACAGGACAGGACTCGGGCGCCGCTGATCATGGCGTGTAATACTGCCGTATTGCGACAATACATTAATTACGGCTCCGTACTTCGTTTTTTTCTTTTCCGCCCATTCGCCTGGCATGCCTGGTCCGACTTTGTGGCTGACGCGGACCCGGCGCGCCTCTTCCTCACCCACCCACCCCTCCCCGCCGCATGCACGCACCTCCACCTCGACATTCCACCGACTAGTCCGCGGTGTAGATCTTCAGCCTGTATCCCTGCCATCGCTGAGTCTTATCATCAACGCCGTGCAGATACCCCTGGTCGCTCAAACATCTTCTTCCATGGCTAACCGGGACGGGCTCGACCCACCCAGGAGCCTGGCGCTGCATCTACCTGCGAGGCACTAGCTCATGCCGGAACCCTCCCCCAGTTGATGGATTCATCGTCGCTCAAATGCATAGTCAACACGCCCTGTTAGGCATGGCCGCCAGTTGTACCCGCTCTTACATTGTCTACCTCGACACTTACCTGCGCCGCCAGAATTGCCTTTTCCCACGCCAATTCGCTCCCCGTGGTTGTTTTCTGTCTCCCACGTCCTGCTCTCGCTACTGCTACCTCCCCAGCCTGCTTAGCTTGCTGTACAGCACATGTACCACTTGCTCGATTCTTGCTTGACCTTGTCCTTCTCACACCACGGTTAGCGAACGGGCTCTGCAGTCAGCTCCACAGCCATCTTGACACACAGTTTTCGTCTGACGTCCCAACCCCCCAACCCGAAGCGTCTAAGAATCGACCTGACGTTCGCCTTTCCCACCTTAGCCTCTGTCCTCGTCTCCACTCCATGCTCGCCCCATTGTAACACCTACAAGGACCAGCAATCTTCTGAAGCACTCGTCCACTACCCTGCTTGCTTCTTAGCTCACCGTTACCTGCAGCCACATAGGGCCTCCCCGCTTCAGTCCTCGCCACGCTCTTCCACTCGCCTTTTGATGTCCCCGCCTCCATTTTCATCTTTTTTGATCTGTTCCTGAACCTTGGTCCTTTTTATCCCTATCAATACCCCTTCCAAGTCGACCTTGCAGCCATCATCAACAACCCCTTTGTGGCCAACTTCCTCGTAGTACACGCTTTCTTTTTAAGCAGTAGACATTCGAGCCGGATATCCAAAAATGGTCTTCTGTACATATTGTGGACAGTCGTTCACCAGAGACGAGCATCTGGAACGTCACATCCTTACTCGTAAGTCGTTCGTCGTTCTTCATCAACCCAGTAGAATCGTACCAGAAGAAAATTGCACGGGGCTATCGCTAACCACTTTTTGACGAGCAGACACCAATGTAAAGCCATTCAAGTGCTTTACCTGCCATATGAGCTTCGCTCGACGGTACGTCTTCCCAACCATGCTCTTTTCCCGTGCTCTTATCAAAGATTGAGCTGCTGACGTGCCCACAGAGACCTTTTGCAGAGGCATTACACAGTCCACGGCCGTAACCAAAACAACGAAGAAGGTCTTCCACCGCAAGGGATAATACCCAAGTCAGCCGGCCGCACACCCATTGCCTGTAGCAACTGTGCAAAGACGAAGACCAAGTGCGATAAGAAATTCCCTTGCACCCGATGTGCTCAGAGAAACTTGAAATGCACACTGCGTCCCACCAGGCGGGCGTCGAAAGGCGTTCAGCGGGTGGGTGGTCCTGCTGAAGCTGGCAGCGGTGACTCCAGTGAAAGCGGCAGCACCACCGAGAACCAAAACAATTCTGGCAATACTTCTCCCAACCATGAATCTCAACCGCAATCACAACAACCGACTGCCCAGTCTTCTCCTTCTCAGATCCAGTCACGACCTCAGCTTTCCAGTGGCCAGCCTTCATCTCAACGGCAATCTCAATCTCCATCAGCATCTCACTCACGAAACCCATCAATTTCCCAGTCAGTACAGGCGCCATCACACATTAGCCCTGAGGAGAAGGCTCTCCATCTACCGCTTACCAACACACCCCCATTCTTCGACCAGTCACCCTCACACGCACTCTCTCAAACGCCTTCTCTTCTCTCGCCATTGCCCACACCAGTCACTGGCATGAATAGTTTTGTCTCTTCAACGCCCATGTCTGGATACGACGACTTCGTACGGACAGTACGTGACCAGGGTGACAACGAGAGCCCACAGTTCATGATGGATCCATGGCATAACATGCCCATGGATACTGGTTTTGATTCCATGAGACTAGATCCATCACTAATGATGTCGATGGGCATGGACATGTCCATGGGTCCTCCACCGGAAGGCATCCTTGGGATGATACCCGAAATGTCGCCGGCACAAACGTTCGCCCACGCACCAACACCTCGCGTAGACGAATCCTTTTCAGATCTTCAAATTGGTAGTTCTGCCGCAATGTTCTACCCGTCAAATAGACAATCTTCTATAGCAGATGCAGGTGTCCCTGACTTGGGTGCAATCATCGCCGCCCAAGATGGCTGGACCGTGTTCCGTTGTACTCCTTCCATTGCCTCGAGTTCCTGCCCGCGCACTGCGAGGTTAAATCTTGAGCGTCTGGAGCTCAGCCTAAAGAACCACGAAGCGTGGAGTAGCTGGACCCCTTCATGGGATGAATCCGACTTTCAGCAAGGAGGGCGCATAGCAGTATCCAAGTTGCAAGAGTCGACGCGTGACAAGCTCCTTGCCATCACTCAAAGCTTCCTCCACAAGGCTCTTGACATCCACAAAGAAGGAACCAGCACCACGAGTAGCGGTGAGTCTCCTGGCTCAACCGCCTCCCACTCCAACTTTGTTCTTCTGCCACCTGCTCGCGTCCTAGAGTACTTCCTCAAGTCATATGCCAACTCTTTCGAACGCTACTATCCTACCTCTGCGAGGGGAGTGCTGGATACGAATGAGCTGATGCAAAATTACAACGACAAGGCATCAAGTTTGCTCATTCTCATGATGATTGCACAGGGTGCCATGACGATTCCATCGATAGAAGCAAGGTGGTTGACTGGTGGGTTTACCGAAGCCTGTCGCATATCGCTCTTCGATCTCATTGAGAAGAATATTATCATGGCTGGCGACCCCATTGTGTTGCGTGCAGCCCTTCTCTTCACTGTTCAAGCGGCGTGGAGTGGCGACAAGTGGCAGATGGACATTGCCATGGGACAGCGCGGTATGTATTTTTCGATGCTGCGACATTCTGGTATTCTGGATGTTCGCCCGCCGTCAACGCCTCATATGAATGGAACATCGACGACGGACTCGCTGTGGAAGGACTGGCTTCAGCAGGAAAGCCGCAGTCGGTAAGTCTCTGATCTAGTCACATGCCATCACTTACTAATCATAACCCCTAGCCTCATCTACTCCTGGGTCATGGTCGACCAAGACCTGTCACTTTTCCATGACACAGCGCCACTGTTCTCAGTCACCGAGTTTGGCGCTCCCATGCCCGATTCCGATCGTCTGTGGCAAGCGCAAACTGCTTCAGAGTGGTCGGACACGTTCAATCAAGTACACGAGTTTTCCAACGGTTACTCATCCGTGGGCTCAGGAGCGAGGCCACCCAGTCTCCGAGATCTTTTCCGTTACTTCCTGGATGATGAGATTGTTGTCCAAGACGTGCAGGAGATCCACCTTACACCCATGCACTTGCGTCTGCTGCTGCATCCCCTGCAGACCCTTGTATGCCAGTACTGCCAACTCCTCAGTTGCTTCTCCGATAGCGTAGCATCGCGATCGCGCAATCGGGCCCTCACTGCAGCGTCGACGCGCGTGCGTCTAGAAGAAGTGCAAGCGCTGCTGGGTCGCTGGTTCGATCTCGCCCAGCGGTACATGAAGGCCAGCCCAATCTGTCCCATGATGCAAGCCAACCTCGTCATGTTCCACCTCATTAGCATGAATGCTGTATCCAACTTTCCAGAAATAGAGCGTCTTGCGCGCCGCGAAGGCATCGATGGCTCGTACCAGCAGATGTCCTGGATGCATAAGAAGTGTCTATCAGATGTCCAGGAAGCCATTACGCACGCTGGCCAAGTCCTCCGTCTGATCCGCGATATGCCACGAGGGATCCGCCCTCCATGGTGGGCAGGCGCCGTATACCGCGCTGCTCTCATTGTCTGGACTGACTCGCTGATTCAGAAAGAATCGCTGAGCCCTAACCAGCAAAATGCGTATCAGCAACAACCGCCCAACGCTGCGTTCTCAATTGATCGTCTTCCTGCCGATCATCCTACCATACTGCGATACATGTCGCGAAGAGATGGTATTCCTACTCTTACCAAGCGTGACGGTACACCTGTTCCTTTGGACAACGGTTTCGCTGTTCTCTCGCATTGTGTTGATATCATTGATGAGGGTGTCGCTACTAGGTTTTCCGACGGCATCCGTAGCAAGCTGCAGAAGCTTTCGCGCGGTTAGAAGATGCGATAAGTTCTGCCTTTTCCATTTATGTTCCGGCCATATCCTCGCATAGAGCGAGTTGAAGTGTGCTTAGCGGGCGTCTTCGGCGTTGTCTTATCTTCTGTTGTGTCGTTTTTTGTTTTCCAGCACTTAGAAACATGTCACTTCCATCAGTATTCCGCGTCACAGCATACTTTCGAGATGACTGGAAGACGGTATACGCGGTTGGCTTCAGCGTTCGACCGGGCATTCGCAACGGCGTTGTTCTGGCTTCGGGTCTCGGCTTTTTTATTTCGGAATCTGGCTTGGAGGCCTGCTTACACTGGGAACGATTGGCATATCGAATGTCAGTGCTATACAATTAGAATGGGCACGTTAGTAATGTATGGTACATAAACTGGATGATGAATTACACTTACCGAACCTTGAATGAGTATTAATGTCCGCGATGCATGTGTCAAGTGTGACCAGCGATGAGGGGTACCGTGTCGAATGAGAATCAGTGATGATATGGCATCTCCTCTCAATCATGGAGGATTGACGACGGTAAGTAGGCCGACCTTTGCTCTCAATTTAGTTTACTTACGACAAGACATACGTACCAAACAGTATTCCTTCAGCCAGACAATGCATCTTCCTCTTCCATCTTATCAGATGCGGTGAATGTTCGTTGGTACCAGTGAAGTATAGACCAGTGTCGATTCTCTTTGGTGGGAAAAGCTGACCATGTTCATTTGCCTGGACCATCCATCCTCCTCTTCTTGCATCTCATTCGTAGACGCGGGAATGCTTCGACGAATTTTTGATCAATCGGTATCGTCCTCCACAAAAGGAATGGCCAGTCAAGCTGATCACTCCCTCATTGCACTCTTATACCTCCTCGTTTGTTCATTCGCCCACACCCTCAACTGAACCGTTCCGTCCTAGATCATCTGCAAACATGCCTTTTGAGTGTTATTTTCTTTTTCTTTGGCGTTCACTTGTTTCAGATACATGTTGGCCAAGCATGGGGCGCGTTGGTGGTTCACGAATGGTAATTGGTGTCTTAGGTAGTTGTGAGGCTTTCCATGGCTGGCGGGGTCGAACAAAAGACGCGTGCGGTATCGTATGTGGGTATGGCGAGACCGGCAGTGGCGGCGGGGTGTTCCTTCTCAGCCGTCTGAACAGATGAGGTAGGCATTTTGATCAGTCTCTGGGATATCGTCGATACTGGGATTCGGATCACGGTTTGGCAGTGAACTGACTAGCAGCACGGGGTATATAATCCAGCAAAGGATCGGTGAAAAGGGGTGAGCAAGACACTTGGGCTCCGGACAAAGAACCCTACCTGCAACCTCTTCACCCCTCTTCTCAAAGCGTTAGTGATGAGACACTTGTGTGGAGCATAATGCGAGGCAAGGCGTCATAAGGCACGTCCCCCCTCCGCCCCCCTTCGATCCTTTACCTAGATCATCTTTCGCCTCTCCTCTTCCCGGATGCTACGCTACGCTACTTACTCGGGTACACACGTCGTCACACCATTAAGACACCCGCCTCATCCCTCCACTACCCCAGTCAGCAAGCTTTCCGGATAACTTGGACCAACGCCCGTATTGGTCATTTGCAAAGAAACCCAACCAACTGGATAGTACAACCACCCGCCCACTTGATGTCGGCCAACTCTCTGGGAAACTGCAGATCGGAGAATGCCCATGTCATTCACCGGACGCGGCACCAATCTACACTACACACTTTTACTGGGTATATCTAGTTAATTACGGGTTTTATATGCAGTAATGATGTTCCGGTGTCAACCAGAATGGTATGCAGAGAGAATAAATCCCCCCGGAGGGCAACAGACAACCTGTACTTTGCTGCATGAAGCCTGCTTTTGGCATCAAAGCTTACGCGTTCAAAAATCATCCTGGGATACGCTGGCCAAATTCAAAGCTGACTGGCTGTTTTTTTCCTCTTGCGTCCAATGACCACGCGTCTTTTCAAGTTCACGCCTGGGTATTCCCTCTGACGTCGTTCTTCGTGTACAAATTGCCCAGCACGCCCCCCACACACCTAGAGACATGAAATCAGTTAACGCCGCCTCCTCATAAAATAGCGAGCAGCAAAAAACGCCATACACAATTTCGTCACTCTGCCTTCTCTTTCTCTCTCTTGCACGCTAAATAACCCACGACAACAAAACGCCAAGGCCACGGCTGCCCGCATTGCAATCCCCGTAGTACATACGGTACGTATTCTAGCCAACATGACAACAAAGAAGAAAAGAAGCGAACACGCAGAACGCCCACCGGCCCGCCCTCACTCATCGGTTATTTCCCGTTTTCAATCTCCGACGGACAGAGAGAAAGAGAGGGAGAAAAGAGGACTAACGTCCTGCATCTCAGATTCCTAGGCTCAAGCAAGAAAATTTACTACCAGTCAGGCATCCAACGCCATAAAGCCCGTATTTCCCCCACTTTTCTACTATTCCCCCATCTCCCCACCTCTTTCCACGAGATGAAATGAGAAAAGAAAATATAGTAGTAGTAAACAAACGGTCGGCAAGTCGGACATTACTCCCACCGTCCTCCGCCGCCGCCGTTTGCCCAGCCTGGTCCAGCCCAGCTACCATCCGTGCCCAACCCTCCCCCTCCTTCCTTTCCCAGAAGACCGAAGATAACATGAATCATAAATTCCTACGAGTAAAGCACAAGCGAAACGTGCGTACGTACATTCGTATCCCAACACCTCCATTCCTCTCTCCGCTACTGTTTCTACTCCTACCCAAAAAGGAGTTAGTAGGTACACGTAAAGGGATAGTATCGGCACAAAGCAGACGTAAGGTATGTCCTGCCCCCAACCCCAACCCCGGCGCAGATCGCTGCGGTTTTGCCCGCCCCGCGGGCTAGCCGAGGCTGTGCGCATGGGTTTGGGCGTGTTGGTGAACGGAGTACCGGCGGCGCATTTCGGGTGGTGTCCGAATGGGCCGTTGTTTGGAAGTGCGGAGAAGAGCAAGACCAAGACCAAGGCAAGGGCGTTGGTAGGTCACGTATTACACAGCTTTTTTCATATATACCCTCATTGTAAGGGTATATGGGTTATCAAGTGGGATGGTAAGGATGGTAAGTGTACACGATGGCATACCAGTGCATGGGTAAACGGGTATATACGGTGATCGACTCCGGGATATACCTGTTACAGGATGATGGGTACGCAGGGGAATGAATCGTGAACTGTGTTGATCGGTGGAACCCTCGTTTTTTCTTGCTCTCTTTGTAAAGAATTGGGGGAGAGTGTGCTACGGGTGGAGGGGGGGCGAAAGTATCTTGGTTATGTAGCATGCATGACACCACGAAGACGTTGGGTGAGACGTTTTTTGGGAGTACAGCCGCTTTCAACGGGGGGGCGGAGCTGGCTCAACTTGTGTGTGTGCAATTTGACAATGGTGAGGCGGTTTTCTTACTGGTTGGTGGATGAATTGTTGTTGCTAGAAAAGTGATGCAGTGCAACGGGCAAGTCGTTTGCGTGCTACGTAGAGTACGGTCTGGTAAGACATGGTACAAAAGCCAATATGTGTTTGCCATCGTCTTAAATGATATCCTGTATTACACCACATGCACACAAAGTGCTCTTTACTCCCTTTTTGGGTCCTTCATATTATGGTATACCCTATGTCATCTTTTGTAGTCATCAGCCTTTACGCATGCTTCTGCGCCAGAGCCTGTCTACAAGGTTGTGGATACTTCCGCGGATCCTGCAGCGAGATGTTGACGGTATCCACGTCGAAGTGACATGTTCCCGCGTGATGGCTACGTGTGGTATACGCTCGAGAACCAATGGCATCCCTGAGGATAATCGCAGTGTCGAGGCCGTTGTATTGCTGTCGTCAAAATAACACACATCCAGTGACGGCATCTGGACACCAACCAAACGTGAGATAAAGATTGCCAGCCACGTCACGTAGCATGCCCATCAACTTTCCCACCATCTCCCATGCGTCTGTAATCTGGATGAAAACAATCCAGCCCAATCTCCGTACCACTAAGCTCTCGTGGTCCCTCGTATTCGAGCGCAATCCCAATATACACACATGAACCCAATAACTCAAAATAGGCGTTAGTAGTAAGAACCCGAGTATCGAAAAAGGGATGCTGTCAGCAATCCGAAAACCATAATCATTCACCAGCATACAGCGTGCTGAAGACATGAAGTGAGGTGGACATGCACGGACGAGGGGGGGGGGGGGTGGAGTTGGCCTACAAACCCGCGGATCCCCGCCATGGGCCCGCCGCCGGCATCGCTACTAGCTGCTAGCTAGTCCACCCAGCACTTTTTCGACTGCATTGCGACACCAAGGGCTGTAGAGAGGAGAAACAATCACCGTTGCCGAATTGCACGACTCTCGCGCCTTTTGCCGGGGCCCTTTGATCCGAATACCAAGAGTTCGCTGGTGTGAACGGCGGCCTATCAGCATGAATGCATGGGGAGCCATGAGCTTGTGTTTTGAACAGTTCTCTGGTTTGAGGGCACTACTACTGGGGAAGCATGATGCCGGGTCTTGGTGAGCTTACCGGACTACCACTACATGGCGGTTTGCGATGATCACATGACATTGTCAGCAGTAGGATTTTCAGGGCTGTACTGGTGGGAGACGGCGGACCCTTGATGGATGCGTGGCTCATGTACACTAAGACAATGCCTCGATAACGGAGTCCCGTAGACTGCAGAGGTTAGATGCTACGATCCTACAGGGCTGTCGCACCAGGGAACACGAAGTTTTCCCCACTTCCGTCTGGACAATCTGAAAGAGAGAGTGTCACATATCGCGATTACTCTACAATTCACTCTCAAACATGATCCACAATTACCGCTTTCTAAGAAACGCTGTTTCTATTTCCGTATGACAAGAATAGTCTTGATTCATAGAGTAATAGAAGTGCTAGTAGAAACTTTGGTGTTGCGTGTATCGGGGGGCCTGATCCACCATCCAATGAGAAAACAGACATCCCATCTTTCGCACTTCGGCCCCTCCTCCCGGACTTTGTGCCCTGAGGCTCAGGCTCTCCTACGGGGACTTGTCACCACGGAACCGCGCGCGGGCGCAGGTACACTCGCAGTTTCAGCCCTAGGACCCACGAGCCTTGGGGGCGAGAGCGATGTGCCGGACCCGGGAGGGCAGTGAGATGGTGGTGGTGGTGGTGGGGGAAAAACAGTAGCAGCTGGGTGATGGAGGGGGAAACAGCGACGGTTCTTTGCAATGGAGAGCAGAGGTACCTCATGGCCAAAGGCCTTTTTTGTTCCGCCTGGAGTTCCGGATGGCAAACTGGGAGGTATATATGAGGCATTGTTTGACCGTAGAAACAGAATATCATCACATCATCGACAGCTTCTCTTCTCTACAGCTTTACTACAACAACAACAATAGACTTTTGTCTTTCATCACCAAATCGACACATTTACAATGGCCAACATCGAGCAAACATGGAGCCTCGCCGGCAAGGTCGCCGTCGTCACCGGCTCAGGTAAGACATCATTAGCAATGAACAGTATACCTCGTTCATCAAGCTGACCAAATCACCTTCAGGCCGCGGTATCGGGAAGGCCATGGCCATTGAGCTCGCCAAGCGCGGTGCCAAAGTAGCCGTCAACTACGCCAACGCCGTCGAGGGCGCCGAGCAAGTTGTCAAGGAGATCAAGGCCCTCGGCAACGGCTCCGACGCCCACGCCTTCAAGGCCAACGTCGGCAACGTCGAGGAGTCAGAGAAGCTCATGGACGACGTCGTCAAGCACTTTGGCAAGCTCGACATTTGCTGCTCAAACTCTGGTGTTGTGTCTTTCGGCCACTTCAAGGATGTCACCCCCGAGGAGTTCGACCGTGTCTTCACCATCAACACTCGTGGTCAGTTCTTCGTTGCCAAGGCTGCGTACAAGCGCATGGAGATGGGTGGCCGTATTATCCTCATGGGATCCATCACCGGTCAGGCAAAGGGTGTCCCCAAGCACGCTGTCTACTCTGGCTCAAAGGGTGCTATTGAGACTTTCACCAGGTGCATGGCTATCGGTAAGTCGATTCTGCCTCCAAACTTCGGGTAATCACGTACTAATCATATATTCAGATGCTGGTGAGAAGAGGGTCACTGTCAACTGCGTTGCTCCCGGTGGCATCAAGACCGACATGTACCACGCTGTGTGCCGTGAGTACATTCCCAACGGTGACCAGCTCTCCGACGACCAGGTCGACGAGTACGCCTGCACATGGTCCCCCCACAACCGTGTTGGTCAGCCAATAGACATTGCCCGCGTCGTCTGCTTCCTGGCTTCTCAGGATGGTGACTGGGTTAACGGAAAGGTCATTGGCATTGACGGTGCTGCTTGCATGTAAGCGGCTTTGGTTAGTGCTAGAGCATGATCTCTCTCTCTCTTTTTTCCTTTCCAAATGTTTTAAGCTGGCATGTATCGGCGTTCTTCTCCATAGAAGAAATGAAACTTTTAATCTCCCATTGCATCTCAATCTTGCCTTGTGACGTGGTCCTGTTTGATTCGTTTCATCAACTCATCTCCACATTCTAATAGGAAAACTAAATGTCAGTTTAGGGAATCACAGCTTCCTTACTCTAAAAAGCTGCCATCTTGAACAAGACAGATCTATATTTAAACCTAGGTTTCCCACCTCTAGGCACTCTTTTGCATACCCATACAGTATAGATCTGTACACACACCCGTCACATGATCAGTGATACCCCCGCCCACTAGGCGCCTTTACACTTCCACTTGAGAAGGTAGCCTTGTACTTATTGTCCATGACCTTCATCCTCTGTTTGCTCTCAATTCCAGTGCGGTCGGTTGTAGGCTGTGCGGCCATGAAGCTATCAAACTCATCATCTTGCGAGTCACCCTCTCCTGGCTCGCTGTCGTCCTCGTCTGCAGGAAGTCCATTCTTTGGCAAAGGCTCAGTCACGGGTATACGTTTGGGTGCTTTCTTCTCATCCTCGTCCTCGTCATCTTCGTCCTTTTTTGTAGGATTGGCAAACGGCTTGGAGGCAAGCACACGGCGCCTCAGTTCTGCCATTTCTTCTTCGTCATCCGAGGACTCCGGGATGTTGTAGGGGTTCCTGGGATCGATCTTGTTCTCTTCTTCGTCGTCATCCTCGCCACTCTCTCCATCCTCGTCGTCATCGTCTTCATCCGACTCGTCAATAACACGCCTGTTCATGTTTCCCCCCGCCCACTCATCTTCCTCAGCACCTTCCTCCTTTTCAGTCCTGCTTGTATTGTATTCACGCTCAATCTTCTCCAGCCATACCTCCTCGGCTTTCTTGATCTGCTCTTCATTTTCGCACGCCAGGTAGCGTTTAAGCAAAGCGGCGTTAATATCCAAGAATGCCTGGCCGTACGAGAAGGTCGACAAGATCGATTCAGCCCACTCGGGGTGGCCACAAATATAAAAACACGCCGCCAACGCTTCGACGCAATTCAGTCGCCATGGCCGGCCGTAGTTGGTAGGGTTTGCCGCAACAAGGTAAGGGAGTAGGCGTTCGCATTTGCCGCCTATCCTGCCAAAAGGCACCTCGTCTATCCTGTTCCAGCTCGCTTCCACTACAGCAGCGCCATATTGCTCCAACAATTCCTTGTCCTCGCGACTTATTATCTTCTTTGCCTTTGGGCTCACCACCACTCCTGCGAACTTCTGCCCCACATGCAATTCGCGCATCATGCCTAGGCGCATGAGCCTCTTACCCGAACAACGTTTCGCATCGCAGTGGCCGAGATCCCAGCATGCGGCCTTGAATTCAGGCTTAGCAGACCTTGGGTTGGCGGTGTCATTCTCCTCTTCGTCTGAGGCGCGGCGCGGGCGAGGCGCAGGGCGTGCTTTGGCGGGGTTCTTGAACTTGTTGTTGCCCTTGAAATCTTTCTTATGGCGAACCATCTTGGCTTGTGAGAGTTTGAAATTTGAGGTAGAGTGGCGAGTCTGATTTGTGACGAATGAGTGGACAAGGTCGGAGGGGCAAGGGTGTGGAATAACTTTGTAATCGATAAGTGGCGCTAGCGTGGTGACGTCGTTCACACTTGTCGATGACCTACAGAGTACCACGCAACTAACAAAATAGGATATTATGAGCTGAAGGATATCTTTTCAGAGCAAGCCAAACTTTGTTTTCACCACCCCCACTGTGAAAGCCCAGGTAAGCGCCCTTCGCAAAGCAACAACGCATCTTTTCTATCACAATGGCTATGGAACTCCAAGGCTCGTAATCTCACCCATCTCGTTTTTCTGCTGTCCTCCAAGAGAGTACGAAGCCTTCCATCTCATCTTCACATTATTTCCCGAACCTCTTTGGACGTTGTTCACGCGTATGTTTTGTGTGATGCCGAACTTCTGGTTGGGCCCGAGATTGACGCCTGATTGGGGTTCAAGCTGGAGTTGGGCACCCTAAGATTTGTTTAGCAAACTGCAAAAGGTCAGAGCTCATGGTTAAATTTTACCTTTGAGGCAGCCACTTGGAACGTCAAGCCAGAGACTGGCAAAGGAGTATTGTTGGATATCCGTGATTGGATCAGCAGGACTGTATCTGTTTCTCTCGAAATGTTGAAAAGAACGTTGATGCTTGTGTTAGTGACGGTCAATTCCTTAGAGGTATCAGGTACAGATGAAGCAAAATCCCACTCGTCGTCGTCATTAGCGGCATCCGTGCTTTGTGCGAGGTTTGCTGCCGGCGCAGCGGCGACGCCACCGCCTAGTAGATCAACCGCACCAGAAGTGGCAGCTGGCGGCTTAACTGATTGTTGATACTGGAAGGGTGAGGCTTGTCGAGGGGTAGAAGCGAGAGCAGCAAATGGGTCTGGTGTGCGGGCCGGCTGCGGGGGAGGAGTTGAAAAGGAAGATGGAGGGGGCGATGCGACTTGCGATTGAGTTGACTTTGGTCCTGCATTGAAGAGATCGGTTATGGCTTGGTTGGTTGCCTTTTGCGGGGCCGCCATGCCAGATAGACCAAGAACTGAGAAATGTTAGTAATTGTAACCAAGAATTCAAATAGATCCGCTTACCTGAGCCATTTGAACCGCCCAGAGCTATGCTACCAGATTGTCCGTAAGATTCTCCACTCAATGACAAGCCCAATAAATCATCTTCAAGTGCGTTACCTGCAGCTGGCGCTTGCTGCTGAGCCTGTGATGATCCTCCTGCTTGTGGTGTAGGTTCCGGATCTCCAAAATCAATCAGGTTTAATGTGTTGTTGGGACCTTGAGATACTCCAGCACCACTGCGACCAAGCGTTCCCTGAGGGATGTTGTTTGCTGCTTCGATATCTCCCTTTTTGAAAAGCTTGTATCTCTGTATCGTCCGGTGTATACTGTCATTGATCTCGAAGAGTTTCGCCACAGCCTCGTGATCCTCGGAGTCCTCCTCGCACATCTTCTGGATTTTAGGTTGCGCATTCTGAAGGGCATTGGCCAGCTCCTGCCACGGGTTAGCCAAACAACGGCCACCATATACCGCCATCGTTGCGGACATACTTCAAAAACATCTCCCTCTTTGATCTGATCGCCTGGCTTGTAGCCTTGCAGCATTTCCTCTAGGATTCTAGCTTTTTGTTGTATCTTGCCAACCTCTTCGGCAGCCTTTGCCCGCCAATCGGTCTTGTTTCGTGTATCGTATCCGGCCATGACTTTCATGAGCTTGTTGGCTTCCTGCAGGTCTGCAGGTCCACCCCGACGGATCAATTCTTGCAGTTTTGCGGATTGCGCCTCCCGTTCTTCCTCTGCCATCTCTTCTGCTGACCGGAGGTTCTACGCATCGTCAGAAATACGAGACTATCACGAGCAATTTCATGCACATACATCGCTCGGATTGAGCACTGCAGCGTCTTCTTTGCGAACTTCAGGGAAGATGTATCCCTTATAACTTAGCAGCCTATGCATATCCCTTATGAAGCCCAGGTCGTCCTTGTAGCGCGACGTTTGGCATATGGTTTGCCGCCATTCTTCTATGAGCTCGAGAATCTTGTTCTGCACTCGCGACGAGTGGATAGGCGGACGTTCGGGAAAGCGGCGGACAAGTTCGTTGAGGAATTCCTTGGTACTGATCTGGAGGTGGAAAGGATAGCCGCAATTCTTGACACATATGTCGAGGAGCTGTGTTATGGTGAGCTATGCTGTTTTAAAGCGGGGCATCATAGGCATACGTTGAGCGCGAGGAGGGCGACATTCTGATTGCGGTGATTGACATAGTGTACAATTGTGACAGCCGCTTCTCGGGGCCTGGAAAGTCATTAGGATTGCGCTTGTGTAGTGGTGGGGTGTCTCCGATCCTACGCTGTGCCTTTCTTACTATTGATCAGGTCGGTGATCTCGAGATTCAGGGCCAGATTGGGCTCAAAGTTTTGCGGGTCACATGCTTGCACTGCGCCTCTTGTATCAGCATCATCCACATAGGTGCGGCATTTGTTGCGTACATATATAGCGTTGCAGTTGTGAAGTCGGTGCATCTCCGTATATGCCGTAGCGATCGCGGGTTGCCATGCGCGCAGACGCTGCCTCCATTGCGCCGCGGGGCAAGTTTAAAAATGAGACGTCGAGTCAATAGCGGCGGGTAATTCGGAAACTCAGATGTGTTCGGGCGCGTCTGCGGTATCCGGTGGAATCGATATCGTGTACACAGAGATTTGGTGGGGACGGGAACAGCAGCAGCTCCACAGCGTGTAGAGAACAGCCTTGGCGCCACAGCTACGTAATGCGCTTGCATCTCACATGTGGCTTGGAGTTCGTCGCCCGCTTATGTACACATTTGCATATCTTCACGGAAGACAAATCTACGTCTACTCTCCTTCCACTGACAATATGTATTTTTGGAGCCTACAAATGCTGAAGCTATCCCCACATCGTTGCATTCGTCGCTTAGACGGTCCAGTAGTCCTTTACCAAGTACGCCGCATATCCAGCAAGCCCAGCTAATATCGCCTGAGTGCCGACGAAACCAAGCGGTCTTCCGGGACCTTTCCCGCTGGAAGCCCTCAAGCCAAGCTCAACATGGCCGACACGGAGAGCAAAAAGAGCACCAAGAGCGTAGCTGAGGTAAGTCCTAACACACTGGTTAGATCCAACATAATCATGCATCGGCGTAGTACAATTACCTGTTGGCTCCGTTGAGCTCAGCAAGGAGTGCAATCGAGAGTATGAATGGTACGTTTTCGACAAAGTTGGCTTGCGCACGTGTGTCCACAAAGAGAGGGTCCAGTGCGCCTTGAGGTGCGCCCGACTTATCACCCAATACACTATCACCAGGATTAGTCTACAAGCACTTTTTATATATCAATCAGCTTTGACTTACGTCTTTGTGCCAAATCGCTTCGCTACAATGCGCTGCTGGAGGAAAAGGTAGTAGGCCGCGAACGGAACTGCCCAAGTGGCAGTAACAGGAGCAAGGAGTGGCATTGGCACGCTAAGACCGACTTTAGTTGCCATTTTCGATAGAGGGATGGGTATGCGAACAGTAATCCATCAAGAACAAGTGCGGAAGAGAGCAGCTTTATAAACTAGTGGAGTGTTAAAGTGGATAGGGCATAGTAGGTCCGAAACAAATGTGTCTCGGGACCCATGTCGTCTTGGGTATTTTAGCGCATTATACAGGTGTGAATCTAGCAAATCGGCATTAAAATATTTCGGTTGCATGAGAGATATAGATGAGATAGGTATGCCAAGACTGCAGTATAGTACAAAGAGGTAAAGCTGGTGTTGATACTGTCCGGCCGGTCGGTGAATATTTGCACCTTGGCACCGAGTCTAAAAAAAAATCAAATTTCCGGATACATTCGTGGACAAAGTCCCTGGCCGGATGTTGGTGGACATGGTGATAGATCTTGGAGTGTGGAGGTGGTTGAAAAGCAAAAGGAAAAATGCTCCCACGATGGACTACTATGTTCCAATCCTCATCGACTCTGAAGCTTCGATCAGATTATACTTCGGACTTGAATAGGTCGACACTTACAGGCTTCATATGTTCGGCGTCATTTTCCTTGTTGTCTTCGCGCACTTCTTTAAGCATCTTATCAATACCTCGTTCATTCAATGCTCTCTAATAGACCATGTCAGATGCGGTGCAGTTCATCTTGGGCATATATACGGACAGAAAGACATTTTTCGTACTGCTCAAAGATGGGTTTGCAGTCATCGGTTGTAGCAGTGCCACGTAGAAATTCTGTGCATACGTTAATTAGGGCCAGTTCCCAGTCGCAATAGATACGTGACGTACTCTCGCTGTACCACTTTAGGAAGCAATTATCGTAACGCCTATCAGATGTCAGCATGATGGTTGCGGCACCACAACAAGATGTGATACCCACTCTTTGACTTGGTTGCATTCTGGTGCTAATGAGGCTGACATATTTTTTGTAGTATGCTTGTGAGATGGGTGGGCCGGAGCAGCATGCGGAGGACCGAGTGAAGGTTGCAGCTACTGCCCTGACTATCGATAAGCAAAGCGCGCTAACTCTGAAATCATTTGAAGGTTTCTTTCATCAAACCATTTGCGACACGCGCACCCTTTCCACGCCAACCCATCGCGCCACGTCAAAGTGAGCCGCCCTCCAGAGCCCACGCTATCGGAACCGTCCAGGAGAATGAACGCATACTGAGAGACGCCATGGACTCCTTTAAAACGCTGCAGACAGAGATCTCGGCCGCGCTCAAACCAACCACCAGGTCTGCCGCTGCCATTGGCAAGGCAGACATCCCTTTCCAAAGGTCGCTAAATCCCGAGGCTGGCACCCAGTTGGACGCCCAAAATGCGCGCCTCCTTCACCTCGCGCAGCGCCTTCTCCAGAATGCTGCTGCGAGCTCGGACGCTGTAGGTCCCAAGCTACCCGATGTCGAAGCCATAGACGCCAATTGGAGGGGGGTTGTTGATGTCATCGACAGCTTGCTTGAGAAGGCCGACACCAGTCTGGATGAGTACACCGGCGTGGTCAAGCGGTTGAGTCCGGCTAGTGAACAGGTAGGATCTCCAGCCATGTGTGCCCAAAGCAAGGCCCATTGTCTGACCCGTGAACAGGCCGCCGTGAAGCCCCGCCCCAACATTGCCGACAGGAAGATCATTCCAAAGCCGCAGCTCCAGTTTGAGCACGTGCCGACCAACGACGAGACTGGTGGCTTCCGCCCACTCGCCACATCCAAGCCACACGCGAAGATTCCCTTGGAAGAATGTCTGAAGACATTCAGGGACAAGCGCGGACGGGAACAGTAGGGCAAAAGTGCCATGTCAATGCCATACGCTAACATCCCGTGCAGATACCCGCATCCCTACCAAACAGAAATCGAAGAGTACGAATACCCAGCAAACGTCTACGAATACGCCGAGCCGCAGCAATATAAGCCTTTTGAATCCACAACCGCAACTCTAGTCGACACGCCTGAAGCGCTGGCTACCATGCTCTCTGAGCTGAAGACAGCAAAGGAAATCGCCGTGGATCTTGAACACCATGACAATCGCTCCTATATTGGCATGGTTTCGTTGATGCAGATAAGCACTCGCGACAAGGACTGGATAGTGGATACACTGAAACCTTGGCGGCGGAAGTTGGAGTGCTTAAATGAAGTCTTTGCGGATCCCAGCATTCTCAAAGTTTTACATGGTGCTTACATGGATATTATGTGGCTGCAGCGCGATCTGGGACTCTACATTGTTGGCCTCTTCGATACCTACCATGCTGCCCGAGCACTGGGCTACCCTGGCGCCAGTTTAGCCTACTTGCTCGAGAGACACGTCAAGTTCACAGCCCAGAAACAGTACCAACTTGCAGATTGGCGCATAAGACCGCTCAGCCCAGAGCTCTTCGAATACGCACGCGCAGATACTCATTTCCTTCTCTACATCTATGACAACATGCGCAATGAGCTGGTTGAGAAGTCCGACTTTTCGAACCCCGACAAGAACAAGGTCCATGATGTACTTGAAAAATCCAAGGAGACATCATTACAGCGGTATGAACACCCTATCTACGACAGCGAAACAGGACTCGGATCTAGCGGCTGGTATAAGCTTATCTCGCGAACCCCGGTTCAATTCACTCCTGAGCAATTTGCCGTCTTCCGGGCGGTGCATAGATGGAGGGACGATCTCGGAAGGAAAGAAGATGAGAGCCCGCTATTTATCATGCCAAATCACGCCGTATTCTCTGTAGCCCGCGCAATGCCAGCAGACAAGGCCGCACTCTTCAACGCCATACAACACGTTTCACACATTATCCGATCCCATGCAGAAGAGCTTGTTGGCGTAGTTGTAGAGGCCAAGAAAGAAGGTCTGCATGGGCCAGAATTACACACAACACTTCAGACTATTGAAGACATGCTAAAAGCAGAAAGAGCTGGACCAGAAACTGCAGTAGAAACAATGAAGAAGGCTCCAGCCACAGTTGGCCAAACCACGTCACTAGCCCGAGGGATTCATACCTCTGCTGCTCGGGCTCCAGGTTCAGAGTTCTGGGGCAAGCTGTGGAAAAAGGACGCGGCCTCGCAGCCAACGCAACATCTTTCTACAATCGATATTGACCTTGCCCTTCCCTTACCACCTCTGACAGCACAAGTCTTTGCCGACGCAAACGGAACCGCCACATCTACACTAAAGGCCGAGAAACCGCAACACACCTTTGTACCAAAGGAGATGAGACCGGCGGAAGATCAACAAACCGACACATTTGTTGTGAAGCACTTGGGCGGAGGAAAGAAACGAAAGCGAGGTGACGCTCAGGAGCAAGCACCTTCTTTACAGTCTCTCGATTCAATGACGCGGGACGAAATTATGCTGGACGCACCTGAAGAAAGCTCAGAAGCCATACAGGCCCGGGAAAAGGCTGCAAGGAAAGCTGCAAGGAAACAGAAGAAGAAGGAAGAAGCCGCTGCCCAAGCTGCAGCACGCAACGGTGATGAGGCTGTCTTTGATTATGCAAATGCTAAGTCAGTGCTGCATGCTGAAGACGAGGACCCGAAAGCGAAGAAGAAGGACAAGAAAGACAAAAAGAAGAAGAAGGCAGGGTTCACAGCATTTGCAGGCATGGCGGATGCTCCCAAGGGATTGCCGAGGGCGCAAAAGGAGGTTGCGGGCCGGAGCAAAACGTTCAAATCTTGAGCGTTAGGGTAGTGTTATGCTGCGTGGTCATTTAGCCTTTTTTTCTCTTCTTGTTTTTAGGTCCAATAGATGGCCTTTTTGCGTTTGTCGTGTTTTCTTGTACACACACCTACATGGTAGATACCAACTAGGAGACATCTTAATACTGTGAGCGTACAGAACCATATCAATAGAAATAGATGCATTAATGATATCATCTCATAGAGAGGATATGTTAAATATCAGTGTTATATCTTATGCTGTATTTTGCTCAACTTCCCTATCGCCATATCGCCATATCGCCAGCCTTCCAGATCTAAATCACCCTGTCCCAAAAGATAACGTCCATGTTATTAAACCACCTTCCCATGCAGGTCCCGATAGAACAGTCCAAAATTCCCCCTCCCATCTTTGCCCCCGTCCCCACTCGCACTATTAACATTGTCCAACACAGCAAACACAACCTCTTCCCACCACCCGCCCTGGAACTCGGCCTCATCAAACACCTCTGCAAAACACTTTGCCACGTCTTCAGCCGGATTAGCAAAAACACCACAGCCCAGCGCACCAAGCACCAGCCTACTATGTCCATTCCTCGCCGCTAACCGGAGTACAAGTCTAATCTTCCTCTTCGTAACCGCCCTAGCACCCATATGCTTAAATGTCGTTTTATCGCCTGACAACGCGGGCTTCCGCAGCGCAGCAGCGCTAACAACAGATACAACTGGTAGACTCGACGCATCCTGCAGCTGCGCAGTGGGGAAAAGGGCGTGTCCGCTTGCCATGGAACTGCGGAAGAGGACGACGTTTGGGGTGTAGATTGCGGAAAGGGTGGGGAGAGGGTAGAATGAGCGGGGGAGGGAGAGGGAGAGGGAGGAGCGGTAGCAGAGGCATTCTTCTTGAGCTAGGGCGCCTTTTTGCCAGCCGCCACCCGGGGAGCGCTCTGAGGCTAGGTTGAGGACTAGGACGGAGTTTGAGGCGGGTGCTTGGGGGGTTGGTGGTGAGGAAGTCAAGTGCTTTTGTACGTTGTAGGTTGGATCTAGGTGCAGGGCTGCGTCGAAGGAGTCCATGTCTAAGACTTTTATGCTCGCTTTGGACTTGAATCCAGGACAGTCTGCGGGGGAGAGTGCGTCTGTGTCGTCGAGCTTGGTGAGGGAGGATTTGGTGGCGTCAAAGTTGGGAATGTCTGCTAGGATGTCTGGGAGGACGGCCTTGGTTTCGTGTGCGACTTTTGCGAGATCCATGTTACGCCGGTGATTGGGGCCGCGGTGTTTATTGTTGGAGTACTTTTTGCCTTTGGAATGGTGTTTTTTGTGGGATTCTGAGTTGGAGTTATCTTGATAAGGGTGACCTGAGCGTGAGTTTTGTGGTCGTGGGGAGCGTTGAGGAGCTCTTGATGTAGTCAGGAATGAGAGGATGGATTGTTGCTCCATAATGGCGACTGTGTGAAGGTGAGAGGGGGATATCGAAGCTCCAAAAGTGCTGTGTGCAAAATGACAAGTGAAAGAGTTCTAGGCTAGAGAGAGAGAGGTGATTAGAAGTGATTGCAGACAACTATCAGGCAACAGCTGGGGCGAACGCGACATAAGCTAGTCCGTTTACGTATGGCTGAGATATATAAGCTGGCAGAATTAAGGGAGTAGATGATATATCCAATCTACACACATTCACAAACAGCAAAAGATATATGGCCGGTGATAGACGACAGGCTCTGGTGTGCATTCGATAGCCACGCGATAGTTGGACGCAGGACAGGGTTGCCTCAGCCCTACGACCAGGGCTCGTGCGCACGCCCCACATTCGCGTAACCAACAGCGAGATCATGTGGGAATTGGACTCGCCTTCTTTCGCCCCGACAACCACAATAACAACACCAACAAGACAAAGAGTACTTTTACCCTCCATACCACTAGTATCCATGTAACTCTGGAATCCTTCCATCGGCGAAATGCCTGCACAACTGGCGCACCCATCTCCCAAGCGCAAACGCGACCAGCCCGCGCCCATCCCTTTACTCAACACGGCCTTGGCCCTGCGTCCAGCACCGAAACCATGCCCACGAGACACTTCGGCCCCGTCGTCTGGTGGTGATAGCCCACGAAATACCGTCGCCGACCAGCTGGGAGACATGACCCTGACAGCACTTGCGGCGATACCACTATCCCCGCTTACCCCCACCGACGATGTCCTACGCAAGAGGCCGAAGCTCGATGCCACCAGAGTCGACAGTATTGTCGGACCGAGCACTGAGTCTGTGCAAGAGACGCCCACCAAATACAACAAAAACAATAGAGATGCTTTTGATATTGGCACTGGCATGCCGGTGGCCGAGTCCTCTAGGGTAATACCAGAGACCCCTCAGTCATCACAGCCCCGCTTGTTGCCAGATATCGCCTCTTTTGCGCAACCCACCATCTTCGCCTCACCACCTGCAAGCAAACCCGTGCAACCACATAAATCTGCAGAACATGAGCTTCACGCGCAGCACGGCTCTCCGTCACGCTCTTGTCCACGAAAAAGATCGCCGACGCCCCCACCGTCGACCTTGACGTGGCAGGACAGCGAGATCACGGGGCACCTTGTTGACCCGTCAACTGACCCCGACGATGACGGTACCGGCATCAACGGTATTGGATTCAAACCTACGCCCGCTCTAGCTTATGCGAGGTCGCAAAAGCGACGACAACAACTGAACGAATGGAAACTAAGAGAGACTAGAGAAGCAAGAGCCAGGCGTAGCGAAAGACGCCTCAGAGGTGTTAGGGCCACACCATCGAGAGAGAATACAGTCGAGCGCGAAGTAATGTCCATGAAGAAAGTTGAAACGAGGCGGACAGTCAAGTTTGCCATATGATGATGGGATGAGGAAGTAATGTAATGTCCGATAAATGTGCAAGGCTCGAGGCAGGCTGCTGCCTGGGTGATGACCATCTCACGATATTTATGATGAGCGATGCACAAGTACAGGTTGGATTAACGGCGCCAGGTGTTTGAACGGTTATTATTCTTTCGGCATAACTCATACAGGAGTTTGTTTCTGGGTTTATTTCATTGTTAGATTCCTCTCAAACCAGCTCGTCAATATTCATTCCGTACTTCATCTTTTGTGTGCTCTCCAAAATGACGCGGAGTTAGTAGTAGCTTCCCATGCCTAACTCCATACCGCCTGCAGGGAATCCGAGCGCGCACGTGAAAGCGCGCACCCTGTTGGGCCAATTTTGACACCTCTTAATGTACGTGTTCATTACGTTGCATGGAAATAAACATGATCGAAGCAGTCTAGACGAGCCTTCACCCGAGATGTTTTAAAAGATGCCCTAGTGTAACGATAGAGTTGCTACGGGATGCATGGCCGTTGCTGACAGTGGCTGATCCCTGCTCCCCCGGCCTCGTCATTGCTCGACAGTTCAGCTTACTTGGATACTATAACGACCTGCGGGCATACTTGAAGCCCCTTACTCTTCTAGTTCCCTGGTAGTTAAATATCCTCAGCTGATTCATCATCTCTACTTCTTACCGAAGTACGAGATCAATACGATGCGGTTCTTGCGCGTTGCTCGGCTGCTGCCGCTCGCAGGCGCTCTCACCACCAACAATGCGCCTCCTCGCCCAAAGCAGGTCGCCATCATAGGTATGCTGTGCACTCAAACGAAGGCTATTCAGAACTGATTCGGAACAGGTGCTGGGGCAGCTGGCTCATCCGCTGCCTACCATCTTGCCCAGTATGGCGCCGAGGCGAAGACACCTACAAACATTACCGTATTCGAGCGCAACGGTTATGTTGGCGGTCGCACCACGACTGTCCATCCGTGGGATGACCAGACTGTTTCCATCGAGCTTGGAGGATCCATCTTCGTACAAATCAACCATATAATGGTCAAGGCTATGGAAGACTTCAACCTTTCTACAAATGTCCGGGAATTCGCGGAGCAACTCGACCTACCAGACCTCGGCGTTTGGAACGGCAAGGAATTCGTTGTAATCGTCGACTCGGGAGACAGTTGGTGGAGCATTGGAAAAATGCTCTGGAAATATGGCGCTGCGCCATACTGGACCAACAGGCTGATGAAGAGTGCCGTCGGCAAGTTCTTGACTATGTATGACGAGCCGGTATTCCCGTGGAAGAGTCTTAATGCTGTAGTTGAGAGTGTGGGTCTGTTGGAGGCCACAGGAGTCACTGGCGAACAGTACCTCAAGACGAATGGGATTGGAGAGGCGTTCTCGAAGGACGTTATCCAAGCCAGCACTCGCGTCAACTACGCCTCCAATCTTCCATACATTCATGGCTTGGAGACAATGGTATGCATGGCTACTAACGGAGCCATGCAAATCGCAGGTGGAAACTGGCAGATTTTTGCTCACATGCTGAAGACTTCCGGCGCGAACGTCCATCTTAACACATCTGTCAGCCACATCGCAAAGCAGGCCGACGGCAGTTACAAGATTACCACTAGTGGAAGTGAAACATCCTCTTTTGACGAAGTTATTCTCGCATCGCCTCTACAGTATTCGGACCTTGTTATCGACCCCGCGCCAAAGCATGTTCCTGATGAGATTCCATACACGAAGCTATACACGACGCTCTTTGCGACACCGTTTCAACTCAGCCAAGCGGCTTTCAACCTGGACGTCAAGTCGCCCGTACCAACAGCTATCCTTACCACCCTACCCCCATCCGAACAAGTTGTAGACGGGGCAGGCTCGCCCAATTTCTATAGCATCTCGATCAGTGGCACCGGTGTCAACAAGCGAGCATCGCCAACCCGACATGAATACATCTACAAGATCTTTTCTCCGTCCCGTGTCAACGCTACCTTTCTCTCCCATATCCTCGGTGCAGAAGTCTCGGACGAGGAAGCTAAACACGGCGAAGCCAATGGAAATGTTAGCTGGATCCACCACAAGATTTGGCATTCGTATCCTCGAGAATACCCACGTGTCACTTTTGAAGAGATTGAGCTTGATGACGGACTTTGGTATACCAGTGGCATTGAGAGCTTCATTAGTACCATGGAAACTAGTGCCTTGAGCGGCAAGAATGTTGCTAAGCTGATTGCGAATGGATGGGCGACTGGTTCGGAGGCGAGCCAAGAGGAAGTTAATCAGAGCGAGCTATAAGAATTTAGATTCGGGAAGATTACTAGAGTTTTTACGATGAAGAATATTAACGTTTGTGCATGTGACTCTTTTTATGCAAGACTAAGATACAAGACTACTTGGACAGACTGAAAAGCGAAGGAAAAGACGATTCATTATTTCATCCATTATTCCCGCAATGCAAAACCCTTGAAAGAAAACAACAAAACCACCCATCCATCTATCCTACCATTTCTCCCCTCTTACTCTGCCGCCTCCTTCATCCTCAACTTAACACCATCAGGGCACATTGTCAAGCTCAACTTATGCTTAATGATACCCTCCCCCCCCTTCTCTACCGGATCCCACAAATTCCCTGCACTCTCAATCCGCTCAAATTTCTGCGTCAACCTCACAATCGTATACGCAGCCTCAACCAGGGCAAACTGCTGGCCAATGCAAATCCTCGGGCCCCCATTAAACGGCAGATACTCCCACCCGGCCTTCCTGCCATCCCACCGCTCAGGTCGATACTTATCCGCGTCCGGGCCCCAGAAGTCTTTGCGTCGATGCATAACGTACACGCTGTACTCTACATTTGTATCCTTTTGCACGAAGATCGGGGCTGTGCCGTCCGGGCCGCCGCCCGTAGGGATCGTGGTGTCGCGGAGAGCGCGGCGGCCGTCGATGGGGACGACGGGGTAGAGGCGCAGGGTCTCGTTTATGACCCACTGGAGGTAAGTGCAGGATTTGAGGGCTTCGAAGGTGAGGTTTTGAGGCGAGGAATAGGTACCGAAAGTTGAGAGGACGACGGAGCGCAGGTGCTGGTATACGTGGGGGTGCTGTGCAAAGCACATGAAGATGTAGGAGAGGAGGGAGGCGGTGGTGTCGCGGCCGGCGAGGAGGATGGAGATGAGGTGGGTGCGGAGTTCGACGGGGTCGCGGGTGGATTCTACGAGGGCGTCTATGAAGACGTATTTTTGTTTCTTGTCCGAGGAGGGGGAGTGGGGCCGTGATTTGTCTTTGGAGAGGGCGAGTTGTACGTAGTGGTCGATGAAGGAGTGGCAGCGTTGGATGTGCGACCTGTCGCTGCTGAAGACGAGCCAGGAGGCGTCGCCGAAACGGGTGGCTGTGGAGATTTGGGCTTGGGCTCTGTCGAAGGCTACGCCAAAGTCTTGCTCGCTGATGGCGAAGGGGGCGCGGCTGGATTTGTAGCCTGGGAGGGCGGAGAGCTGCGAGTCGACGCTTTCGCCGAAGAGGAATTCTGTGGCGGAATCGATGGTTAGGCGGAAGAAGAGAGGCTCAATGTCGGTGACGTCGGTCCAGCCATTGGCATTTTTGGGAATTGCTTGTAGTAGGTGCTGGACGTGTTGTTCTTCGAGCTCTAGGTCACTGACTTGGTCCCGAGCGAATTGGGGTCGGAGCAGGGCTCTTGCACCTGCCCATTGCTCGCCATCTGTAGAGAACTGTATTTAGTGTTAGTGATCTGGACATGCTATTGAACATATCAAGAAGTCTGCCACTTACAATGCCGTGACCGAGGAGAGGGGAGAAGTTCCTGTTTCGGACAATTCCAAGTCCAAAGTCCTTGAACTGGGTTGCCAGAATAGCTTGAATGTTCTTTGGTTCGATAGTGAAATAGTTCTCGCCGCCCATGACGTTCTGATGAAACGTAGTAATTTCCCTGCCAGCCTTGGCACAAGCTTGCTTGTGGCGCTCTTCCATCCATTGAGGAACAAGAGAGTTCTTGTCCGCCTGGATCAGAATTGCAATATTGTGTAACCCAAGAGGGTCAAATCGTACCAACTCCAAAGGAGGGGCCGGTAAGCAGCCCAATTGACGGGCTGTGGCGGCACGCTTACGGGAAACAATGATTGAACATGCGATCTTGTAAAATACAAGAGACATGCCGGCCCAAAGGGCAAGCAGAACAGAGTTGTGCATTTTGTTTGTCCGTGATTATTGAGATAATGAGAATGGTACTACTTGCCTGCCTGTAGTACTTATATTTTTTCGGGGGGGGGTTAAGGCAAGACAGGTCGACTAAGCACAAAAGGCTATTTGGCACGCTCCACAGTACTCGTCCCTTAGTTTTGCAGGGATCCTTCTCCACTTGGGCAAGTGCAACGGCTGTTAGAGAAAGGCTCGTTGAAGATATCCTGGACCATGCAGCGGCACGCCTGTTCCTGTTCCCCTTTAGCACTATCGGCATCCTTGTTAATTAGCATGCCGACGGGCCCGGCAGCGTCTGACATATCCGACTCCGCACAGTATTCATGGATAGCACCCTGCTAATCTCTCTGGGGTATCAGGTGAACTGCTCTCTTACTATTGGCATGATAATCAGACGAACCTACTCAGGTCCCTAAACATGGAAGTTGCCTTAGCCTGTTCTTTTGCTTTCATGCACACCAAGCGGTTCCCCAAATCGCATCACGAATCATCAACTGCGACTCAGAGCTAAGCTAATTCCTTTTTCTTTTTCCCCACTCTCATTCTTCCCCATACGTACATGTGCATTCTAGGCATCCACGTTCTTCCACGGACCAGAGCTGTGCGCCACCTTACTAGTAATGCGCATTCGATACGCTGCCGTGGATCCAGGTTCAATTTGTTGCAGTATGTCGGCGTTTAAGTTGCCAAGGAACCCGAAAGTCCGGGTCCGGCGATCCCTGATCTCATAGGCGCAGGAAAAGTTGCTCATTCTGTAGTGTGATGATCGCGCAGCCGGATTTTTGTAATCAAAGAGTACGCTAGGCGTTTAGACTACCTGTATGAAAGCTTAGGCGGCTCGATGTCATAGATCAGTCGGCTCGATAACCCCGTTGAGATCGTGGTGTTGACGCATGGTCTCTACGGGGCGGATTTTCTGCTAAGTAGTAAGCAACCTCACCAGAACAGTAAGTAAATGCATCTTGATGAAGACTTAATGGAGGTTCATTCATGTACAGAGAGCCTATTGTGGTTTGCATGTTGTTGTCCATCTCAGCCGCAGGATCCAATAGTTCTAGCTCTCGAAAAACATTCCGAGCCAGTGGATAGCGTCTCACGCTTACCTTACTGGACGGCGCGGTAAGGCCTACCATTGGCCTCCACTATTCCAACACTTCGGCGGCGTACATATGTATATGTAGGTACACATTTAGGTATGCGTGTTCGTTGCAAAGTTTGGATACTTGCTGTCTTTTCTTCGTGGGTAGCTGGTCGCCATCAGCGTACTTTTTGTTGTTTTTCACATGCTGGCCACATTTCATACCGATTGGGCCGATTTCAGGCATCGATTGTTGTTGGGGTTACCAAGCATCAAGAATGGCACGAGTCTGCTCAACTGATCATGACTAGTACACTTGCATTACCGACTGTGAACCCCCTTGCATTACCAGATGTCGTATCCAATTAGCATCGTAGGCGCGGTTTAGGAGTAACAGGGTAGAATGCGTGACAAGAGCTGCATCGCTTGCCGATACTCATGTCACCTCCAACTACCTAATGGACCGAATGCCGGGGTCTGAATGCGATTTTTCGCTTAGTATAGCAAGGATAGTGTTCGCATCATTGGAGATCTTAGTGGGGTGCGACAATCATCATGAATCGGTGGCTCTTAGTCCGACGAAACACCGGATTAAAACAGCCCCCATCAACACGAAGCTACCCTTTGCAATCAACCGTATTCACTACGACGTAGTTAAAAACGAACATTTTGTATATAAAAGTTCTAGAGTTTTACGTATGGATTTATATGCTATAAGAAAAGATTGTAACATTCTATAATACCAGTGTGCAGTTACATCTTGTTGATATTGCGCTGTTTTGGTGGGTGTGGTTTTTATCCGTGTATCGCGTCGACCAAAGAGTCAGAGGGTTGGTGGGTACGTATAAGAAGACATGACTAATGGAGCAGCTGAAGCATGACACCATCTGCTCATCTTGTGGCATATCTTTCTACAACACACTCACATTGCCGACGCTAATAGTCTTTGACGTTTCGATTACGCAGCGATAGATTCCGTGGAAACATAAACAACTATTTAGTTAGGTTCCAGCGTCAAGGCTTTAGCAGGAAAGAGATGAGGTTTAAGAACACCACTCTCCATTCACTAAGCTGCCACCTGGTGATTAAAAATAGCCAGTGATGAATAACAACGATACTTCCTTTGAAGATTAATGAACAATATCACATGGCGCAGTTGCCTTCTTCCGATGCTACTTCTTCCGAGTATGACTAGCTGATGTGGTAGCTCATCATGGCTAGTAGCACCATCACCATCATCATCAGCACCAAAATGCCACTATGGAGAAAATAGGTTCCAAGCCGAAGAAGCTCTGTGGGGATTGCTCAGCATGGTGTTATCTTCCCAGAGGCTCAGCCACAGGAGACCAAGTAACTGGCGTCATCTACTTCAGCCGCATCATCAAGGCCTGCCACTTCACTCATCAGCGCAGCACCCGGCGATTCCAGGAATAGCTTGGGTCCAAAGAAGAAATTGGTAACCAGCGAGATGCTGTCTCTCGAGTTCGAACTCGTTGCTGACCTGGCTCGCCGCAGCATAGTCAAGGATGAGGCTGTGAGGCTGTGTTCATCCACCTTAGCGAAATTGCAACATCAACAATAGCATCCAGCTTACTTTCCTCCGGCAAAAACAGCATCCGGGGGCTAAGTTCAGGACATGAATAGAATGCTGATTGTTTGATACTTGAAGGCAGACCCGTATATATGTATGTGAGAATGTGCCGTGAAATAATTCTATCATCACGTCAACAAGCATTTACACATCTGCCTGCCTATCAAAGCTTCCACATCAAGTTCTATACTGATATTCAAATCTCCAAATCTCCAAACCCAAATAAACAAATCATCATGCTCTCTTTCTCCTCCACCATGGTCTTCACGGCCACCCTTCTCTCCACCCTCACCAACGCCATCGCCATTCCCCCCTCTACCATCAACCCCACAGGCGTAATCCACCGCATTACCGCCGGCTCCACAACCGCAAACTCAGGTCTGCACTTCGAGCCTGAAAACGTCGTCGCCCTCCCCGGCGACCTAATCGAATTCCACTTCCTACCCAAAGCGCACTCGGTAGTTCAATCCTCCTTTGCCCAACCCTGCGCACCCCTCAACACCCCCGACGCCTTCTTCTCCGGCTTCAACTTTAACACCACGGCTGGTGAAGCTCCTAACGTTTTCACATTCATGGTCAAGGATACGAAGCCCATGTGGTTCTACTGCTCGCAGACGAATGGGGATCATTGCCAGAGGGGCATGAGTGGGGTTATTAACCAGGATTTCAGCGATAATGAGAAGACATTGGCGAAGTACAAGGAGGCGGCCAAGGGAACGGTGACGAAGCAGCCCAGTGTTAATCCCGCGAAGAGTCAGGGTGGGGAAATCAAGCCTAATGTGCCTCTTTGAGGTGGAGGTATTGAGGGGATATGAAAGCGAATTGTTTGAGTGGCATTTGATTTAGCGTGGCGATGGCGTTTTTGATTTGTATTGTTGGTTTGGTTATCTTGCATAACTAGCGTAGATTAGATTCATCTTGGTGGTTTATACTTCAATTTGTAATGACTTTTATATAATTAGCAATATAAAGATTATCGCATCATGACTGCTGGAAGAATCGAGCATACTGTCTGGAAGATGGATATTGCTAATACCACCACGTTGATTGATGGTAATGAAACACGACTGGAGCCACGGGGTAATGGTGGAGAAGGGCCGAGTGGTTGCCACGCTAGGCTAGTGATAACGGGTAGGTGGGCAAGGATCTGTAGGCGGGATCTTGTCCAAACTTTTGAGCGCCTCTTCCACCCGCCACTACGCACCACAACACCACATCGCCCAACATGCGGAGAGCGCGTGGACTTCGGGTAAGCAGAACAATCAATTGTATATTTCGTCAGCTTAATAATTGACACATGTGCAGGTTTCTTCGACCCGCGATGTTTGCATCTTCTGTGCCACTCGTCAATTGGCCGTCTCTACGCCATCCCACGCCGCCCAGCGAAGACAACTCAACTCATCTAGCCGAACGCCGCAGTCAGCAGAAGGCATCATCTATAAAGATGCAAATGAACGCGAGCAGCCCATGTCGCAGGCACAGCTGATGCGCCAGGCGTTGGCTGCCAGTGCCGCCTTTGCCCCTCAACCACAACAAGGAGGATATATGTCGCCAGCAGAGAGGATGAAGGCCGCACTGGCAGCACAGAGACCACAGCAACCACAGCCACAACCACCCCGGCAGAATTCTCTCGACCGACGGCCAGTGAATAGAGCGGGTGCAACCGAGGGACATGGCCGCAATCAGACCAGAGATCGCTTTGCACCTGCCCCTCGGCGTGCGGGTGTCACTGACCGAAATGAATACAGGAACATGCAACAGAACCGGTACACAGTCAATATGGACGCCAGACCACAGGTCAATATGCCTGCATTCGGCCCTGGCCACTTGAGACGACGCAACGAGCCCCAACACGATGGCGCCTCACTCGCGTCAGACCATCGACGGATGCAGCCGACCGGGAGAGCACCACCACAAAGGAAGATACTGGACCAAGATGAAATATCGAAGTTGTTGGGCGATGCATCTACGACTAGTCGACCGTCCAAGCCATATCAACCGCTTGCAAGGAACGCCAACGCGCAACGAACCTGCTGGCATTGTGGCTCTAAGGAACACACAAGTGCCACATGTCCAACAAAGCCGACATTACGTGAAAAGCCGCAGCAACAGCGAGCCGAACAAGCAACAACAATGTACCGTCCACCACAGCGCTACAAGGAGTCCATCTCAGATGCAGCTGAGGCTTGGGCACAAAAGTCAAAAGGCAAACTGGACATTGAACCTCCGTCTCCGTCACAAATTGAGGAGGATACTAGACGACGCAATGACATTGAGAGCGAGAGAAGACGGAGCCGCTTCGCATTCGATGAGCCCGAGGAAAAGAACCGGTATGAAGAGCCTGCACGCCGTCAGGGCGGGACCAAGGGGAGGAGAGGGCGGATACAGCGGTTCGAAGACGAAGAAGACGAGGAGCGCCCATCTGTTAGCAAGGCAGAGCGCAAGCGACTGCGGGCCGAAGCGAAGAAGGCGGCGCAAGCTGCAAAGAACGAGCCAACTCCCATCTCTTTACCAGAATATATCACCGTCGCCAATCTCGCCGGAGCGTTGAAACTACGAGTGGAAGACTTTGTGCAGAAACTAGAAGAGCTGGGTTTCGAGGATGTGCAAAACGACCATATTCTCAACGCCGAACACGCTGGACTGATTGCACAAGAGTACAACTTCGAACCCATCTTCCAGTCCGAAGAAGAAGATGGTGATCTGTACCCCGCACCGCCTTTGGAACCCGAGGCCTACGCTGAGCTCCCTGCTCGACCACCGGTTGTCACTATCATGGGGCACGTTGACCATGGAAAGACTACGATTCTCGATTATATGCGCTCGACCAGTGTTGCTGCTACTGAGTTTGGTGGCATCACACAACATATTGGTGCTTTCAGCGTGCCGCTAGCAAACGGAAAGAAGATTACCTTCCTTGATACGCCCGGCCATTCTGCTTTTGAAACGATGCGCGCTCGTGGTGCCAACGTCACCGACATTGTCGTCTTGGTAGTTGCCGCTGACGACTCTGTCATGCCACAAACTGTCGAGGCTATCAAGCACGCGCAGGCCGCCAAGGTGCCCATGATTGTTGCCATCAACAAGATTGACAAAGCACAAGCTGACCCGGAGGCTGTCAAGCTCGATCTCGGTCGCCACGGCATTGAGATTGAAGACTTTGGTGGTGATGTCCAGGCTGTCTGTGTGAGTGGGAAGACTGGTCAGGGTATTCCAGACTTAGAAGAAGCTATCTCCACTCTCTCAGAGATGCTGGATCACCGCGCTGATCCTCAAGCTGCCGTGGAAGGATGGGTCTTGGAAGGTACAACTAAGAAGTCTGGGCGTGTGGCTACCGTTCTTGTCCGTAGCGGTACTCTTCGCCAAGGTACAGCCCTTGTTGCAGGAACTACCTGGACACGCGTGCGCAGTCTGCGTAATGAAGCGGGTGCAATGGTCAAGGAGGCTGGGCCCGGTATGGCTGTTGAAGTCGATGGCTGGCGCGACCAACCCATTGCTGGTGACGAAGTGCTTCAAGCCGGAGATGAACAGCATGCAACTTCCGTCACTGAGTTGCGCAGTGAAAAGGTGGAGAGAGAACAAATGGCACGTGACATGGAAGCTATCAACGAATTCCGCCGTCTGGAAGCCGAGCGTCGCGAAGCTGAGGAAGCCTCCGCCAAGGCTATCGAAAATGGTGAGGAGCCCACGACTTCTGAAAAGAAGGAGGCTGGCCCTGAAGTCGTCAGTTTCATAATTAAAGGCGACGTCTCTGGCTCTGTAGAAGCAGTCATCGACTCTGTCGCTGCTCTTGGCAACGCAGAAGTCTCTACTCGCATCCTCCGCCATGGCGTCGGTGCACCTTCAGAATTTGACGTTTCACACGCAGCCGATGCAAACGGCCATATTGTCAACTTTAACACTACCATTCCTGGAAATGTTGCCAAGCTCGCAGAGGAAAAGGGTGTCAAGATCCTTGACAGCAATATTATATACCGCGTTGTCGAAAATGTCAAGGAGCTTCTATCTCAGAAGCTCGCACCAAAGGTCATTCAAAAAGTCACAGGTGAGGTAGATGTTGCAGCCGTATTCGAGATTGGCTTGGGTGGCAAGAAGAAGATGAAAGTTGCGGGATCAAAGGTGCGCAATGGTGTCGTTGATAGGGGCACAAAAGCAAAAGTGCTCCGTGGTGAGACGCTTATTCATGACGGTAAGTTTTGCGCCCGAAATTTTCCAAAAATCGACACGTCATGCTAATATCTTTTGTTTCACAGGTGTCATCACTTCAATCAAGAATCAGAAGAAAGACGTCGAGCAGATGCGCAAGGACACTGAATGTGGTATCTCATTTGACGGCTGGGAAGATTTCAGAGTTGGCGATAAGATTCAGTGCTATGAGGAAAAGTTTGAGAAGAGGAGCTTGTAAGATATTGGGAGTTTTGTCATGTATTGCTGCTATACTCCGCTTGGGTGTGGATGGATAGATGAGGACTGGAAGGCGTCTGTACAAGCATCCATGCTCTCTGTTTCACTTGTAGATATACGAAAAATGTGATATATATCCATTGAGCTGTGACAACGGTCATCACGTATATAATTTGTCAAAAGGTTAATAACACGTTTAAGGGCACTGGGAAATAGCGTACTGTTGATGTCCTCAAACCGAGACGGGGTTACACCAAGGAACTTATTAGACAACCTCTCTACGCTGGTAAATGGGTACAATCTACCACACCTCGTGGTAGAGGTATGGTAGGTAAAGGGTCACACGTAAACTTACCTTTTTCCATTTCAACAGTGTGGTTGTATCTTATACAATATTCTACAATAAAGCAGTAGGCTAGGCGATGTCCTGTAGGGTGGGGAGACGCGGATGGCTAAGGTTTGACAAGGTAGAATGATGGCAATGTCGTGTGAAATTAGGAATGGCTTTTTTGGGGGCTTAAAAGGCAGAGTTTCGATGCTCCCAATTACGTGTACATATGTTTGCTGATCGAGAGGTGTTCTGTGAGGATATAGTATGTTGTTTTATATTGAAATTAATGGTTGACAAATACAATGACGATGATCTATAGCTATGTATGTATATATTTGCGTGCTTGAGAATGTATTGTTCTAGATGAGGTGATGATAGGTTGGACGAGAGATTCTATCTTCTATTCAAAGACGTGGCTCACAACAATCGCCGACTGACACTGAGTTGGCGACTGTAGTTCAAGGGGAGCAGATCATAATCCGGAGGAGGGATGGGTACTGGAATGTCTCTGCTGCAAGTGGGCTTACTTTTTTTTGCTCCCATCCGTTTTGCATATGACTTTCCAAGCTATATACGCGATTTGAGGATCGATATAGTATAGTGGCTTTGCCCCCCCCCCCCCTAAATTGTACCATTGTTCTCTTTCTGTTTCACGCAATACAAGAGATGCTATATTTTTACAATGCAATAACCGGGCATTTCCTAAAAAAGCGAAGTGACGTTCGAAATGTTAGTAGATCACGCGTTATAGATTAGACATGGATGCACAGAAGTTCCCTTCAGTGCTAGTTACTCGTATCCGGTATCTCCGGATGTTTGAACATCGGTAAGAGCAATAAAGCAGGCTTGAGTTACTTAACCCTATGTATGGTAAGCGTTGTTTCACCCTATAGTCTTGTCTAGCGTCTGCGCTACTGCGGTAAATTATTCTTGGCTCTATATTATTCTCCTTTGAGCTGGCTTAGCTTTTTTTTTTCTAAACGCGCGCAAGATCCCCATCAGGTAATGTAACGTAAGATGAATTATTGTAATTACCGCTATCCTTCTTTCGGAAACCACAGGATTCTAATAGCTCGTGCTAATCAAGCACCGCTATGCATAGGCACTCAAACATGACCTCATTGCTTATTCCCATGCTACATTTATATTTCCGTTATACTACCACCTCACTATGCGCAAACATGAGGTTCTATGCTCGTTGTATTTACCTACAACAAGATCGAGAGGTCTACCTACGTGAAGTCTTTGAAAGACCAACAGTTCCCTGAAAGCCCAACTCTTTGAATATGTGGAAAGAGCAGTTCTCAATATGGAGATGTTGCCGCCGATATGGCGGTGCCTCCCAGATAGTATGGGTTAGCGCGGCTTTATTAGTACGTAGTCCAGATCTCTGGAAGATCCAAACAATCAATCTTCCCTCACACTTTTTACAAAGCATTGCCGCCACAATACGTATATACTTTGACGCCCGGCTGTGTCAGACAAGTAGCGCCGAAGCGAGGCATCCGTACGACTATCTGATTGCTTCGCAACTACACTCCGGCGTTCGATGTCATTTGCGCTCTGGCTTAGTTATCTGTTCCTCCGTCGGATGGAGCCTAGGCCTGACGGGATACCAAAATTCTAGGCCCGTGGTCGGTGAAACCGGGGTATTTTACTCGTGAGTATCTAAGACACAAAGGATGACTTAGCCGCCACGTAAAAGGGCTCCTTGGATCAATCGAGGGTTTTGTAGCAATCTGGTTTCGTGCGCTCGATGAGACGGTAGGAACCGAAATAGCTACGACAATGCAGCAGGAGCTTGATTAACCAAGTTGCATGGTATTGAACATGTATGGATTAATTGTTAAGCGCACTCTAAGAGATCCGCACAACACTTTTCTATTTTATCCATTTGATTTGCTTTGTTTTTTCTATTGTTGCATATACCACGTCAAAATACTTCGCATCTGACGGATGAAAAGCAAACCTAGCCAATTACCGGCAAGTACATTTGAAAAGCATTGGAACCTCCCGTTTGCGGGTACGGTTATACTACGGAGGTAAGCATCTTGGACTGTTGTTCCAACAGCATAACTCCAGAGCTTAACAAGAATTAGTACGGCTTAATTAGTATACCAGGTACTCGGATGCAAGCAACCAACACATGCGGGGCAATGCGGCCGGTTTCGTCCTGAAAGTCTAGGCTTATGGTGTGAAGTAGGCGTGGCTTGCAGGGATCCCTCACCTCCCCGAATTCATTACACCACGTGCCGTTGCTTGCCGGACAGGGTATCTCGTAGCGACGCAAGATACACGTTTAGGGTTGTACTTTGTAGGAAAACGGTCCCTATTGTGTTTACTTTGTGCAAAGATCCCTAGCTTGCAACGAGTCATTGGACAGTGAATATGGCTTTAGTCTCGTGCGATCGATCAAGAGACATGAACACTTGGCATGCTAACGGTTGAGTAACGTGAAGACTGAGGGGAGAGGAATTCCAAGTATAAATACCGGCTTCTCTTTGATGAATTTTGAAGACATCATCTTACAACTATATCACAATACTACAACTCCAATCAAACCTAATCAATTCAACTTTCACTATGAAGCTCGTTGCAGTCCTCGCTACTATCCTCAGCGTCGCATCCGCGGTTGCTATCCCAGTCGAGCTCCAGGAACGCCAATGCCTTAACAATGGAAGTACGTCAATTCGCCTCCAATCTAATATGTATTACCATGCTAATAAGAAAACTTGTAGTTGCCTGTACACTTCCTGGAGGTAATGGGCTGTGCTGCACAGGAAGCTGCCACGGTAAGTTAGATTCTTCTCTCACTACTTTTTTTTTGACTGGGTTGAGCATTGAGCTGATGTTTTGAGCAGCCGTTTTGTGTGGAGACTCAAATACTACTTGTCAGCCCAAGGGAACAGCTTGCATCACACGTAAAGGCAATGGCAAGGCGTGATAGGAGGTAGAGGTGGATTCGGATGTTATTCAAGGCAGAGTTTTGTTCTTTGTAACAGCTCAAGAGGCAGTTGAGAGTATTCCAGGTGCATGGTATAATTGATTAAAGTAGTGTTTCTGTAATACAGTCATGGGATAAAAGCTTCACCTTTGAACCGATTTCTTGTCAAACTCGCCTTATATCATGATATAGTATTAAACAAGCAGTTCCATAAAAACCCTTTAAATCTTAGGAAATCTGGATAAATACAGATTGGATTCAATAGATTTAAAAAAGATGGCTTTTTCGTGAGGCTGAAAGAGGTTCTCGTATGCAACGGAAACCTTGGTTCCAGCACTGTTGAATGAGATACAACTAGCTCCAAAAACATCAGCTGCCATGTACTATATTCATGCCAAGAAGCGAGACATCCTTCTTTTTACGCCAGCGCAAAATCCAGTGACGAATCCTAGGAAGTCTTCACAGACTATTAGGCAGATGCAATAAAGTAGCCGAAACCACTGCCTCTCTTCCAAACCCCCGTTTACGAGACTTTTAGCAATCACATCCATAGTAAATAGCTTATATTCTTGAATTCCTTTTACTATATAGTACGGACATGGAAACTTCAACAGTTTTATGCACAACGGTAGCGCTATCTAAGAGGAACAGCAGCACGTGCCGCTTCATTCTAGAGCCTTCGCCGTACTCGATTCCCTCCCACTTCATCTCAAGAAAGTAGATCAAGAAGCAGTAGCGCTCCACTTGTTCACTGAAAACTTAGCAGGGCCTCCGGTAAACGCTTCGCTGCCGAACTGATAGGCTAGAAAAGGCAAGAGTATTAGTATATCGTTTCATATTGGGAAGGTGCGGATGAGCTCACTGATAAGGTTCTGAGTAGAAGCAGGATAATTCTTCTTCTCAGTAAGGTAGGTAAAAAAGTCCTTGACATCGGCAGTGAAATGCGGGATAGGGCTGGGCGCTATGAAGGAGTATACTTTCATCGCGCCGTTGAAGCCGTAGAAAAGCTCCCAGGTGCGGCCGGCGATCGTGACCATGCCTTGCGAGCTGCCGATGGGGTAGACGTCGTATCTAGCCAACCTATAGCGCGATTAGTATAGTTAAAAATGTGTGAGGTTAATGGGTGTACTTGCCAGATCATAAGCTCGTAGTCTCCGCTGCTGGTGGTGTGATTTACGTCCTGGGCAGTGAAGAGGTCGTATGCAACGTTGCATCGGATATTGGTGGTGTCGTAGGCCCAGTTCGCCTCGGTTTGCAGATTCGTAAATTGGCTTACGGGCTTCTTGGTAAATAGGCGACCTGCATAGACGTAGCTTTTGACGTTGTTTGGCGCACCGGCCCAGGTCCAGTTTGAGTGCCATTTCGTACCGGCATCGGTGACGCCGTCAACGTATGTACACTGGGATCCGCTGGTCGCGGTGTCTTTACCCCATAGGTTGTTGAGGATTTCGTAGCCGTTGCTTGAGTAGTAGTTGTAGAGCTTGCAGGCGTCTTGAGCAGTGACGACGGAGGCTAGGGCGGCGGCGACGAACGAAGCAATCTTCATGGTGTGCGATTGTTAGAAAGGTCTTAGTGTGAAGTGACTGTGGCTGTTCTGTCTACCCTCCTGCGAGGTGCCGAGACCTTTTATACTACCCAATCCTAACATTTGAGACTCCATGCGCGAAGCTTTCCTAGGTTCCGACGGAGTGTCCTAAGCGGTGAATAGTGTACGCGTCAGTTATAGTATGTGTGGGGTGCAGATCAACGCCCGTGATACTTGACCAGGGCCCCAAATGGGAATCTCAATATCCATAACTAATATGGATACAATTATTAAACTCTCAAAACACGTATTCACAGACTAGTCCCTGCATATTACCTACTTTTGCCGTGAAACTTTTCATCGGTCGTCCAACATGATTACTCCCCGATGCATCATGCGCGATTCGATGAGTTCAAAAAAAAACAGAGATTGGGCTGTTCGTGGGAGGTTTACGATCCTGCCATCGTAGCCTCCTCATGTGTGGCTTCCCAACCCCCACCGCTGGCATAGAATGTGGACACTGTAAAAGACGAGCATTGTGTAAGATTTTTAGTAAAGACAAATGTCGGCTGACATAATATTTTCATCAATTAGTGTTTGATGAACGGAGTTTACAGCCGTTGTTCCTGCTAGTGATGCTGATCCCTGGATATATGTATGTATTGAATATATGCTGCCGTCGCAAATGGCTGTGCGCCTGACTGCCGTCCCGGATAGTACAGCGCTTGTTAATACTTCCATGGTTGGTTCTCTAATATATATTTCCTTCGCTTAAGCTTTGCCAATTCTACTACCATTGGTATTTTCCGAACCGCCTATTTGTATACATATGGCGGTAGTATGCTCCCCATGATACAACCATCGCATTTTCTGCGCCATCCATTTGTATTTTGCCCTCTCTTCTTTCAGTGACCAGGTGTGTCAGGTTCATATCACCGGGATGACGGGAACTAAGCCGCATCCGATCTCCGGACCGACCTTTTACCCTACCCTGTAATCTCCAAATCAAGATACCTTTACCCGCGAGAACTTATGTGGGGTACCATATCAAAGTCTCTGTGCTTGACAATCTGACTGTGTTCACCGTGCCCGAAAAGCCTGGCGTCTCTTTGTGCTCTAGCAAACCCTCGTAGTTTCAAGTTTTCTCACCAATATTGAACTGAGTTTAGGAAATAGATTTGTTTCACACGTGCAGAAGCTTTTTGACAGAAGCTTAGTGCTGAAATTAAGCTCGACCATGCGGGCAGAACCCAGCCGAAGTCCTCTTCAAATTGCCACTACGATACGAGACCAATGATCTGCGCCATATGGGAATATGCAAAGGTGGGCCTTAGCAGCGGGATTTAAGAGTAGAGGAATTCATCGTCCATATAGCGGTGGGACTTATATTTCTAGTTTATGGACTAGAGTGATATGCCATTGGTACGGAGTTCTTCACCGAGCAACAAATGTTGGAATAGAAGTAAGTCACACAAGAGGACTTGCTTGCTTTGGTAATAACACCACCCAAATACGAGGCTTGCTTAACCTTCTTGGTCACGGAAGCTCGCCTTAGATACAAACATCTACGATCTCATGATTATACGAAGACCAGCTTGTAAAGCGAGACAAGGGTAATGATAAATTCAATTCCTCTATGCAATGTGTGCCCAGACCAGCTATCAGAGTGCACGCAAAAATAATAATAATCGGACGCTAATAGCCACTGCGTAACTTAAAACAGCGTAAAACCCTTTCAGGTCGGACGCCTAAACGGATGCGCCTCAGTATTCAATACCCAATCATCCAAGCTGATAACATCCTCTTCCGAGAATAGAAGGTAAAAGTATTTCAGCGTCTCGGCAAGCCAGAAACTTTCCATCTCGTCTTGAAGCACAGGAGCCGTTTTCGTCACGTCGTCGATGGCAGAATTGCCAAACTCCGTAGTTGTGTGTCGATCAATAGCAAGGAACATGCGCCAACCGGCTTCGCGCCAGTGCTGTGATCCGGTTATACGATACATGTACCAAACGGATTCGATTGCTTCCGGACTGTGATTAACGTTAGTGGCATGACAAAACACACACATATTGCTGGCTTGAAAGGGGGCAGAAAAACTTACCGGAGAATATAACCCTTGGCCCCAATTCTGGTAACACCGTTTGGCAGTCGGTCTTCCTTGATCCTATTCTGCACATATTCCTTGTGACTCAGGACTGGGACTGGCGAATAAACATAAGGGAAGTCTGGTAGAGTCGGAGTTGGCTGCTGAGCAAATTCCGGGATATCCAATGTTGGTTGGGCTTTGATGGGAGGGCCTTCGCCTTCCTCAGGTTCGCCGCCCATGACTGAATCTCGATTTTGCTGGACGCTTACAGACGAGCTTGGCATGTGTGCAGGTTCCGCATCATCTACAAGCTCAGCGAGTTGGCGCTTGTCCAGTGTATCCGCATATATCAGAGTTGACGTGGCTTTTGCTGTAAATGCAGCAGCAGGAGAGGGTTTCGGCGGTGGAGTCATCGCAGCGAGCTGAGCCTTATACCATGACGATGCAGAAGCAATTTGTGATTCGTAAACTTCCCTTTGCTCCTCGTAATATTTTATACGAGATTCGTGTCGTGGGTCGATATATTCCCAGTAGGTTGTTTCGTTCCAAGCACACTCCTTCGTGCTGTCACAGGGGGCTACTTCAAACGATTCAGGCATGATGCCAGTGGATGTCATGTCGTAACTCCAGATACATCCTTCCGTTAACTTTTTGGCAACCTCAAGATCTTCGGGGCGGTCGAATAGCTTTGCGCCCATGCCAAACATTCCTCCCGCAAAGCAAGTCAGATGGGCATTCTCTGCCAATAGATCACCGCTTTGAGTGCTGTCATACATTGCTGGGACTGTGAGTTTTCCAGAAAATAGGATATTCTCCTCTTTCGGGAGCATCGGCCGGAAGAGCAAATGCTTTTTGACTACGTCCATTGATTGCTCATACATGGTCCGGTACTTCTCGACTTGGCCACCGAGGAGCAAGTATTGTTTCGGTAGATACTCATATGTAGAATCAGACATACCACCTAGCGTAAATTCGTCACGTCCACTGCCAGTCGCCACGAAGCCTTGCGGTATGCATTCTGGAGGCGCTGGTATAGTAGGTGCAGCAGATGAGGTCTTGGCGGTCGTATCGAGGTCTTGCTCTGCTCCGAGTGGACTTGACTCATAGATATCAAGCTGTCGTCGTTTGAGCACCGAGTCGCTCGATGGTACAGTCTCTTTCTTCTCTGCACCCTGATTGGCGCGGTCTGCATCTGAAATGAGCATGACGGGGTCTGGCAATTTCAACGGAATATATTTGTTGCCTTCAGGAGACAGCTTCTCAGCGGAGGAATCTGAAGCGGACTGGGAATCAGCCGAAGGATCAATGTTGGGATAGCCTTCTGGAGCTTTGAGAGGTTCTTGTTCAGGAGGCACATCCACGTAATGTCTTCCACACCCAGAGGCGTCTATATGAACAGGCCACATGCCCGGAAGCGGAGTCTTTTTCTGGAATTCCTCTAGGTTATCTGTAATGCGTGCAACAGCATCATAGTACTTGTGCTCTCCAGTGAGTTGTGCAAGTCTGGTGAATTCCATTGAAAGCGAGCCAATCTCGGCCAGAACCACACTTTGGCCGGCACGATGCTTCTGCGAGGCGAAGTCGGGTCTCCAGTAGTAGTACATCTGAGGCATCCGGTTTGGCGTATCGAAAGCACTTATGAGAACTTCGGCAAGTTCTACTGCCTTGTCGAGCAAGTTCTTGTACTTTTTGTCGCTGATATCGTAGGCAGCCAGCAACCCACCAAGGTAGCGGATGGTTGTCTCGAACAAGGGGATATCGGCACGGGTAGTGGTTGTGAAGTCAATTTTGTCCACAGCCTTTACTGCCTCTTCAAACTCGTCCTTCAAGCCCATGATCCAGAGAGTATCGAGTGCATCCACAAGAGTCGCACCCCACTGCGCGAATGGGTCCCTGAAGGTGCCAGACTGCGGGCGTAGCTCATCATGAAGCCATGCCTTTGTCCTGTATCCATCCCATGCCTTCTTAGCGACACTTCTAATCTTGTCCAGCTTAGCTTTCCTGTCTGTTTTGGCCAAAGTGTCTTCGGGCTTGAAATCGGCTTGGATCTTGGGTAGTGTCTTTGGCTTGCCTGACGGAAGGCGAATGAGCGATTCCGTGGGTACGGGGAAGTGCTCAGGCAGCTTTTTCCAATGTATGACTTCGATACTCAACGACGGGTCTACGCCATTGTCGATGATGGCGGCGGGGTCGTCGTGTGGTCGGGGTGGAAGCGGCGAGGGGATCGAAGGCTTGAGTGGCTGTTTTGTAACTTCAGGGCTCGGGGACGGAGAAGAAGCCGGCTTCTTCACTGGGGGTGGTGTTTGGAGCGGTTGCAATGTGCTAGCAGCAGGCACGTCTAGTTTTAGGCTCTTTGTCTCATGCGCCACGGGTGGGCGTGGTTTCGTGTCCTTATGCAGAGCTTCGCCAGCGTTACCCTTTAGACCTGTTGCTCTCGATGCCGCTTCCCTCCATGCTGCGCTGGAATCACCAAATTGATAAATTGCAAGCACAGCAATGACAGCAAAGACGAGAAACGCGCGGTATCTTCGGTATCGGAACATGTCTCAGGGAGGGTCGTGAACCCAAGGATCCAAGTGTCGTGTGCACTACGATGCGCAGAGGGGGAGTGTTGTGGAAAGGATAGAAGAGGCGGCTATGTCGCTGCTGCCATTTGCGCGCAGAAAAGTGCGGATGCAAATAGACGGGGGCGTCGAGGCGGAAAAGCCAAACAGGCTGCTCGAGTCTATGTCCATACGTCTTGTGTCTAGTGAGCTTGGCTTCAGGGTGGCTAGTCGCATGCACGCCCTGGAGATCCCTTAGGCGGGTGTGGGGTTGCTTTCGCGCATTGTTGACGTACCAGGCACTCGAAAGCAGGGCACCAGCAAGCAGCCACACCTACGATTCACTAGCCTTATCCACGACGTCTGTTTTGGATACGGTTCCATTTAGTGTTGCGTCTCGAATGGCACTCTGTTGATCTCCTCCCTTATCCTGCAAACCCTTTTTCCCCCTCTGCACGGCCAACTGGTCGAACTCCGTCTGAACCGAGCACTAACTTTAAGCTTAAATCCCTCTAGCCGAATTGGGCTACATCAACATTCATCCCGTGCGCCCACCTTTTGACCATGCACTTCACAGCCTAACTTTAAATTGTCAGCCACTAACAACCACAGCCTACAAGAATTCTTATAAAGAATATCCAAGAGTGTTGGTGGAGCGAGAGAAAAGACCGAGTCACGGGTGGCAGCGCTCTGCTGATGAAAGCCTCTGTTCACATTTCTTAATGAAAACCTATCTAGACAGAGCCGTTATGCAGCCATTGTCAACGATTCGAGTCGGTTGACATTGTAGATTTTCCCGCGTAGCGCTTGCTCAATTGCAACAAGTCACACGAGCAGCCAACTCCGCGTTCTGTACGTTGGAACTACGGTAGCTTGTCTGGGTGATATCTGTACAGCTCAATCATTGGTCGTCGCCGGGCCCTGGTGCCCGTCCCTGATAACAAGTCAGCAAAGAATCTTCGACAGCAGTCTTTTCACTTCTTACCATCTGTCGTGCCTTGAGCATCTCGTCGCATAACAAGAGGTTAGAAGCAATGCCAGTGGCAGACGCTATACTGTTGCGCAGCACCCTGAATGAGTCGTAGACGCCTTCTTGATTGGGATCCATGGCTTCTCCAGTTGCGAGATTCAGGCCTACAACGTTACCCTCGGCATGCTCGTCTTGCAGCGCGGCCACTATCATCCGGTCAGTACGAAGTAGCAAACAAAGAAAGGCTTGGGACTTACATGAGTCTTGGATGTCATGACCAGAGTTAGCCGCCAGCGTCTTGGGAATAATGAGAAGTGCATCAGCAAAAGCCGAGACTCCCCATTTTGCTTTACCCTTGACCGTCTTTTTGAACTGCTCGCTCTCTAGATGAGCTGCGCATGCTACCTGGAAGGCTCCTCCTCCTGGAACAACACTTCCGTCCACAATCATGTTGTACACACTCCTCAACCCGTCGCGAACAGCGTCCTTGATTTGGGCAATGGTGTGCGAATTTGGTCCCTTGATCAGTAGGGTAACAGATTTTGGCTCCTTGACATCTTCCTGTATGCTGTAAGTATACCATCAAACCACTACACATAGGCAAACGTACAATAAAGGTATACTTCTCCTCGCCCAATTGGTGTTCATAGACAGAGCCTGCCCAGCCAAGAACGTCCGGTGTCAGGTCGTCAACACTGTTCTGCGCTGTACCACCACAGACAAGCTGTAGACGTTCCATGTTCCTCCTCTTAGCCCTCCTCAATGCGAAGATACCGTTCTTGACAAGTACATCCAAACTGAGGGGGTCAATGCCCTTTTGGTTTATTATGACGAAACCTTTGCTAGGATCGTTGCCGCAAACCTCCTTCTTGAGCTCGACAATTTTCCTCAGCTTCTCGTCGACGAAACGACGCTCACTCTCAACGAGCTTCTCTCGTTGCTCCGCACTCGAGTAGTAGAAGCCGGAGTTGATCTCGGACTTTTCGTACTCTAAGCTGACGTTCAGGGTCAGAATGTATGCATTCTCTACCCTCTTGGCCATGTCCGGATGCCTTGCACCGTGGTCAAGAGCAAGTCCTCGAATGAGCTGTGTATCGGCAGCGGTGCGGTGTTGCATAGTCATGATTTCCACCATGTGTAGATCGGGCTTCGCGGGCGCTTGGTAGATGGCGAGGACTGCATCGACAATGTCAGGAGTCAGTTGTTCGGCGAGCGAGCTGTTAATCTTCGTTGAAAGCGACGTTCGGGCTACGGATAGCAGGAGTTCACGGTCGACTTCTTTTGCAAGCTTGAACTCGTCAAGGAACTACAGCCTGTCAGCCAGATTTCCATGCACAAGCACTGAGCTCATTGTACCTTGAGTGCCTCGGTTTTCGCAATGTCATAACCGTCTGCTATCACCCTAGGGTGAAGACCCTCTGCAATGTAGCGATCAGCCTGCTTCAGCAACTCGCCCACCAAGAGCACCACGGAGGTTGTGCCATCGCCTGTGATCTCATCTTGTGCCGTCGCTGCTCGTGCGATCATAACCTGATTTATTTGAGTCGTGGATCAAGAACGAAGGGGGTAAGACATACGGCGGTGGGGTTTTGGATTTGCTGTGAATGTGTTAGTTGGTGTAATTTCTATTGCAACGCAGATACATACCATTTCCTTCAACAGAACACTGCCGTCTTTTGTGAGCTTGATCTGCACATCCTGTAAGTATATGCCGGATAGACGGTATAAGCCAACGTACTCCTCCAGCGCCATCTACAAGCCTGTGCAAAGTTAGTCTCTTGCAGTGCAGACTGTTTGTTGTTTCTCACATCTTCAGTGTACCGCGGGGTCCCAAATTTGAGGCAAGCACCTATGTTCCGTATAAGAAGACATTCATTTATTTCAACATTGCCATTCCGTACCTGCTGCAGACCCTCTCCGGCCGAGATGTTTACACGGAGAGCTTCCCCGCGTCTCTGTGTACTGTTAGCGATGGCTGCAGCGCGCTGCAACGAATTCACAAACCCGCGACTCGGCCTTAGGATTGAGAAGCTGTGCGGCCGACATGGTTGAAAACGTATACGAGGGTATCGGAGAGTGCAGCAATCAAGCAAAAGACAATATGGCGGGGCAAAATGCTGTTTCCGCACTGCCTGTCGCGTCCCTCCTCAGATTTCTTAGCGGGCGGCAATGCCAAGATTACTCAGAGCTCGGACCTTCCCTGCAATAATCTTTTTCGCATAGCTTCAACTTTCTCGACCGCGATTACATCCCGACAGCGGAATAGCCAGCGCATTCCCATTCACAACCCAGTTTGTTGCGCCCGCTGATCGCACATCCCGCGCGCCATCCCATTCATTGCACGATGAGCGTAGATTACCTCCTCCACGAAAGCCCCGTCGGCTATGCCGTCTTCAAGGTTGCGATTCAGCCAGACACCATTGGCAACCGCCTCCAAGAAGTGCAGAAGGCTGTTCAAGACCTCGACAAGTTTGGAAAGACTGTTGAGCTTGTCGGCCTTGCGCCGTTCCAGGGCACCCAAGATGCTCTCGCCGAGATCAACGATGTCTCGGAAGGCATCATGTCTGACTTCTTGAAGGCCACTCTCGAAACGAACCTTCCCAAGGCTGGAAAGAAGAAGAAGATTACTCTTGGTGTGAGCGAGAGGAACCTGGCGGGTAGCATCAAGGCCGCGTTCCCCAACCTCTCATGCGAGACCAGCGACACTTCGGAAGTAGTGGCTGATCTCCTGCGTGGTCTTCGCCAGCACAGCGGCAAATTGATCAAGGTATGCAGAAGCTTGACGCCATCCTGAAACTTCATATGCTGATTTGTCAAAGAAACTGCAACCTGGTGACATTGATCGCTCCATTCTGGGTCTCGGACATGCGTACTCCAGGTCCAAGGTCAAGTTCAGCGTTCAGAAGCAGGACAACCACATTATCCAAGCGATTGCGACGCTCGACCAGATCGACAAGGACCTCAACACCTTCTGCATGCGCCTGCGCGAAAACTATGGTGAACAAGCCTTATGTATGACATGGATGGCAGGCATGTACTGACGCTATTGGCAGGCTGGCATTTCCCTGAGCTTGCGAAGATTGTCAACAGCAACGAGCAGTACGCAAAGATTGTTCTGAAGATTGGCGACAAGTCGAAACTGTCCGATGAAGACCTGCACGACCTTGCAGCAGTTGTGGACGACGATGAGGGTGTTGCGCAAGCCATAATCAATGCTGCGCGCACATCCATGGGAAGTGAGTTTAAGCCAGTAGCGATGCAGGTGTAAGGAGCATGTTCACTGACGCTGTCTCTAGGGGATCTCTCCGAGGCCGATATGGAGATTGTCATGTAAGGGTTCTTCGTGTGTCATACAAATCACTGGCTAAACATTCAATCAGGGCATTTGCTAAGAGAACCGCTTCGTTGGCTGCGTATCGCAAGCAGCTTAGCAACTACCTTGGAAGCCGCATGAACCAGGTGGCCCCTAACTTGGCTGCTCTGATCGGTGACACGGTTGGCGCAAGGCTGATCTCCAAGGCTGGTTCTTTGACGAACCTGTCCAAGTACCCTGCCAGTACTGTGCAGATTCTGGGTGCGGAGAAGGCCCTGTTCAGAGCGCTCAAGACCAAGGGAAACGTATGTGGCTTTGCTCGACACTCTGCCAGATGATGCTAACTGTTGAGCAGACTCCCAAGTATGGACTGATCTACCACAGCTCCTTCATTGGACGCACAGGACAAAAGTCCAAGGGCAGAATTTCTCGCTTCTTGGCCAACAAGTGCTCAATTGCGTCGAGGATTGACAACTTTTCCGACACGCCGACTTCCAAGTTTGGTGAAGCACTCAAGCGCCAAGTTGATGAGCGAATTGAATTCTACGCGACTGGCGCGCCGCCTGCGAAGAATGCAGCGGTGATGCAGGCGGCCATGAACTCTGTCATGACTGACATTGGCGTCATCGAGGACCCAACGGCAACTGCAACCGAGGATGTGGAGATGGCTGACGGCGTAACCGCGGCAGCCACTGAGCAAGCGGTGCGCAAGGAGAAGAAGGACAAGAAGGCCAAGAAGGCCAAGAAGGAGGCCGACGAGGAGGTTTCAGAGAAGAAGTCGAAGAAGGACAAGAAGCGGAAACACGGCGAGGAGGAGGACGGAGAAAAGAAGAAGAAGAAGAAGAGCAAGGCGTGATGGTGAGATGGGGAGAAAGACCTGTAGCTATACTGGCATCGTGTGATGGCGTTTTGCAAGAGGGTGTTTTTGGAGTTTGTTTTGCGAGTGATTTGTTTTGAGGGGTCTATGAGTCTACGCAGCACATGACCCAGGGGCGGATGGGTGTGGGCATATACCTCTAGCAGTTATCAAGGGTACAAAAGCAGTGTTGTTTGCAATTGCGCGCGTGTGTATGTGGATGAGTGTATATGTGGGTGTGTGCATGTGCATGTATGACAGGAGTGTGGGCATGCAAGAAGCGTTCCTGGATGTGTAACGCCACGGCAGCGCTGGCGAATCAGAGACCCCTGCAGACGATCGGAACGCACGGGCGCGATCAGGCATGCAGGCCACGCCGAAACGCACAGGCAGCGCGGAACGACCATGTATAGGTAGTGGGCTGGCAACAGAGACACACGTATGGATATATGATAGTGACGACAAGGACAGCATGGCCGGAGCATATGGGCCAATGCTGCAGTGTGTTCTGGTGTGCAGCAGTGCATGCGCAGCTAATGCGCCTCAACGGGCGTCGCAGGTATTCATGGCAGACGAACACACAGGCATGCATGCACCCACACATGATGATATCCAGAGATGGGATGGGACTGTGGGGGGAGGCATGAGGGGGAGAACATGGGATGACGGCTCTCTATTGCTTATATTGCTCATGGACAACAACAGATGGGCCCTGTATACTCAATGTCCATACGGCAGCATCATGGTATATCATTATGTACGTATTATACTATGTGTGTGGACGTGCACCCCATCGGTCCATGGCGCGGCAGATGGTGGTGGTGCCATGTTTGATAGCAGCCAGCGGCGGGCATAGGGTAGGTAGGGTAGGTAGGTAGGTAGGTAGGTAGGTAGGCAGGCAGGCAGGCAGGCAGGCAGGCAGGTAGGCCAGGCCAGGGTTCGTCGACTGCTCTGGCGTAAACTGTTTTTCTCTTCTAGGGCTCGTCGTAACCCAAGCTTTGGCCCGCTGCTGTCCCAAATGGCCCTCATGGCTACTTGAGGCCCTTGAGCCCCCCTTCGAGCACAAGGACGACGTCTTTTGTCCTTTGTCTCTTCTTCCATTGCCTCTCCCTCCATCTTTCTCTCTCTCCTTCTCTCCGTCTTGTTCCCCAGCCCCGTTTTCTGCTGCTGCGACCACCGTTTCCATCTCTCCCGCCTGTGCTGGGGGTGCCGTCATCAATCTCTGGCTAGCAATCACATCTTGGTGTTCCTATCCATCCATCTACCCGAGTTAGCCTCTGGCCCCGGCTCGCCATCCCGCTAAACATCGACTTTGGTGTTCTTGCCCGCTATTGCATTTACACAGCCTTTCGCCCATTTTTGGTGTTGAGTCTGCACACCCGCCCGCGCTCCCACCTCGCCTCGCTCAACCCCCTCTGCTCTGCATAGCCGCCTGTCAGCATTTGTTTGTGTAGCCAGCGACAGGCACGGCCAGCAACCTTCTCTTCGTGTTTTCCCCGTGCGCTGCACTCTCGCCGTGTTCCGCGCCATGGACGTAGGCGATGCGTCCTCGCCTGGCAGTCTAAGCTCGCCCCCACACTCGCCCGAGCAGGGCACGCCGACCTCGACGGTTCGCGCATCTGCAGGTGGTGTTGGTGTTGGGACTAGCACCCCCACCCCTGCAAACGCGTCGCCGGCGACACATGCGCGAGGCTTAACCGCCAGCGGCCAGCCACGCAAGAAGCCGGGGCCCAAGCCAAAGGCAAAAGACCAAAGTGCCCCTGAGCCAGAGAAGAAGACTAGGAAGCCGCGCAAGAGCGAGCCCAAAGACCTAAATGCTGCTCCCATCCAACGAAAGAGACGGACAAAGGCCTCCCTCGAGGCTCAGTCGCAGCCACAGCCTCAACCACCACCTCCTCCAGCACCAGCACCAGCACCCGCACCAGCACCCGCGCCCGCACCGGTTGTAGAAGAGAAACCACCTGTTCAGCAGTCGCCCACGCCACAGAGTAGACCCAGTGAGCCCGCACCTGTCTTGCAACCAGAACAGCCACCCGTTGTCACGCAACCCCCTCGCGTGCTGAGCAATGCCGAACCCACGCTTCACAGCAATCCAAACCTTTCACATATCAGTGCCACTCCCCCAGCACCACGCCCATCGAGCTCAGGCCAGCGCTATGATCCAATTCGAGGTGGCATCTTCGAATCCAAACCCCAGCCTGTAGCAAGTGCCCCTCCATCAGTCTCACCACGACTCAATCACCGTGCGAGTGCTTCTCCCTCCATCACTAGTCTGATCGACCCTCCATCTGCCAGCAATTCCTTCTACTCTCACCCCGTCAAGCTACCCCAGCAGACCTCAGTCACCTCGGCACCTGTTTCACCTGCGGCCTTCTCTACCCGCCCAGGGTCTGTCCTTCCTACCCAGGAATATCCACCTCAGCCTCCACCCCAACAACAGCAGCCACAACAAGAACAGGCCCCACTTCCAGTTCAGGCTCAAACACATCCGGTTGCTCCATCGGGACCGACCCCTATGGATATCGACAGTGAGCCTAGCAAACCAGTATCTGTACCCATGACAAAATCAAACTCTGCAAACTCCGGCACGCCTTCACAGTCGAATGCTCCAACGCCACCCACCAAAGCCGCGCGTCAGAAAGATGCCCCGCCACCATTACCTACAGGCAGCGGCTTGTTGTCAGGAACCCCATTTGGCCCGGTGGCCAACGCCAATGGCACATCCGAGACACAGGGCACTAACATTTACCTCCACTTCGATCTAAAGGGACGCGACAACGTGACCATCAACGTTGCACAAGAGGTTGAGAAAAAATACGGTTTTGCTGCTCTTCATCCCCGCATTGCTGCCCGCAAAGAGCGTCAACGCCAAATCACAGCCGCTGGTGCTGCTCTTGAAAGAGCTGCAGGCGGAGGATCAAACGACGACCTGTCCGTTGATCTGTCTGAGAATGAAAGCAATGTTGAGATGGGTGGCATGGATGATGAAACATCAGCCAAGGAGAATGGAGGCAAGAAGCGAAGGAAGAGAAAGCAAGAAGACTACGACAAGGAGGACGACTTCATCGATGACACCGAGCTGGCCTGGGAGCAGCAAGCGCTCATGGCAAAGGACGGCTTCTTTGTATACAGCGGTCCGCTCGTTACTGAAGAGAAGCAACCAGTAGAGAGGTATGTATTTGGCACTGCATTGGGTTGATCTATGCTTACATTTCACAGGGCTGATGGCACCGTCAGACGTGGACGAGGCCGTGGACGCGGTGGCACAGTACGAGGAGAGACATCAGGTCGTGGCCGTGGCCGCGGCGGGGGTCCTGGCTCTCGCGGTGGCTCCACTGTTCGTAAACCTCGTGTTACCAAGGCTGATCGGGCTGCTATGGAACAGGAAAAGGCTGCCCGCGAGTCTCTTGCGCAGACAATCGCAACTAAACAGCCTCTCGCCACTCCCACTAACCAGACTGGCCAAGCTAGTGTGGCGTAACCAAAATACGTTTCCGACGTAAACGGCCCCCGCTCTACACCAACTTGAGTGAGATGCATCTTAAATGTGTTTTAGGTGGTCTTATCGGCGTTGGCTTCGGGATCTTGCAATCAGTTACTGTTTTTCTATTTTCCCCTTCTTCTGTATCTGATTAGTTACTTGTACGATACCCATAGTGGGGCGGTTTGTGGCATGCCATCTGGCTCGCAAAAAAGAAGGTCTGGAGGCTTTTTGTATGTGTAGATATATCGGTAGGCGTTGGTGTTTTCACTACTGTCCTCTAAGATTCTAGAAATATCACTTCTAATACGTGTGTCCTTCTCTTGCTGCTGTACACAAGTGATAAGTAGACTTTTCTTCTCTAAAAGCTTTTTCCCAATCTCTCCCACTCTTGGACGCCATGACGTAATTCCTACACAGAGTGGCACTGTACCATTCAAAGCCATTATCTTCACCTGGCTCAAAGAAGCAATGACTCACAGAACGGAAATCACATGCCTGGGTTAATGCAGTACTATGCCTGACCTGCAAATCGCGTAAGTGTTTCATTTGCTAATGTTCGGCATATATCTTATAGACAGAAAACTGTGCGATTGAGACTAAGATCTAGAATTGTCTAGGATGTGTGTAGTGCGTGTTATTCTTTTTGTATGATGCACGGAGTTAGGAGGTGTAAGTTGATTGGGAATGGTAAGTTGATGTATTGAGGTACGGTTGCGAATAAGGCAGCAGTATAGCGGACCATGATAATCATGAGGAGATGAACAGTAGTGCAGTATTTTAATTAATGTATAAACATGTACTCAGGTTACATCTCTTATTCGCGTGCATGCGTAAACTTTTCTCAAGATGTCCAGCCCTGTTCCTTCTTATTCCCAGATGACTCCAAAAACAATGTCGATCCAGGATCTTCGAAAAGAGCTCTAGGTAGCTATTGCGTCAGCGACTTGCAAGCCCAAGACTTATAGAAAGATTGCTGCAATACTTGTGCATTTCCAGGACGACGACATCGATTGTGGCCCCGTGAAGGATGAGTTGGCAACTACTTTCTGCAGGCGACAGATTAATATCAGAGATGGTCAGATATACCAGCATAAACTCATGATCAGGTGATTAAACTTTCACCACTCTCTTTTCTGTGCGGACTGCTAACATTTCACAATAGCCCCTTCAACGAGACTGACAAGGTGAACGACAAGGATTCGAAGACGCTTGGTACTCGAGCACTAGACTGGCATATCGCAACTAGCATCCTCTCTCACGTTTCATGCGATGTTATTCAAATTTTAGACTGCTGTTACTGTGATGGGACTAAGGAATCAGGAATAGAAACGTTGGCGGCTACGATGGAATCCGCTGGTAACAAGGAAACCGACACATCCTTCTTGAAAGCTTTCATTACAACACTAGAGAAGCTTTTTACATCCCCTTTCACAATTGCAGATGTCTATGAGAGGATGCTGCAGGATCGGATGGAATTGCAGCTAAAGCATGTTCCATTTTACAAGAATGACAGAAAGGATCCAATTATTTTTGGAACCCCGAAATCCGAAGGCAGGAATGCAGTTTCAGAGCCCAAACCAGATGATGTACGAGTCCTTGTTACTATACACGTTGACGAAAATCTCAGCGAGAGCGATGTTGAAGAATTGAAGAGTTAGCTTCACACATTATCTCCTTCGTTCAGGGGGACGACTATCAAGGTGGAGGGCGTTTGGAAGTCGCCAACTTCTGTCTTGCTCCTCTCTCTTCCAATCTTAGTTTGGAACAAACTGCGTTACAGCAAATTCGCGTGGAATTACATTGGGCAAGTAACTTCGAGTAACGCGTTGTTACCACAGACTACGGAGGGTACTGCACTTCCCCTCATGCCACCCAAAAATTAGGAGAACCACAAGCCATGACAGTCTTTTAGGCAGAAGTAGCCCACCTAGGTATAGTCTGATAGTACCGCAAATCGGTAGGGAAAGGTCGATATGTAGGCGACTTCCGTTTCTAGAGCTCGTTTGTAGTCTCTCTCACCCTTGAGCCGCTAGTGCGTCACTATCAATAGAATCACTCTCACTCTCACTTCTAGCTATTGTGTTCTTGTTCCACTTGCAAAATCCTCTCAATTAATACCAATTGTACCCTTCCAACTCTGAAAACCCGGGGACAAAACACTTTGCTGCTGTTTCTAAGATATGGTCAAGAACGTCCCAGTCAGCTCTACCACCAAGCCTACGATGCTGCCCAGTGCCGACAGCATTACTGACCGCTCACGGAAATTCTACGATGGAACATACACGTGGGATTCCGATGGATTCATCGACGGTATGGGAGGTAAGGGCCGAGGAGCAGAACATGAGCAATTAGGTACTGACGACAGGCAGTATATCGTACCTTTGACTGCTACGACCCGGATGCGCGAGCTCCAACACCGCTGCCTCCTATTTTTATGAGCGATGAAGAAAAAGACGGGGTGCTGCAATGTGGCGCTGGCGCCGACATGGAGACTCTTACGTTGGCACCAGACACTGGAAACGAAGGAATCACAGCGACAGCACGATGTGACAAGTCGTCTCATAGTCATGCCGATAAGAAGCATTTCATTGGAAAGATAGAAGGTGCCTTGCAAGACACCATCACACCGCCTACCAGTCCCGTGGTTAAGAAACCGGCCACAGCTACAGTCAGAAACAAGCACCCCGGTCCCATAACGCCTCCAAAAGACGCCGAATCAATGGTTCAGACTCCGTCATCGTCGTCCTCAGGTCTTTCAGACTGCCCGTCAGATCTCTCTGAGTGGGATGTAGGCCCTCCGGTAAGTATTCATGCGGATAGCATGACTTATTGTGGCACTGCTGAGAAAGTTCCAGAATCTAAGTCATAAGAAGACTACAAAGACGAGGAAACTGCAAGTGCCTACTCTGAAAGCGACAAGGTCAAAAGTTTCGACTCGAGGAGTCGCACAGAAAGTTAAGAAGGTAGGTAAGAAAGGCAAGAAATGACTGGTGGTGTAGTGTGATAGCTACAAGTCAGTTCACTTGACAACTTCACTGTTGAATTCTCAGATTGGAAACTACAATTTAGTCCGTTAGAGGTGCAGCTATGAAAGGGCACTGAAGCTCAAACTACTGATTCATGTTCTCAAACGGCAATCAACAAGCTTTCTGTCTCTTTTTCTTCCAGGGAAAGAGGCATGTGGTGGTTGCGAGCACATCACGGGACGATGGATGTTCAATAGACATTCTGATAGCATCATTCCGACTATTACAACACTACTACCCCAAAAGATCAACACACTTTTCCGTCTCGTCATGTTCATGATAAAGCAAACATTTCGCCCCCCTCCACGGCTTACACGCCTCCCACTTACCCTCCTTCCTCGCCTTCCTTTCCCCTCTCCCCGGACTCGCCTGCACCTCCCCTCTCCCCGGACTCGCCTGCACCTCCCCATCCCCACGCCTCCTCGCCTCCTCCTCATCCTCCCACCCCGCCACCGCCGTCCCCTCCCCAACACAAACATTACAAAACACCCCCCCACAACCCTCACACCTCACCGTCCCCTGCCCCGGCACCACCACGCCCCTACACCCCTCACACGCCCTCGCCTCCCCCCACTCGACCGCACACCAAACCCTCAACCCATGCCTCCTAACCGCCTGCTCCCCCGGCCTCTTCAACCCCACCACCAAATCCCGCATAAACCCTGGATGCCACTCCTCGGGATGCCCCTCGACCAACCGATCCGTCTTCTTGAACACAAAAAGATCAATGACTAACCGCCTCACCGGTGCATTTTCCCGTATCTCATCGTACAACATCCACGTATCCGACGGCGTCGGCACGCTATTCGTTGAGTCGGCTAATGCGCTTAACGTGTCGATGATAGCGTTGCGCGCGGCTTCGAGACCCAGGCGGTCGGCGAGGGCATAGCTGTGGAGCAGGGTGTAGTAGGCTGGTTTTCCCTCTTTGAAGGGGTGCGGGATGCGGGAGGTGTAGAGGTGGGTTACTAGGAGGGAGAAGTGGGAGGGGGAGATGTCGGAGAGGGTGATGGTGTTTGTGGTTGATTCGATGAAGGGGCCACCGAGGGCGGCGCGGAAGTAGGACGAGTGTTGGGTTAGGAGGTGGGTGTGCAGGTGGAAAGGTGTGTGTTTGGGGCCCACGAGGATGGTGCTTGTCGGGGTGAATTCATGGGCGTTGTCTTTGGTTATGTATGGGGTTTTGTTGGTCTTTGGCGTACTCTGGCGTGTTGAACGGCTGGTAGGAGAGCCTGGCGAACTTGCATGTATGACATGGCTTGAGAGCGCAGTCTGTACGTCTCTCCAATCATATGGCGATGAAGAGTTACGTGACGAGACTTGATTTGCCTCGGATCGGACGTTGCGTGGTACCATAGTTCGTGGCCGTTTCTTCCTCTATCACAAATCTAATGTCTAGCTCTTCTCTACTTTGCCCAGAAACCACCTGATTCCCAATTGTTCACCAAGGCAAAATATTCGAAAATACAGTCCTGATAGAAAAAGTCCAAGATCTCAGTCTTTTTGAGACTAAGTGTGCTCTCACTATAAAATCCTCAGTTGTTTTGATTGTTAATGATTAGTGTTGCATGAAGATTCATTGACGAAAGGATGGTCTTGTAAGTCCTTGAGGCTAGCACGCATTGTCTTTGTCGCAACGCACTGATAAAGTAGCAAGCACTGTGCCGCAGGTCGTCCTTTGTCTCTGCAAACAGCGTCTCACATTACAACAGCAGTAACTTTCAAACTCTTTTATTCGTTTCGTTTTGGCCAATAAAAGGCATCCTTAACTGTGACCTCGGGTGGCATAAAGAAGAGATATCTCACCAACTATCTTACAAAAAACACCCCACTATGAGTTACTAGATTATACAAAAGGGACTCAGTCTACCCTCATCGAAGCGTCATTTCGTCGTGCCAATGTGTTTTACACATAGCTGTGAAGTAGTCCAGTTCGAACTTATGCGACAAAGTTCTTAATGTCTAATGATTTTGTCAGTGCCAAGGATTTTTTTGTTATTCACATGGGGCGACCTACTGTTAAGCCACCTGACGTATTCCTTCTGCTCCTTGTGGTCAATATAGTCGGGGATGAAGAGCGCAAGACGAGTGTTGATGCCCCGCTCCTCGAGGTACTTTTCAAGCAAAATCTGCAGATCTTCGTCTAGGTTGTTGAAAGGAGGACCCTGTTGCAAGTTAGATCCAAGACGGACCAAGACATCAAGTCGTAGATACATACCGTGTAGAGCGCACGCCTTGCCCAGTCCTTCTCAGCGGTGGCAGGATCAGCCAAATCAGCCGATGGGAAGTAGTAGAGATCCTCGATCAAGAAGTCGCCATCCTGAGCAGTAGCCTCGATAGCCAAAGCGCCCTTGCCGGGACGCTCGATGCGGATGCTGGCATGGGCAGGGAAGCCCTGCTGTGACTCGTCGTTCTCATAGTCATCCTCAAGCTCCTCACGGTCGGCAGGAGAAACGCGGTCCTCGGGTGCTACACGGATATTTCCATCTGGAGTCTTGCCCTGGTTGATGGCACCCTTGGTGTTTGCGCCTCCAGACTGCACATCCATATCGGCATCATCGTACAAGGCGCTGTCCTCGGAAAACTCATCGCCAGGCTGGTTGGTGTTGAGGTCGGCAGTGGTAAAGGTGATGCGGATCTTTTCGTCATTGTACGTGCGGGTCAGGACGACTTCTTGGTTGCCATCCTGGTCCTCAATCTATGTCAACGTGAGTATTTGGCTATGGATATTCAAATATGTGGAAATTCTAACCTCAAAGGGGCTATTCTCAAGGTATTCCTTGATGTTTGCGGAGAGATCATCATCCTCCTTCATGCTCTCCTCCATGGCGATTTCGCTGTGGAGCTTCGCAACCAACTCTTCATTGACTGTTATTTGCATTAGCCAACAGAGTCTAATTTGAATATGCGCAATACATACTACCACTATCATCTCTCCTTGCTACAGACATGGAGAAAGAGGCTGTGAGCCTGGGCACAGCGGCAGTCCATGCTGGCTGGAAAGCAGCTGTCTGGCGCAGAGCAGCTTGCGGGCGCACTGCTTTTGTGGAAAAGCGAGCGGCGGACCGCGGGACGCTGCGGGCGAGGTTTCGTAGAGAAAGCATTGTATTCGCAGGATTTATGGTTGGCTTTGCAAAATACGATGGCAGCAATTGGTTCGTGAAGAAAGAAGAGCGACAAATGCGTAGGCGGCGGGAGACGTAACTTTTCGAGGGCCCGAGCTTGCGGGGACCACAAGGTTGATGTGAGGTGGGATGGGCTTGGCGCCGAATTGCGGCGCCGACTGCTTACCTCCGGGCGTGGATAATAATGCAAACAAGTTCGACTGCAATACGTACTCTGGGTCGCGGGCGTTTGGGGGCACAAAAGCGACATTCGCATCTTCTTCGCAAACTGCAATTGAACCCAATACCCGTGTAGCATCTGTCGCGAGTTCAGTCACGATATCAATACTACGTCACGTCACTATTTCGAGTCACTGACCACAGGACGCCGCGGTCTGCAAGCGCAAAAAAAGTCCGGCCTCACCGTAGCACATAACCATACGTGCTCTTGTAGAGCCCAGTCCAGCCATCATGGCGACTGCACAATCAGAGAAGAAGAAGAAGCCAAGTGCTATGCGCTCCATCCTGGCAGGCGCAACAGCCGGCGCCGTTGAAATTTGTAAACATCCACCATTCCGATCAACGGACAGAAAAAGATAGTGTACTGATTCTTTACTCTAGCAATCACATATCCTGCAGAGTGTACGCTCCATATAATCCACCTTACCCACACCGCGCTAACCAAAACATAGTCGCAAAGACACGATCGCAGCTCAACCGACGATTACCAGATGGGAAGAAGTTACCATGGCCGCCATTCGGAAAGCAATGGTACGCAGGATGCACGACACTGATTATTGGCAATTCGCTCAAGGCCGGTATACGTACGTTGCCACACACAGTCATAATCTCTCATGAGCTTTTTTTCTCTTTTGGCTGGAACTGACACAAAAGTTATGCAGGCTTTGTCGCATTCGACATGTACAAGAACCTCCTCGCCGACGCCGAAGGCAAAGTCTCTGGTCCCGCAACCGTCATTGCGGGTTTCGGCGCTGGAGCTACAGAATCGCTATTGGCAGTCACGCCTTTTGAAAGTATAAAGACACAACTGTACGTATATACATTTTACCCACATCCTCCTCCCCCGCACACGCACTCTCCCAGCTGACCATTCTTCTCTCTGTCTAGTATCGACGACCGCAAATCCGCAAACCCACGCATGCGCGGCTTCCTGCACGGCTCCAAGGTCATCGCCCAAGAAAAAGGCATACGAGGTTTCTTCCAGGGTTTCGTGCCCACAACCGCGCGTCAAGCTGCCAACTCAGCCGTGCGCTTCTCGAGTTACACGTCGTTCAAGCAATTGGCCCAATCATATGTCGCCCCAGGCGAGAAACTCGGTGCGATTAGCACGTTTGGGCTTGGAGGACTGGCGGGCATCGTTACGGTTTACACGACTATGCCGATTGACACGGTCAAGACGAGGATGCAGTCGATAGAGGCGAGGAGCTCGTATAAGAATAGTTTTGATTGTGCGGCCAAGATATTTAGGGATGAGGGTCTGCTCACGTTTTGGTCGGGGGCTCTGCCTAGGCTGGGGAGATTGATTCTTAGTGGCGGTATTGTCTTTACCATGTATGAGAAGTCCATGGACTTGATGGATAGGCTGGATCCCCAGGGCAGGTACATATAGTCAATCAAGTGGAAGAATGGCAATGGTGCCAGTAAAGTGCGGCGCCTCTTAAATATAGTCTTCACCAATGGTCATGGATTCAAAGGAGGCGCTTTTGTGCTCTAAAACTTGATTTGAGCTTCTTGACTCTATACTTGTATGCTTCACAACTTAAACACGCCATGCTACTACGACTACGGCTACTACTACTACTGCTACACCAAACAATCAACATACTCTAAAGCCTTCAGCTCCTTTATTGATCGTCATGCTAACTAATTAGGCAGCGGCCGGCGCAGGCGCACCGGCAGGTTCAGTACCGGCAGGCGCAGCAGGTGCAGCACCAGGGGTGCCCTCAGTCGTCTGGGGAGGAATAGCAGTGTTGTTAATCGCATCACCATCGCTCTTCTTTGCCCACTTGGGCTCCTTTGCCCATTGGGCGTCCCACCAAGGGCCCGCATCGCTCAATGAGCAGCCCTTCTCACACTGGCAAGTTCCACCAAACTCTTTAGGCAGGTTCTCCGCAGGCACCTGAGCCAACAACTCCTTTTGGTATCCGCTGCCCAATACGTGGATCTTGGCGCTTGTGACGGGGTCGAGGAACTTCTTGACCACGCTGAACACACCCGAGAACCCCCAGGGAGCGTTGATAATGTACATCTTTCCCAGGCGCTCGGGATAGTAGTTCTGGCTGATGGTGGAGACTTTGCCCAGGTAGCCGTATACAGACGTTGCCTTGGCTATACCAACGCCCTTCAGGTCCATGATTGTGCATGATGTCTCAAGTAGATAGCCAGACTTGCGCGAGCAAGCGGGCAGACGCGGATCGGCCATCTTTTCGTATTCGCAAACAAGGTTCTGGATCATACGCTCTTCGGTCGTAATCTTGTTGAGTGCGGTGAGGTCGACTTTGCCAAGCTGCTCAATGTACACTGGGCGGCCGTCCTACGGAGCAATTAGCGGTCTAGTTGTTGACATATGGCTTCGACAAGTCCATATTTATATGTAGCGGATTGCAGACGTACCTTGTCAGTCTTGTGGTAGTACTGGGGGTAGTACTCAAAAACTTGGGGCCGTTCGGTGTAGTCAAAAGTGCGGACAAGCTCCTCGACACCTACGCCAGCATACTCGCTCCTCCACTTCTCACAGTCAATGAACCTGAAACCTATTAGCAGGCCTGTTCTGCACCATTTTTTTCCTGTATGCAGTAGTCATGTAGACTCACATCTTTTTCGAGAGTTCAACATCAAACTTTCGTGCGCGGAGGAATCGTAGCTATGAAATGTTTAGCATAGGGGTCGACCGGGCTCTCACAGATACTCATAGGCGTACTAGAGTCAAAGTATCGAGGTTCTTGGTGTGACCAGCCTGCTCCAAGGCAGTCCTGAGCTCAACCAGAGCTGCATCTTGCTCTGGCGTGGTATGACCGGGATGTCCACTCTGAGCGGTGGGAGAAACAGTGGGATAATCGTAATCGTCATACTTGGGGTCGAGCTTGAGCTCAGAGGCGGGTGGTGCAGCTGCCATGATATCGTGTATGTGAGAGGACAGGCGGATGCAAGAAGGGTGTAAAGAGAGTGTGTGCAAAAGAGTTACGTGTTGCGCGGCTCTGGAGGAGTAGTCAAGGAGCGCACGTTGATGCTGTCCAAGTGGGTCCCATCATTGCGGCGGTCAAGCGAGTCTAAGACCTCCCCCTCACCAGCTAGCCTGCTCCCCACCCAGCGAATTGTCGCCCCTTATCCCACCTCATGAACCCATTGGTGGCTACGGACCCACGTCCACAGCGGCCTGCCTTCCCTCAATTGCACCATTTCACTTTGCTCGTATTCATTGCATTCATCACATGATCAAACTTTGTCTTGAACAGATAAACCTTAGTCAGACAAGCTTGGAAGCAAGCGACTCGGCCTTTTTTTGGGGAACGACTACCTAGTTGATACAATGCAGAAAAGAAGAACGCAAGAGAAACCCAGAAAATAGATCAAACAGAACCCATATCGCGAAAAGAAAAAACACCTATCGCAGAACCAATCAGACGCTTCGCACACCGAAAAGAGAGTAGTGGTTCTTCTGTCGTCAGGCTACCAAAGAAAGCGTGTTCCAGACATAGAACAACAAACATTCATGTGAGATTCGTGTACTAGCCGCTGGCATTGTCCATGCCTCTGCAGGATGACCACATCGCCCACTGTCTATCGAGCCACTCACCCTGCAATTGCCAACTCTGAATTGTCACCATAAAGCCCAAAGTGCTGTGGGCAGACGATAGCAACCGAACACCGAGTAAATGACGCCTTGGAAACGACGGAGAACGCTATACCACAAGCCTATTGACATGCCCGGAGGCCGACCGACTCGACACCGGTCAATTCCTCCGATCTCGACTCGGCCCAAAGTCGACTTCAGACACCTTCTTTGCCTCTTTCCGGCTCTTGACAATGTATTGTGCGTACAGAGCCACGTGGTCACTGGGAAAGTGGTAGTTCGGAAAGCCTGGCACCCGCTGGAGGTAGCCCTTATCGATGTCGCCAAGCAGGCCGACCACTTGCAGAGTGTTGGTCGAGTACCAAATATAGTCCAATACTCCTTGGAAGTGTGGAACATAGTTTGTAAACGCCAGCTCGCCAATGGATGCGTAGCTAGACTTGAGGCTGAAAGGATGGGATATTCCGTCTCGTGTGAAGTTACCATACTTCCGGCTTCCCAAATCAGCGTGCACATTCGAAATGTTGCCGTTCGTAATGAGGTCGTAAACACCAGAAGATGGCAGCGAATTGAAGTCACCGCATAGCAACACCGGGATGTCGGCGGGGTCGGTGTACACCTTGGATGGTCCTGGCTCTTGGGTCGGATCTGGCTCCACTGCTTCGTCATTGTCACCATTGGTAAACTGGTATACCACCTTGTTTGTGCAAGGCGGGTGCTTCGTCCATTGTGTTGCGAACTTGGTGATTCCCTCCATCAAAATGGCAACTTGCACGAGCTTGACGTCTTGGAATGCAGGGTTCCAGAACACGTGTACATTTCCAACAATGAATCTTGAGCCAGTGGCTCGATTTTCGAGGAATGCGAGCACTCCAATGTCGTCTCGTGGCATGACACGATTAAAAATGTCGTGCTCGCCCTTCATGTCGGGTCGGTTGATGGCCGTGTTGGCGAAATCGATCAATTGCTTGTCAAGCAGGATGTATCTATACCAGTCAGCATTTTTGCTAATAGAAAGATGCATGTCTCAGTTCACTTACTTGCTATTCTTGTAGAAGATGGCACAGCCATCAACAAGCTTGGCTTCCCTCTCGGCCATAGTGCGTGCTCTGGATTTTGGCCAAAAGACTCCCTTATAGTCGTTATGCGCAAGCGCTGCTCGGAAAAATTCATTGAAGCTTTCTTGGTCAATCTCCTGCAAGCATACAATGTCCGCGTCGCGCTCTCGCAGTTCGGCCAAGATGAGTTCCCTTCGACTTTCCCATGCAAGCGCTGAACTGGGCGTGTAACCATATTGTGATTGCGTACAGTACTTGTCGCACAGAATGTTGTAGCTCAACGCACTCACAGTTTCTTGGGAGGTATCCTGGATCTCGTCGAGGACAATCCAGTCTCGCTCGGGTGGTGCCTCTGGTCCGGGTGCATTTTCACGGAAGTGCTTGATGAGTTCCCCGGTGCCCTGCTCCATGATGATCTGCTTCAAATCATCTTGAATCGGGTTGCCCTCAATACCAAGCATCTCCAATTGATACAAAGATCCCAATTCATACGGCAAATTCTCGATGTGGTTGTCGAATAGCAACAGCTGCTTCAAATTTACAAGCATGCCAATCTCTGGGGGTAGGTATTGCAGGTTATTGAGTGAAAGGTCGAGGTGCGTAAGGTTCCGTAATTGTCCAATCTTTTGGTGAACATTAGTGAGCTTGTTCGAATTGAGATAGAGCTTCGTGAGAAAGGTGTAGGCGAATAGCGCGGGGGTAATAACTTTGAGGTTCTGGCCGCCAAAGTCGAGGATGGTCCATATATGCTGGTCTTTTGCGTCTTCTGCTCGCTGGGCAGCAGGTCTGTTGCGCTCCTCCTTGTCCGCCTCTTTCTGCATCCCATTGGTTGTTCCAGCCACGATGCTCTTGCTGACACTCGGATGGATCCTGGCGTGCGAGTGAGCCTGCGTCATTTCACGCGCTGTTTGGTGCAGCCTCAATTGCTCTTGCCAATGCTCGGTCTGTGGCTTGCTGAGACCGCTGTGTACGCTGTTCGGGGTACCATTTTGGAGATGACCGGGGGTAAAGTGGGGCTGAACGTTGGACATGCCCCCGCTCGAGATGTTGTGCTGGTGGTTGTATTGTCCCACATGGCTGTTCCCAGTAAGATCTTGATGTTGTTGGTGATGTTGATGCTGATGCTGGTGGTGCTGATTGTGCTGAAAAGGCTTGCCAAGGCCCATTTGCATAGCAGCATAGTTTTGCTGCCCTGTCCGCCCGTTCATCATAACGTTGTGGCCCTGGTGCCCATGGCCCTGGTTGAACATACCGAATTGCTGCGGAGACGATTGGCGCCCAGGAGATCGAGCTGGCGAAGGGGTATCGGGGTTATTGAAGGGGATGCGGGCGCTAGTTGTGGGGGATCGCGCGCGGGTGGGAAGGTTTCGTGTGTTCTGAGTGTGTCGTGGAAAAAAGGATTGGCCGGTTCCCCTGGGGTATACCGAGTACTCGGCCATCTAAGGGAGTTCCGGCGGATGATTTCGAGGGGCCCGCAGGCGGCCGTGTGTATCGAGAGCGAAAGGCCCTGGTCGCTATGGCTAATGAAGGCGTCGGGCAGGCGGTAGGGTTCGGGCACGCGATCTTCTTCGTTCTAACATGGGCGCCCTTACGACTCCTCGACATGAGCACGCGCTAGCAGAGGCGGGAGCTGTGCACCATGTACTGGAGGCGTCGGCGGTTCGCGAGTGAGGGTGGTGGTCTAAAGCGGGGAGTTGGCAGTGAGCGCGGGTTAGGGTTCGCTCGAGGCTCTGGGTAATGGCGGTGAAAGAACCGGGGCGCTGCTATGTGTATTGATATGTCGGCAGGCTATTGTTCTGGAACAGTCAGCTCTGCGGTGGTGGGGAATCAAAGAGGTTGGAGCTGCAGTGGGTGCTGGTGGAAGCGGGTGGAAAGCAGCGTACTTACAAGAGCGGAGCATGTCAAAGAGCGCGCAGTATTTTGCTGTCAGTCGCAATTGTACCAGACAGACGGGGAGAGAGTCCAACTGCAGCGCTGTGAAGAATAGAGAGCGTAGTAATGCGATACGTGAAGCCTGAGAGTCGAACCTTGCCCGATGCATGGGGGTGCCGCTAGGCGGCACACGTGACATAGTGGAAGCGTCGATCTGGTGCGCTGAAACGACACATCTGTCCCCTCGCGTGCCGGCCTTGGTAGTGCACGCATCCTATGTCTGGGCTGCAGCAGTAGTAGTAGCAGTGTGACCGGTGGGAATGTCTCTCGGACAGTGCTGCTTTGGGGGAAGTGTCTACAGGACATGTAGGACACACTCGAGGAGGTGGTCCGCGCGGGCATTCAGGTTCATGAGGGCCCCATGGGACAGCAGCAGCAGCAATAGTACCTACGTAGATATGCATACGTACATGTGTATATGTATGGACACATACGTACACACATGGTAATAATGGCAGTAGACGCTGGGTCTCCAAAAAAAACTTCATAGCCCAGATACGCAATCACACACGTGTGTGTATACCAAATAGACATGTACTGACATATGTGCATATATACACACTGCTGCGGCTAGCCTATGAGGCACTCCCTACGCAAATCATGGATGCCATCACCTGCAGCGCGCACCGTCGGCCGATGCCGCGCCCATGCATACGGCGGCCCTCCAGAGCAGCTTCGGCTTCGGCCACAGCGCCCACATTTTGCCCAGCGGATTTGCCCTGGAAATCCGGGGGGCATCACACAGCCGCAGACGGTGATTGGAGATGTCTCCTCGGCATGATCCAGAACTCCTCACCTGAGCGGCCTTGTACACCCGGGTGCGAAACCGAGATGCATCCATTGAAAGCTCACCCCATCCCCATACATACATACTAGACACATTCCACTCGCACACGCGCTTCAACTATGCTGACACCTCAGCCTACTCTGACATCCCTCTGCTGCTGCACTGCACACCGTTGCTACCACAACCGCTCTTGCTGCTCCGCTGTCCCACTCGTTGACTGCTGACTCGCCTACACGTGCTTACCAGACGGCCAGGGACAAGGCCAATATCACGCTCCCGCTAAAAAACAGTGGGGCAAGGGTCGGAGTAGGCTGGATAACTCTAATCACGTTTCCAGACGGTCTCGATGGGAGACTGGCAGCTGGCAAGGACTCTGCTGACGCTGTTTCGAATTACATTGAGCTAATTTCCTCGCCAGTACCGCTACTACGGCGCCAACCCTACGGCCAGCCCTCCATCGCGCCCAAAGACTGTCGAAGCAAAGCAATGGGATCTGGCCACCACCGACGCCCTTGGTAGAACCATCTCTGCGTCCTCGACCACCGCCTCGTCTGGCCCGCGCCCTCACTCCACCATGGACATCACCAGGGGCTCCATGTCGAGCAACTCGACCCTGAGTACCAAGGACGACGGCACCACCCCCAACGAACCCTTCATCCTGCGCCATGGCCGCAGATACATCCGACGCGCTCAAGGCTACCCGCTGCCATGCGATCTTCCCGAACTCCACCGTCAGAATCTACAGACCCTTCTTGCCACGGCCGTCTTCGGGAGGGCCCTAGGCTCTACCCCATCACACGCCCCGAAAAAAGTCTTGGAAGTCGCGTGCGGCACTGGATACTGGTCGGCTGTCTGTCACGAATGGTTGAGTGGTACGTAAACCTGCTGACCTTGGCGGGCTGTCCGGGCTGTCCGGACTGTCCGGGTGGAGGCCTGCGACTCCCTTTTCGCCATATCTGCATACCCAGCTGCCACTCAGTGTTAACCATGAACCAGGTCAGGGCTACGAAGACGTTTCTTTTACCGGGCTGGACATTGTCCATGTAGCCGGAGACTTGCAGCGGCAGGGCATTGACTGGAAATTTGTGCAGCATGACTTGCGCAAGTTGCCACTGCCGTTTGACGATGAGGAGTTTGACATTGTAGTCATGAAAGACATGAGCATGGTAGTTCCCTTGGGCGCGCCAACACAAAGGACGCTTGACGAGTGCATCCGCATTCTCAAGTCCGGCGGCACGCTAGAGATGTGGGAGACTGATCACATTATCCGTTCCATCATGCCTCATCCCCCGCCTCCGCCAGGCAAGAATCCGCAGGATTACGCCTGTGCCGTATCGACTGGGACGTTTCTTATTTCGCACACGACGCCCTTCACCGACGTCCAGAACAAGTACCTCCAAGATGCAAATGCGTGGATTCAAGAAGCCCTGGGCCGACGCAAACTCTCTCCAACCCCGTGTTCGCGTATCTCTCAGATATTGCTCCAGGAGACGGAGACACTGTGCGAGGTAGAAAACCGCCGGGTGGCGATTCCGCTTGGCGAGCCGCGCTGGGAACGCGAAGCAGCGGGCGACACAATGAAGCGACGAGGGAGTGAGGCTGGGAAGCTCAAGATAGGCGGGTCAACCATGGATGGCTCTACCCTGACGCAGGAACAAGCGGCCCTGCGACACACAGCGCTCCTTGTTGTTATTCAATTGATTGAAAGCCTCGAGCCGCTGCTCAAGGATGTCAGCGGCAAGAATCAGGAGGAATGGCAGCGCTACTGGAATTCCATGATCAACGACCTGCTCGAGCAAAAAGGAGCCTCGAGTGGCGAGTGTCTTGAAATTGGAATCTGGTGGTGCAAAAAGGTCTGAAATTTGATTGGTGTAACCTCTGTTTTCTTAAGCTTTTTGTTTTTCTTTCTGTGATATCCCGGTCTACGGCAGGCCATCGTTGGCAGATGTTAGTTCGTGTTTGTCAGTGGCTAGGCACCTGTATCGTAGCGCTGGCGCAGAGTACGATAGCGCTTGAGATAGTATCTGTACTATGTTATCAGCCAAAAAAAAATTAACTTTTCATATCGAAATGTTTTCTTTTCGTCTTCATAGCTTGGACTTACAAAGCTTCAATTTCTAAACCATATATATATATATATATTAGCAGTGAACATGTGCCCGGATGGATAGATTATCAGAAGACTAACCTTTCTTCACGTACTCTGCCCTTTCGATACCTTGCTTGATCTTGGCCTCGTCGGTCAAATGCCGCTGGCTTGCAAAGGCCTTGTGTAGACGCGTACGAAAGTAATCGTACCCCTGAGGGTACTCCCGGCCCATGTAAAGCAAGTCTGTTCCATGTGAGTATAAGTTTGGTAACGATTGGGGGGGTTACGTGGGAGTACGACGGACCCTTGTAGATCCGGATGACTTGATGGCGAAGCGCTGGGTTTGGAGTAGTCATGTCTGAAGTAGATGGAGTGGAGTGGAATAGAGTTTCGTTTCTTTTTGTAAGAAGGGTCCCAAAAAATTTTGTATACTTGAATTGGTACTTTTCTTTTCGTTATAGATGGCGTGTGCTGGGTACACGACGAGGTATGTCGTAGTGTGATGGAAGGATGCGCTCGGACCGCGTTCCTGACGTAGGTACATAGGTACGTAAGGTTGGTCGAGTCGAGGTGGAGAGCTGGAGAAGCGGGGACCTCGGCTGCTTTGCCGCTATCTGCACATTGCCATCTCTAGGTTCGCCGTGTTGCTTTTGCAGCGCATTTTCAAACTTTTCTGTATTATTCCTTTTCGTCATGCCGCCATTACTACGCTCAATTGTCTGCGGGGTGAAGCCGATTAGGCAGCTTCCAGGTGTGCAGCGTGTCTCTTTTCAGCGGCATCAGTCGACGTCAAGTGGTACGTAGATATACTTTAAGAAGGTACGATATGATCAACTAATCACCATGTACTGTGCATGCAGACAACGCACCTGCCACCGCTGCTCTCAGCCCAAGATGGCTCTCAGATGTCAAGCTGCGCATTGGAAAGTGCATTAGTTTTGGAATCAATCCAGCACAAGTCGAGGAGGCCGGCTCGATATTGCAAGAGACATCGGAAGATTGTAAGCATTCAACTTGACATGTTTTTTTCAAGTGTTTGTGCGTGACGAAGATGCTAACTTGCTCGTGTTTACCAAGGGAGAGAACTTGTAGCCGGAAGCGAGGGCTTTCTCACTGGCAAGCAATGGCGTGGACTCTACCGGCAAGAGGTTGTTTGGGGAGAGATGGTCAGCTTCATCACCCAAGACTTTTGTAGACGACTGCTAATGTGGATGTTTACTGCGTGCAGGATAGCATGGTAGGCCGATTCCAATGCGCTAGTGAATGATTGCTGATCAACTTGAAGGGTACTCAGCTAAAGACCTCGTCATGTACAGGGAAAGTCTCTAATCGTTCACAGGTCACGTGAATAATGTCATGTACAATCGATACGCAGAGTCTGCCCGGGTCAACTGGACACTGAAATTTGCGGCTAGTGACCCGCAGCATCGGGCTGAATGGTTGGAGCTCATGACACCAAAGAGTGTTGGCTTGATTCTGCGGAGCATCAAGACAGACTACAAATTTGTAAGTAGACGCACTCTACTCTTTGCTTTTGTTTGTCTGTTTACTAATATCGAATACAGCCAATGACATGGCCAGACAGGTGTGTTTGCCGACATAACGAAGCAGTCCCGTATTGACACGTGCGCCACCAGGGTCACGGTACTCCACAAACTCCGCAACAAGCCTAGCCAAGGTAGTGATCATTTCATTCTCGATGTCATGATTCTGTCGGAAGCACATCGTCGTCCGGCAGCGCGTTGTATTGAAGACATTGTAGTTTACGACTACAAAACAGCCAGGAAGTCACCACTGCCACCTTTCATGGTTGAAAAGTTCCAGGAAACATTCAATTTGCAGGAGCAGGCCAAGGCAAGAAACAGTGGTAGGGTCAGGGTGCTATTGGATAGGGTGAGAGCGTTGGAGAAGGGAAGCTGGGACAGGCCAGATGCTAAGGAGGACTTTGGAAGTGCAAATGATGCATAAGCCTGTAACAGCATATCGCTGATACTGGCCATATCATGAGCAGCGGGATTGATGAGTGAGAAGAATCAATAATACAAGGATGAATCATAATTTATGATTGCTTTGCTCAGAGGACGAATATACATGGTGGTGTAGTGGTGAGCAGGATTGGTTGAGGGCGGCGTCGCATGCATATCACGTCATGTCGCCTGCAGTTTAGTTGATGCAACATGCGGGGTTTCTTGCAGGTAGTTCTGGATCATGCCATAGCAGCAGCAGAAAAGAGGCTTGTTGACGGCGGGTGGAAGGATGCAAGTTGGCGTACAGGATAGGTGCAGTGGGCAGATATGCAGAGACATGGTAGTATGGCAGCGCAGGGATCTGCACGTGATGGGCGATGGGAATTGCCTGTTATGGGGATCTGCGCGCCCGTTGGACGCGTGATGGTCAAGCTTTCCCTTGTTTGCAACGCTGCTCCGCTCCCATTGGCGCAGTTGGGCTAAGCTTCCACGCCGGCACTGTGCAGATTGCGGAAAAGGCCATGGATGTGCGGGCGGATGGCTTGCGCGCTATGCTCGCCTCAATCCAAGATACACACAGATTGACACAAATGCTCCGATGGCCTTGTTTGCAACAGCCGAACCGTGTGCCCGAGATTGACGAGGGACTAGATGTGGTGCCGTCTGGGCAGCTGGCATGAGCATGGCCAAGTCAGGTACATTATGTCTCTGCGCGCTGAAGACCAAGAGACGCGAGTAATAGGCGGCATCGCTGGCGGGGGGGAGCCCGCTGCAGAGACTTCATGGCATGCGGTCAAGAGAGGAAAGCGCGACTTTTACTTGCCCGGAGCGGGCTGTGGCACAGGGGGGTCCCGGCACCCGCAAATGAACGGCCATGCTAGAGAGGCCGGCGGAATCCCGCCCACGAATGTGATGGTGGTGATGATGCTGGGGACGGGCATGGGGACGAGAAGGATGAAGAGCATGACGATGCAGCTGATGCAGACAATGGCAAGACAGGACCCGCCCGACGCAACGCAGACGCAACGTAGATGCAATGCCTCGGTGCGGGCAGGCCAAATGGGCGGGCAGTCTGGCTCGCATGTCTTGCGCGCAGCAACCATCGTGGGTTAGTGGCCACGATCGGCATCGTCAAGAGGAATCGGTGTCAGTTCGGCTGATGTGGGTATCGACGGAGCCAGGAGAGAGAGCCACGAGCCAGGCGTCTTCCATGTACCTAGGTGTACAATGTTCATGTGTGCTATCCATGTACCGACGTGGACATGTGCATGTGAGTGTGTGTGCGATTGAGGTGAAACCACGGTACGGCAGAGGTGGCAGGCCGAAGGACCGAGGGCGGATGACAATGGCAAAGGCAAAGGCACTGACTGGCAATGCAGCGGCAATCAATGCCCTGGCCAGGGGGGCCCAGTGGCACCATCAAGGCACGCCGTGCTGGTTGACTGCTCTGACTTTTCTGCCTTTTTGCACTTGACGTTGCGCAGACAGCAGCGTGGCTTGGCAACAGGCGGAAAGCTGCGAGTAGCCACGCGCAGGGCACCTCACTCTCTCTTGCTCCCCCATTCATCCCTCGCCGCCCAGCACACGACGCCCTTGCCCTTTCCCCTCGCCGCCCCCCTCGCCCTCACAGCACCCCACCGAGCAGCGGCTCTCAGTCTTCCAGTCTGGCTCGTCCTGTGCAGCAGTCGAGTCTCGCCGGGGAGACGTTTGCCCGCTTGCACCCGCACCCGCACCGCCGTCTATGGTAGCAAAGTCGAAGAGGACCGCGGCGCACGACAAGCGACACGAGAATGGCCTTGCCGCCCCCGGCAGACGCATCGACAAGCAGAAGAGCAACCCGGCCCTCAGTGCCAACGCCCCCAATGGGAAGACTACGGCACAGCCCAGGCCCCAGCCTGGCCATGTAGTAGACAGCAGTGACACGGCGCCAGCAAACACGCTCCTTCACCACGACGCCGCCACTGCCACCATGCCTGCCGCCGCCGCCGCCTTGTCGTCCTCTGCCTCGTCGGCCACCCCCTCCGCCTCCTCCGCCATCACCACTCCCGCTGCCCCCCACGCCCGCTCACACGACCGCACGCGCGCCGCTTCGGACGCCTCCAACGACAATTCCACAGATGCCTGTCGCCCCTACGACAATGCTACGGCTCCCTTTGACCCCATGTCATCGACTCTCCGCCGCGCAGACACCACAGGCTCCAAGCACGCTTCGCTGTCCATGACCACCATGCTCTCTGTCCCCGCCACCATTCTCACGTCCTGTCCGCTGCGGGACGTGCTCGCCATCCTCATCATCCTCCTCCAGCTCCCTCCAACCGTCCTCACCGTCGTTCAGTTTCTCTTCGCTACCCTCACCTTTGTCCCGCCCCAGGCTGGTACCCCCCTCTCCGCCCTCTCTGCCTTCCCCTCCTTTACCGACATCTTCCAGGGCTCCGGCGGCACGCCCTCGCTCTTCACCACAATCATTGCCGACACCGTCATTCTTATGATATGGCTGTTGCTGTGGGTCCCTGCCCAGAACTTCTTCCTCGACCTGGCACAGGCCGTCATTGCCATCGCTCTGGGAGGAGCTGCAGCCGGAAAAAAGGGCACAACCAATAGCATTATCATATGCTTTCTTATTATTTTCACCAGCCACATCTTCAGATTTAGGCCTCTCCGGCAACACATTGTCCACTTTCTTTGGACAGGGCTCGCCCGGGGAGGCCTTGAATTTTTGACGAGCCCCCCGAGTACGCCGACCTCATTGGAAAGCTTCTCAACCCCCCACGGATGGCCTCGCAGCCTCCTGGGTATTCATATTCTAGCCCAAGGTGTCGTTCGCATCATCCGACGCTCTCTGTCTCGACGAGAACACACAACTCTACCTACTGGCAAGAAGACAGACCCCGAATCCGGTGTGCTTCAACGCTCCAACTCAATTAACCATGAACCAGCTGCCGATGTGCCCAATGCCTCGAGCACCGACGGCCGCCCCCCGGGGCCGTCGCCCGCCGTACACGCACACAAGGATAAAGCAAGTAGTGGTAGGAGGAAGAGAAAGCAAGCCACTCATGTTCGGAGTCAGCAGCCGTTTTGGGCTGCCCTTGCAAGTACAAAAGTTACTGTTTTAAAAGAAATGGAGAGTAGCCGGGCGGCAAACGATGCCGACGAGGCTAACGCAAAAGACGCAAATCACATTGGAAACGCTGTTTGGAGACCGGAAGACGATCGTGTTTGGATTTCAGAAGTCGGCTTTTCCGACATTTCATTTCGTGTTAGTTTAGCTGGTGGAACTAGTATTCAGGAGCAGAACGAGGAAGATTCGAGCCTCGGATCCGGCATCGACAAGTCAAAGCCATTCTACATCCGTGTCAATGGCGCCGATTGGAGCTCTGCCCGGATCCGGCAAAGCGAACCTGTTGGTTTTGAAGGTCAGGAGGGAACGGGCTACTGGGTAGGGGAGATTTTTGGGTTAACGGCACTGTCCAACTACTACTGCGAGTTTGTCAGGACCAACGACAACGAAGTCTTCTACTCAGCAAGCCTTATTACCTCGGCCAGCCCTGTCACCGAGCTCGGTAAGAACTACAGTTTATGCTATATTTCTTTGCTAACGCGGTCAGCTTTAGCCTCCATTGCCTCCCCGCCAGCGCATCAGACCCTACGACCTTCTTCGCCTACTACGACATTGAAAAACTCTATTGCGGCAGCCGATCAGCAGTTACAAGAGCAACGCAATCGCCTGAAGCGGAACAAAAAGGACCACAAAACTGCCATCACCAATATCAAGAAAGAGGTGGATACTCTCGGAAACCGCCTTGCCAACGCCGGTGGCAGTGATGAACGCCAACGCCAGCGTGTCCTCCAATTCACCCAGAATATTCGCCAGGCCGATGATGCAGCCGCAGATTTTGCCCTTCAAGCAGAGAATCTGGGATGCATTCCCGAAGAGGAATCCAAGGAAGCCGCAGCCAAGAAAGCCGAATGGAAGAAGGAGCGTGACAATAAGAATGCCGTTGCGAGCGAGTTCGACAAGACCAAGGAAGAGATTGAGCGCCAGGTTCAAAGCGTCCAGAATGACATCAACAACGCTTACCAGAAGAGAGAGCGTCTTCAGCAGCGTCAAACCAGGCTCAACGAGCAGCACGACCGTCTTGTCACCGCCAATGCCGAAGGCTTCACCGCCAAGCAACGAAGAGAGCAAGAACGTGCAGCTTTGCGAGCACAGCGCGCTGAAGTCGAGCATCAATATCAGAGCAACATCATCAACTACGAAAGGCGAACTGAAGAGCAAAATCTCTCGACTACTCAAATCATGCAAACCGTGCAGCATTACGAAGAGCTCATGATTCAGCAAGCCCAACAACACATGTCTGTTCCGACAACACCTGATGGCAATCTCCCTGGCACAAGCATGTCTCCTCATAACAACGGTTTCGCCAGCTTCACGTTCCCATCACTCAACTCCCACATGAACAGCACACCTGGTTCCATGCGTGGCGGTCGTGGTCGCTCTTCGTCAATGCTTTCCAACGTATCTGGCTTCACTGACACTTTCGATGAGCCCTCCTCTATGGCTCCCTATGTGCTTGGCAATCCTTTCAATACTCCTGGACCCGTCAATGGACGTAACCGCAGTCATGGGAGTGGCAGTTTGAGCTCGGGTACGTCGAGCCAAACTTCGAGCCAGAGGGATCCCATGAGTCCTGTCCAAAGTACCAAGCCCATGATGGTTCGAAGCGTAACAAATGGTAGCAACGGTTTCATGAGTCCGATTGGGACTGGTCGATAAAAGCGTGGGAAAAAAATGGGATCTGTTTTTTTGCCGGATCTCCTAGATAGCTCTCCAATGTGATTATATGTGTTCTTTTGGTTTATCCAAAATTCGTTTATACGATTTGTTGCCTTGCCTTGTGGTATGTGTGTCTACTTGTAGTGATGTATCGCGCCTGCCTGATCCAACACGCAGCGTGTTTGGTAGACAATTCTAGGATTACAATAGCCTGGTCACTATGTTTTGCACACTCGCGTCCGTTATCGCATTAGTCTTGAGATATATCTAGGAGGTGCTACGAGTGTGGCAATGACTTGACCCGGTTCCTTAGTCTCCGTAAGACTCTCGACGATATATGTACATTCATTCCCGTAAACTAATCTGATGCTCAAAGTCCTACCCAGGCGCTCTTCCACCTAACACCACAATCACAACAACTCAATACAATATAACAATCAATTAAGTCTATTATTGCATTTCTGTTTAAGAAACCGCAGACCCATACAACTATTACAAAAAAGATAACACCGTAGAAAAAAAAGAAAAACACCATTGAGCTTTTACTAGATTACCAGATATGTGCAAATCATGTAGTAAGGCACTAAAAGGGCCTTCTTCCCCGCCCATCACGATGATTGAGGTCCCCCATCCAAGAAAAGAATCCCTCCTTTTCCCCCTCCCATTTCACGAGCAGACTCTACCAGGGCAAACGATCTTTTTGCGCGTACCAAGAGTAGAGAAAGCGTGTTTTTAAAGTACAAGGCCCCAAACATGAAAGAAAAAGAAGAAACAGGAAAATATACCGCTACGCCTTGGTCCCATATACACATGTATTTCCCCCTCACAAAACAAAACAAAGGCCCTGTACTCATTCTGTACCACGTCTGATCTTGGCACTCAAACAACCAATCCCATACCACAAGCACATACGCTTAGATACGGTGCTTCTCCGATTCTGTAGAAATAACATTAGTCCGTGGTACCTCTCTTATTAAGATGGATCTACTCACCTAGTCGCGAGTACAGCATGTACAACGCCATTTGATTGCACTCTTGTGTACCTGTAATAGTGACGAGACGCTCGTTGCTGTTGTCAGTAGGCTCGTTGATCTTGATGACACTGCCACTGAGCTGGCGGATTTCGTTGATCTTGGCACCTCCCTTTCCAATAATGGCACCAACCATGTCGTTGGGAATGAAAATCTGTTGCGTTAAAGGCTGTCCAGGGATGGCACCAACGGGCGCGTGAGGAGCGGCACCGTGTGCAACAGGCGCCGCAGCCGGGTGAGCTCCATAGGGAGTGGGAGCAGCAGGTCCGCCATAGGGACCGCGGCTGGGCGAAGCAGCGCCGTAGGGCATGTTAGGATGACCATATGGCGATTGCTGAGGAGGCTGGCCGTGCATGTGAGGAGCGCCATATCCGCCATGAGCTGGGGTACGCTGAGCAGGCTCTTGGCGACGGAAGTTCTGTGGGTGGGAGTACTGGCCTCCAGCAGGCTGGGGGACATATGGTTGAACAGACATGCCGCCTGGAACAACGTTGGCAGCCATACCGCTGCGGGTCGCGTATTGGGAGGCTGCAGGGCCACCAAATCGCTCGGTCAGCTGCTCGACCAGAGTCTGAGCAACATAGTACACAGCAATGTGCACGGCATCGGCAACACCGAGAACGATCAGCGAACGTTCGCCTGAGTTAGGAAGAAGTGTGTCGGACGCGTTCAATTTTGCATTGGAAGCCTCCTGGATTTCGCGGATACGAACACCAGCCTTACCAATGATTGATCCGATAAGAATGTGGGGAATGAGCAGACGCATGGGGTATGCCTTGGATGTAGACGTCGAAGGGGTCTCGAGGTCCTCTTGGTTGAGAGTGCGTACAATGAGACCAAATGCCTTGGACACGGCATCAACTTGGCCGCTTACAGTAAGGATGCGTTCAACAGCACCTCGCGAATAGTCACTGACGGTGCACTTGGCGCCAGACAGACGTCGGATTTGGGTCACGTTCTCTCCGCCCTTACCAATAATGGTGGCGGCCTCGCTGGTGCCAATGCAAGCGCGTACATGCAGCCAGTTGGTCTCGTCGACCTGTTGGTTGGAGTTTACAGGGCGTCCATTGGCACCAGATGTGGATTGGATGGGCTGGGTCTCAAGAATAGAGGGAGCGTCAGGGACAATAGTGTCCGTCTGGATAGGCTCAGTACCATTCTCGACGGCGGGAGTTGCGACGGGTACCACCTTTGCCTGTTCTTCGCTGATGCCTTCAACATCAACAGATTCTGCCTTGACTGGCTGCGCAATGTCGATAGCGTCTGCACTGGGGGCCTCATCCTTGACCATTTTATCGAGGGCAGGGCGCTTGGCATCGGGCTGGTCGTTGAGTCCGGCAGGCGACGAGGGCTCCTCGAGCGGACGCTTGGTCGAGGAAGCCGCGATGGTGGGTGATGCAGACATGGCTTCTATGTATGAGTTTCTGGGTCTTGAGTCTTCAACGGCTATATACGCTCTTCACAGTCGACGAGCGTGCAAACGCGATGTTGAGATTGTTTCAATTGATCTCGATTATCTTTGCGACTTTTATGTACAGCGGGGGCCGTGAAGGAAAGCGTGCTGTGAGGGCGGATTGGAGGGAACCGCGACAGCGCGGTGAAGGTGCGTGGAGGAGAGGTCGCCAGGAACGTGAACGGAGTTTTGGGGCGTGCAGAGGGTGCAGACGTCGGACAAGGGATGCCTCGACAGAGTGGGCAGTCGTAGGTGATGGTGTTGTGATGGAGCAGGAGAGTCGGGCAGGGTGAGTGGATGGATGTGATAGTGTGCTTCGCTCGGGGGCGATGGATGTGAGGTGAGGTCGAGAGATGAAGAAACTGGCCCAAGTAAAGAAAGCTCGCCCGTCAAACCTTGTCGGCAGCGATCCGGTGTCTCAGATAAGGGAACGTCTGGTGTTGCGCGCCGTCCCTTCCGAGCAACAAGGCAATGGGTAGGAGAAGGGGGTTGATGAGGGCTGGTGATGGAGAAGGAGCTTGGAGCGATGGACGGGGTCAGCAAAGCGAATTGCGCGAGGCAGAAGGCGCCTGCGGAGCGAAAAGGAAGCTGTCGCGGGGAGGTTGGCGCTAAGTCTTGGCAGGTCACGTGCTAACGACTGCACTGTGCCAGCATACGCAAACACCAGGAGACACAGGCAACCTGCGAACGAGCTCTCCTTTCAAGCTTCAGCGTGCACTGCCCAGACGTCTACGAGCGAGTGGGGGTGAGGGTGCCGCGCGCCAGGTACAACGCGTCTGTTAGCGAAGCTGCGCGACCACCACACATCACACCAACCGCGCTGTAAAAGAGATATGGCACAGGCACAGGCACCGGGTCAGGCTATCCAGCGGATACGAGAGTATGCCCAGGAGGCACGTAGTCTGCACGACGACGCTGTCGATTTTGACGCGTCCGACACAGAAACTCGCCTGGCGCAGACGGTGAAGGAGCTGCAGGCACGCGTACAGGAACAACAGGCAGCGCTGGACCAGGTAAGAAGAGACTGCAGCTACGGTCTCGTCGAGCATTGCTAAGCGGACCACAGTTGCGGTCTCAATCCAATCTTGACCTGGACAGCATAGCCTATGCATCAGAGGATCCGCGTGAGAAGCTGCAACAACTCGTGGCAGTCAAAGACGCATATAAACGTTTGAAGCCGACTGCGACATATTTGCCTCCTCAAGGGTCACTTCTGCCAGCCTTGTTAGCCGCCCGTAGCATCCAGCAGAACGTAGAGGGAACCAAGGAAGCCATTGCCAGCACGCAGTCTCAACTGCTTGCAAAAGAGATGGCTCTTCGTCGCGAAGAAGCTAATCTGCACGATGCAGACCGCCTCACGCAGGCCATGCAGGATCGAATCCAGCGACTACACTCCCAGCACCAAGACCGCTCGCAAAAGACGCCTGCCCAGCTTGCACGTGAACTGATTGCTGCCAAACGCGCGCAGAAAGAGCATTCTGACGCGGAAATGCAGCGTCTAGGTGAAGCTATGAATGACTTCATCAACGACTACCTCTCTACCATGCTCGCAGCAGAAGAACTCGGTGGGCCCGTCGTAGGCGACATGCTCGACATAGACGACGACACACTAGCCACGGGCTTCACTAAAAAAGGGCGAGCAAAATCCTCCAAGAAGCCTTCATCAGACAAGACTCGACAGCGCCGAATCGACCAAATCTGGGGGCCCACCAAGCTGGCTGCCGATCAAGACGACGATGACCACGAGGAAGAGCCACCGCCCACCGAGGCGGAAGCAGCTGACGCGGAAATGCGGAAGCTAATGGGCGATCTCTTTGCTACGCTCATGGGTCCGGGGGGAGGCAAAGCCTATGTTCAGCTACAGAGAGATTCCGCGGCCTCCCGGTTCTTGGTCAGAGCAAAGATTGCCCAGTTCCATCCCAAAGACGCGAACAAGTTGCGTTTGATAGATTTTGGACGAGAACTAGACGACTGAAAGATGTTTAGGAAGATAGAGAACCAAAAAAGGGGGTAAGAGGTTAGAAACCAATATTAACAATGACAACTCTTGGATCAATGTTTACACTACTACCTTTCCAATATACTGGGCAATGAAATCACCACCCCGTTTTCCCTTTCTAACCCCAACTGTGGCGGTGCAAAACAACCTCCTAACCTCCTTTTTTTCCCAAAAGCCCACCGCCATGCATCTGCATCCGCATTGCCCAACCCGCGTCGGTGGCGTCCCCCCCCCCCCATGTTTCTCTTTTCTTTTCTTTTTCGCTTCTCGCTCCCGCACTCAATACATTGGGGCCGGGGGGGGTCCCTCCCTCCTCTTTCTTACGGCCCACATACCTCTTTTGTGCAAAAAAATACTCCCAAGCCTATAGTCTGGAAAAACACAACCACCTAGTCCATGACGCCTCCGATATGTCTCTCTATCTTTCCGCCCGAATCCAATTGTTCGGACCCCCGACACGTCGGTGTCGCCGGGATCTAGCAAGGAACAAGGAATAAAGTTCCCTCATTTGGCGCGCGTCGGCCAACAGGGTACAGAAGTAGTAACTATGTACCATGTACATATAGAATATGCATACGCATATTTGCATCATGGGGGAGGACGGGCACTATGATCTTTTGCATTCTTTTTGGCCATATATGCCGAAGGAATTAAGTATTTAACCAGGTCGCCCAACTAACTAAGCTTGACCCGCGCGCTCAAAGCAGCGAGCAACATGGGCATATGTTGTGGATCTTCCCGTCCTGGGGCTTTTTTTTTCGCCGAAGAAGGAAAGAGGGAAGAGAAACAAACAAATAGAAAAGTGTCATGGGGGGGGGGGGCCGGGGCGGGCCAGTGCTATCCCATTTTTTATCGCGCATAGACTTACTCACTTACTTGCTAAAAACCCTATTTCGGTCCTCATTGCGAGGGCGAGCTTCCCTAGCCCTCGTATCAAGAAAAGTAGATTACTCTGATTACTGATACCCTGAAAGAAAAAAGGGTATAGTTTGTACATGTAAGTACATGTAAGTAGACTTAGGCGCCCCCGCGCACGGACTTCCAACATTCCAAACCCTTGCAAGCAAAAAACAAGCATGGTCCCCCTTCGATCCCGCATTTGGGGATTAATGGTACAAGTGCAAAAAAAAGGTCAAACAAGACCTATCGGGGAAATTCAGGAAGAAAAAAAATCGGGTCAAGCAAAAAGGCCGAAACGAAGAACAAGCAAGCAGATTATGTGCATGCAGTCTTTCTTACAGATTTAACTCATCTTGACTACTTACCTATTGCTTACTTACACCCGCCACCCGCCCCTCCCCCATGTAACTTACTCAAAAACTAATGCATCTTCAAACCAACGTGGCTCCTGTACTTAACATACGTTAGGTACATAAAAGAAGAGGGGGAGAGTGCGCCCGTATATTCCTTCCTTACTTATCAAGCAGCCCCCCTCCCCCCGCGCCCTTCCAATCGCCCAACCGGCAGTATTCCAGCCACATTGCATTGGCGGCTGATCGCATCTCCGGGTGCTGATTCGCTGGGGGGGCCATGAAGCGAAATGAAGCTACGATTACGCGCCGCTTTGCCTCTCGCGCCATGGAATTCATTCAAGGAAACAATCCCCTTCGCGTTCTTTTGTGTGTATGTTCTAGGGCGCAGGGCCGTGCTGCTTTTACCCTTTCTGAGAGATGTTGATGCGGTAAGAATCGCACATATGGGCTGTGTGGGCGGGGTGCGCGGGGCATGTGCGCGGGGGAGGTTTTATGTTATGTATGTACACTTGGTATAGAGAGAGAGAGAGAGAGAGAGAGAGAGAAAGAGAAGCATGTTCAAAAAAGGGAAATAGAAAGCGTGTGTGTGCACCGTGGTATACACAATCTGTATCTTGGGAACGGACGGAGATGCGTGCCGATCGCCAGGCTGATTACTTGCTTACACATAGAGAACAGGTACCAGGCATCGGGAAGCGAGCCTTGTCGCTTATGGGGAATTGGGAAAGCTGTGCTGGCACTGGGCAAGCAGAGAAAGGCAGATCGCCCGCTCATCGGAGGGGGATGCATGCTTGCGCTGTCCAGTCGGCCTCCCCCCCTCCCCCCCAAATCTGAAACACTTCTGCGGGTGATCTGGGTGCTTGACCGCACGTATGAAGTCATAATCGTAGGATTTTTTTAACCCCCTCCCCAAAAGCTGAAAAATATTCTGCCCCGTCAACGTGATCACATGCACATATTCTGAATTTGCCGTAATTGGACACATATCCACCGCGTCCACGTGCGGGACCACCCCCCTTGTCTCCGAAGGGGCCTTCGCGGAAAAAAACAAACACGGGAGGGGGGGAGGGGGGGGGGAGTAGGAAGCGCGCGAAGGGAGTGGGGATTTGGGGCCGCTCTCAACTCGTCGCCTTTTTCCCCCTAGGCTCGATTTCTCTCCCGCTCACTCGGATTCGCGTCCGTGTGTTTTTACAAGAACGGCTCTCTGTTTGACCCAAAGAAGTAAAAAGTCTAATTTTCCCTAACCGTCGCGTGTAAAAGTAAAGGGAACATCTCCGAGAACATGGTACGCCGGTGGTAAAAATCAATATTTCCTCCAACCTACACTGGCGTTTTGCCTTTTGTGAGCGAGCGAAGCGCGGGTATTGGCTTCTGGGATCGGTAGTCGTGCCGGCGCCGTGACTAGTAGGAAATAGATGCAACAATAGCCCCCCTCCAAGTGGTCACCGTTTTCCCATACTTTACCCAGCTCATAGTAACACTGCTAAAGGTCCTACCTGACTCATCGCGCCGGAACCCAATCCACCAAGCACGAGTAGCCTAATCTCCACGCAAACAAGACAAATCCACCTTCCATTCGTATGAGTTTTTAGCTTATGTGGAATAAGCCGTCATCTCAGCCGCCACTACATACATGTGTCACCTCAAAAATGCACTAAACTAATGGCTGATAAAGGCCGCATTTCAACCTAGAGAGAGAGAAATGTAGTTCAATCGACGTCTGGGCACGAACAAAGTATACAAATCTTACTAGTACGTGGTTTTTTTTGGACCGAGCCATTGCATGGCAAATCGTTCCGTTTGATCAACGGCCGCAGTCTGTCAATTAGCCCAGTGTACCAGTCCGTACTACGATCTGCAAACTACGGCTGACATGCTTCATTACTACGGTACCGTAGCAGTGGGGTGCAACCAGTCTAGAACTCGCAATGAGCTGATCTCTCGGTCATTCTACTAGGATTCTTCTGCTCCAAAGTGAGGCACCCACTCTGATATGCGAGGTGATGAAGATCGTTTGCGAGGGGTACGTATTTGTGTGGCGGTGCGACATGATCTTATCGTACCCTCGCCTCGGTACACCTACGTTATCCAAATGCCATATTTTGAGTGGCAAAAGCCGTGCTAACGCCATGCGTCATTCGAGTGCGAGAGGCAATTCTGATCTCTGACTCAGAGCTTGTGACGACCTGCATATTACAAGCGTACCGTATAGAGATAGAGTAGTGTGGCACGGTCTAGCGTTCGCGAGCCGTTGTGGCGAAGGCGAGGGTCCAGCCACACTACCTCGCCACTTGCCAGACTCGCTAGATTACACAACGCGTCGATCTCCGACTAGACCATTGCCCGCTCATTGGCTCATGCATAACCTTATACACTTACATATGTGATGTAGAGTTTACTACAACGTTACCAAGCTGCTTTCTGAACGCGAGCGTCGTCAATCAACACACTGCGCAATTCTATTGGATCCTCATGTATTCGCCACCGGCTCGACTAGCACCAGCAGGCTTTGCACACCTGACCGTGTATGCCGCCTCGGATTTCGCGTCCTGTTCTACTTCAGAGCCTGTGGCAAAAAAAAGAACAATGCTCAAGGGAATGAGCGCAAGTCCTCGTGCACGTTGCTCCCTACTAATGTTAAAGCATGGGGTTACAGGAATGCCGAGCAACGGCTATTCGGATAGTCTGGTTCTAGGTGTGTACCTAGTCCTTCATAGCCTGTGCATCCCCATAGAATCGTTAAGCATGGGTGCCGTGTGCCGCAATCCGTGTGTATATCATCAGACCACCCGTGCATGAGCGCTCGCATAAACAACCATAAACTGCGATGGTAAGGCTGTGGATTTGACGCAAGCGACAATCGGTAGGATGCGCACATGTTTCAAGTGTACGATAAGTGAGGAGACGACTCGGCAACAACACCGCCTACCAGGTTCAATCGGCCCGTTCTTACTCGACACCTGTTCTGTAATTGCCAGCGCATCCTCCACTCCCTGCTCCTTCGGTTTGTCTCTTCGGGCTCACGTGTGTCGTCGTCGTCGTGATTCGTGAGTGGCTTGCTGCAGTATGACATCAAGTTTCGGGCGCGCCATCCTTAGGGCCGGAACGTGTTTTTGGCGGCATCGGCTACTCTACCCACATTACCCGCCAGCCCCCCTCAATTTCTTACTTTCAGGGGCCCCCACTTGAGCGTAGAAGGATGCGATATGCCTGTTTCCGATGGCCTTTTCCTCATGCATTTGCGAATATGATGGCCATTATGAACGCCCTTGTTCCCCTTGAAGCTGATAATGCCAGAGCTGACGGTGCAAAGATGCACTCTTCTACCTCTCAGCCCAGTAAGCGCCCGTGGATAGCTTAATTTCCGGGGTTGGTGGTAGCGCGTCAAGGTTTAGAGGGTGCCAAGGCGTCGAGAGCATGCGAAGTGACATTTATGGATAAACCGTGATACGGAGACTTGCTCGGATAGAAAATGCTTCGTGGAGTAAAAGAATGTCACTATGTCGTAATGTTAGTGGAGTACGTACGTGCGTAGCATCCGGTCCAGCTTCGGTCGCACATCGTGCATTTTAAGACATGGATGATTTGAAAATTTAACGGAAAAGGAAAGAAAATCGGACATGTTGCGACAGTTCAAGGAGCGAAAAGACTTTGATTAGGCTTCCAGGGTAATCTGGGTATGTGCATTGTGGAAAACGAAGTAGCCCATGCTTGTTGTCTGTAACAGAGAGAGAAAAATTACAACCCCCAACGCGCCCTCCTCGTACTGCGTATGTGTATCTCGCCATGTGTTCGTAACAGATCGTCGATTTGCAATCTTAACCTCTGGGAAAGTTGGAATGGTAATGGTATAATGGGTATCGTCGTCGCACCGAAAAGAAGAATAGAAAGGTATAGGACATAGGAAACAAAAGCAATCGCTCAATTCAAGCGCGTCACTTGGCCAAGGGAGCGACATGCCAAACGGTCGAGTTGTGTGAAGCAATAGAAAAAAGCAAAAGTCATGGCGACTCGCGTCATGCGATGCGAGACTCCAAAAGACGAATGGTACGGGTCATTACGGTCGGTCGGTTGCCGAAAAAACAGGGTATCAAGGTGAAAAAGGAACGGCGCCTTACTCAGTGATAGGCAAAGAAAGCCTAGAAGAGAAGGCGTAGTTCGTAGCCAGTCGAATGGACGTTTTCGGTAACGCTGATATCTCCATCGACCTGAATGTCTGTAGGGCCGGCGTCCCACTCGCGCTTCATAGAATGCGCCGGAGGCGTGCCGATTTCGTGGAATTCAGCCGCCATATCCTGTTGCTCCGGTATCTTGCTGACTGCCTCATCGTCCATTAAGATTTGTAGTCCTTTCTGGTTAACACGGATGGTCCGTGTTACCTTGCTAGGCTCAATCTTGAGCTTCATTGCAATGCCAGTGACAAGCTCCTTGACAGTGCGATCCATAAGGTATACGGCTCGGAAATAGTTGTCCTCTGGCTGGCGACCAGCAAGCCTGGGCTGCACGAAAAAGCACGCAATTGGCTTGAGCAAGGGCTCCGGTGGTGGCTGGTACGTCTGGTCAACGCCAAGAGCTTCGATCCATCCAGAAAGCGTGTGATCGTCGGAATACGGTCGTTGGACTTTGGTTGGGACGTCTGCGCTTCCGTGCATATTGACCATGCCCTTGAGATCGCCTGTAGCGGTTTGCGGAAGATTTCGCCACTCGTTTGAAGACATGCGCGAGGGCGGTTGGAAGGGCTGCGGGCGTTGGAAAGAAGAGGCGCGACGTTTCTCCGACTGGAGAGATTGTGAGCTGGGAGTTGGGGATACCACAGACGAAGTCGATGTCTGCGGATCGTGCCCATCCCACATTTGTGCATCCATGTTGGTGTCCAGCTTGGAGAGATCATGGGACGATGCGCCCAAGACAACTGGATGCAGATCTGGGTCGTCCTGTGCTTCTCCTTTGAGATAGAGAACGCTGACAGGTCTGGTCGAGCTGAACATATCCTGCAAAGACGCCAGTTTGATATGAAGATCTTCTTCAGCTGGCGCGCGAGCTCCTTGGTTGTCGCTTGTCGAAGACATGGACCAAGTCCGCTTGTGCTTGGGCACCTTGCCGGGTCTTTGGCTCATGGTGCCTTTGGAAATCGAACCACTGCGCTTCCGCTTGCCAAAGTCTTTCATGCCAGACTCAACTTGCGCAATTTGCTGCTTGAGCTTGTCGATCGTCTTCTTGACGTGGGCAACATCGTTGGACAGTTTCCGCTCGGCGCCGTGGTCTCGGAAGAGCTTGACCTTGCAGTAGCAGAGCTCGGCTTCTGATCGCTGGGGCGATGATCCAGCAGTCTCCGTAATCAGCTCTGTCTTTGCGCAAAGTCGAACTGGGATGCCCTTAACACCTTTGGAATGGCTAAAGTCGGTAGAGAGGAAGTTGAAGCGCACAGCCAAGGAACACTCGGGCGACGCGTTGGGGACGGGTGTCCACGTTACCACGAAGCCGTCAAACGAGGATGATTCCAGTTCTACCCTGGGTCGGCCTTGGACTTCGCCGCCGCCAACTTGGCTCGGGTCAACAAATTCAACGGCTTGCAGACGTCCACCGCGTTGATGGGCTTCGTTTGTGCCTCGGCCTTCTTTCCATAGTTGCCAGCAGGATGCGGGTCGCTGGCGCTGTTGCTCGTCCTCGAATGAAATGCGAATAAAGGTCCTATACTTTAGAGATGGCGAAGGGGCCTGGAGTGGAGCCGTATCGACCAAGGAGATGGAGTAAGCTTGTCCCTTGTTTAGATACGTCACCGGGACCTCGTCTGGCTGCTTTACCATAGCTGTTGGCGCATTCAGAGTGACGTGGTATCGGAAGCTATCCAAGTTAGTAGGTATTCCGCAAAAATGACACGTGTTTTGCAACTCACTTTTGATTGGGTGGAGGGGGTGCAGATGCGACTGCAGATGCTATGCTGTCGTATGAATGGGGTGCGAAGCCTATGAGAGGCGATTGCTCTTGCATCTCGACTTCTGGCACCATATTGTCCATGGGCGAGTTCTCATGGGTTTGCGCTATGGGACGCTGGTCAAAGGCCGAGGGTTGGTGGGTGAATTGGTGGGGCGCAAATGACTGCGAATGCTGCGGCTGCATGCCAAAGGGATTGACATTTTGAAAGTGGTGAGAGCCGAGCGCATGGTGGTTGAAGCCGTGCAAGTGCGCAGTAGGTACGATCTGGCCGGCGTGGACTCCGCCTTCCGAGGTGGGCAGCGACAGCGGGGTGCCTAAGCCAAAGCTGAAGCCAGGCGTGTGCAGGTCGCCGGCCTGGCTGTGGTAGAGCGTGTTGGTGCCACCCGGAGTCGGGGTGTAGTAGCCAGGCGGCTGGTTTGCAAAGGACGTAAAGGCAAAACTGTTTGGGTCGAGCAGTGAGGGCGTAAACCTCCAGGGCTCATTGTTGCCGCGCGGAGTGGGGTCCTGGTCCTTGATGTCCTCATGGTTGTCAGGCTGGCTGTCGAGGGCATAAATGTTAGCAGTTGGGTGCATGACTTGGTTGACATTGACATGTCGGTGGTTGCGCGCAAATGCGTCCCGACGGATCGGAAATGCCATGTCGGGGAAGACGTACCGAGAGGGGTTGGCAATGTCCAAGACATCAGCGAGCGAGTGGCCTGGCGGCGCGGCGAGAGAATGCGAGCGCTGCTGGATGTGGGGGAAGTTTGCCTTGAAGTCTTCTAGCAGTTTCCCATCGGGCTTCTGGCTGTTCAGTCTGGGGGTGGGCAGTCAGCAGGCGGTCTTTGAGGTACAGAGGCAGCGTTTGAACGCGACGCGCGCAAATCACATGCGAGCTTGGGCATGGCGGCGTGCGTGACGTACCGATTTCGAAACATGGCATCGGGCTTTCACTCGGGCGATTAGCAGGATGGAGATTCGAGGAGCATCTGGTTGACGGGCAGTGTTTGGGTTGGCGCAGGTGGGGAGGGGGGGAGTTGAGGCTGGGAAGGAAGGAGGGAGCGAGGGAGAAGGTGAGGGAGCGAGGGAAGCAGCAGCAGCGTGGGAAGCGGATCTTGGGTTGATGAAACAGAGAGAGCAGCTGCCACGAGAAAGACGAGCCTGGGAGAGTCAAGCCACAGGCCGACGTCCAGGGCCGGTGGTCAGACGTCTTTTTAGCTAGCGACCTGCGCATCCACCATGGCCTTGACGGAATTGCTCGAGGGCCGCGCATGGGCAAGGGTGGAGCATCGGGTCTAGGCACACACACACACGCCTAGTAGACACATGCACATCCACACATCCACACATTCACATGGTCCCTGTGGGCCTGTTCTAACGCTGCCCTAGCTGGCTGCTGCTAGGCCAGATGTTGCTACTGCTGCTGCTCCACTGTGCGGCGCGACATGGGCCCAGCCGACAGACGCTGCTCTCATGCTCCTCCCCAGCACACGCACAAGCACACAAGCGCAGAGCCAGCCGCCTGCACAGCCACGGCCCTACGGCAGACGCGAGCCGCCCTCCAGTCGTGCTGTACCGCATCCGGCCCCGATTTGCGCTGCAGCTGTCGCCATCCCGCACAAGGGCCGCCGGAACATGCTGCTGGCCATTGACCGACGACATGGTACTGTATGTAGTGTAGTAGTAGTCGTAGTAGTAGTCTAGTCGGATGCCCATACTACTACACTACACTACATGCCTCCTCCTCCTCCTCCCCCCCTCGTCCAGCCAACATCCAGCCCAGCCCGCGGCGCACGGGGCCCCCATGGTGGCTTCACCAAGCCCTTCCGTGTGCATTGCCGTAATTTACTCGTCCAGAAAGCCCTCCGCTCGCGCGCTATGCCGTCTTGGTCGCCAGGCAATCGCATGGCGCCTACCGTGTGCGTTGGCTCCTCAATGCGAAATGACATATGCCGGCCAGGACCCCGTTTCCACTCGTCGACCGATGCTGGCTGCGCTGACGGCCCTGGTCCGCTGCCCTGCACTGCACTGCACTGCACTGCACTCGCTCCCATTCCACGCGACAGACGACGTCTCTGCCCGCTTGTCTTGCCCTGTCCATGTAGCAACCCCTCCCTGACCTGCTGCTATTGCTGCTATTCTGCTGCTGCTTCTGCCGCCAGCACTCCCCTGCGTTTGCGTGCCGGATCGGAGACGAGGTTCCACCCCGCCAATTCGCCTCGTCGCCATGCCTGCCTGCCTGTGCCCGCCCACCCACCAATCCCACAGCCGGCCGTTGGCGCCCTCTCGCTTGCCCCTAGCCAGCCTCGCTGCCTGCCCGCTACCCGCTTACTCGGAATGACCTTAATGCTCAACGTTATCCCATCACCTGTCAACCCGAGATTGACGACTGTGCTTTAGTGGGCGTTTGCCCGACGACTGAGCTGCACAGTCCATAAAAAAAAACCCCCATCTGCCATCCTGCCCATGTCGTCATCGCGCCGCCGCTCGGCCCTTTGGCTCCCTGGGCCCTTGCCTGGCCCCAGAGTGTCAAAGTTTCTTACCATCCCAGCAATTAAACGTCACTCTCTCCTGCGGTTACATCCACCGTCCCTCCTGGTTGGTCATTGCATCCAATGCTGACACTACCGGGCCAATCGCTCGCCTCCAGCAGTAGTCATTCGGCACCTGCAGTAGTCGTGGTAATGCCCATCTCTAGACTCCTCAATGCACACAAAAATAATTGTGGCAACTGTTGTTGCAGGTGCTGATCGGCAACGGGACGAGTCCCACCACTTACGCTGCTCCGCTTGCTGCTCTGCGCCGCAATCCCTCTCTCAATGTTTCCCCTAAGCCCGCACTGCCGTGCATGTGCATGCTTCTGATTCGCCCAACCCAGTGAACCTTCGCTGTGGCACAGACCCACTACTCGCCACACTCGCCACACTCGACGCCACATTTGCCGATCCATTTCCGCCCAGACAAGCAGATGCCGTCGAAACGCGTATGCTTGCAGCACGGTAACAGCCAACACGACGGAGTCTTCGTAGGGCTGGACGTTCACCACATGAGCTCATCCACCGTCAGTATTAGTCCGAGTCAAGACACCCCAAACTACACTACTCACTATTCCGCGCCGCGGTCTTTTTGTCCAATATTCAATGACCCTGTGTCTCTCCCCTGAAGCATGCATTAGCCACTTACACAATAACAAGGGGACAAGTCCAGAAACTTGTCCTTTCTCTCTCTGTCTTTTCCCTTTCCCGTACCACTGTGATGCCATAGACTTCCATCAATGTCCAAATAAAAACGCCTCGCCGTCATGGTACGGGAGGAGGAGGGGGGACAAACGTGATACACAGGAAACATTACCGCGAGTACGTAGTCAAACGTAAATCCCACGCGCGCCCCTTCTGATCTCAACTTCCTTCCCCCTTTGGCTACGGTTTACTCATCTCACTAGCTTGTCTGGCCACTAAGATTGGTTATTTACCTAGCAACTTGTAATTTCACTACCCATCCCCGATCGCATTCCGTCTCGTCCAGACCCTCTTGGTCTGTGACCAGCAGCCGCCCGGCAGTCAAACGCCTAGAATATCACCCGCCCCTCGTTTCATACTATCTTAGCCATTGCTTGTTGATACGTAGACCATAGAGCAGTGCAGAAGTTGGCCATGTTGAACCATTCTCCCCCCCCCCCTTCCTGTGTGACATACTTCATCATCCTCTCAGACCTCAGCGCTCCACCTTGTGCTACCGTCCAATCAATACTACACTGAGCTGCATAGATAAAACCACTCGCCATCCGTTGTCCATTACGCAAAACCCCTCATCCACTTGCTGCCATGTCCTCCGACCCTTCATCCTCACCTTCCCCCGAGCCTTGCCTCTTGTGCGCTGGCGCTGGCGCTGGCGGCATCATCGTCGATTTGGGACCACCAGTTTCGCCACGTGATGTATGATCTCCGGCCTTCCGTATACTCGCTGCTGCTCCGGCCTGGGAACCGCTGTCGAGTCCTGTGTCACTCGAGTCATCTCCCGAGACGGACAAACATGACCCTGTGCGCGAACTCTGAAGGGAGCTATTCCTGCTCGAGTCCCGTGGCTGAACCCTTCCACTCCCCACGTCCTCACGAAACGCTGTCAGCACACTAGACCGCGACCCACGACGGCTCTCTTGATACTTGCTGTTCATCAGCTCTGGATTTGATGTCGAGCTTCCTTGACGATTACGACTCAAGCTCAGGGCCGGGCTCGGGTTGTTTGACCTAGTGCCAAAGTCTGCGCTCAAGCTCTGTGTCAAACATCTTGACCTTTCTGACCGTGTTACGGGTGTGTAGCGTATGGCATGCGAGGAGACCTGCGCGACAGAGTCCTCAGGACCTTCATAGTGGATATAGATATCATCTAGCGTAGCTTCCTCAAAGAGGGCTTGTAGCTCGTCTGCCCCCGGCTCGAAAGAGAACTGTCGATGATGTCCTTGCTGCGTACTGAGCTGTGGTTGCGAATGGAACCTCCCTGCAATGCGCGTCTGTGTCACACCTTGTTCCAAAGGCTGTTTCTTGACATTGATATCTTGCAGGGCTACTGGGTCTGCATCTGCTTCATCATCGAGCACGACGGAGGGTTCTTCCGGCCTTGACTGTGAGAGTAGCATCATCAGTTTGTCATTGAAGCTGTCCGGCTGCAAGCCTCGTCGCCTTGCCACAAGCGTGCCAAGCTCACGGAGAGCGACAAAAGCATTACACTCGGTGGCTAGCTGCATGTTCGTCTGATGATGAAATGACGTCTCGTCTGATAGTGCATCACCGGATCCTCCCGAGAAGACAGAGGCAGCAGAATCCGTGACGGACGACGGCGGCCGAGTCTTGTGTATTGTAATCAATTCTAGCTCGCTCTGAACCTGGCATGAAAGCGTAGTTTTCTCCGAGTCAGGAGGAGTACCAACTAGTAATTCCGAACTGTCAGAGAACCGCTTAGATAGTACCGCCATCTTGCCGGAAGGGGACACCGGTCGGCCACGAAGTACTAGATGAGTTAGACTGACCCTGAACTCTTAGTGAGCCATCGTTTACAACTTGCCTTTCTCACTCAAACGGTTGGTTTCCGCGTCAAGCTTTTCTCCGGGGAGTAGCTTGTGGTCTTGTGCAAAGCTGTCGTGCGAGCTGGTCTTTCTGTGCCTCCACTGACGATCCACAACACTTGCCTGGCGCGCTTGCACAAGTCTACAATAATTAGACCAAGCTAGTCAGAGCGCAGCGCATATACTGACCCCGTCATGCCACTTGTACCGCGGGCTATGAGTAGCTCGAGCCGGCGTATCTCCGCATGATATCCATCTTCCGAATACGACCAACCTGCCTGTGCTTGTGACCAATCTCGAAGCGTCTCCTCTAGCAGTATCTCTAGGCGCTCCTTCTGGTCCCGAACCTTTTGATAATTCTCGAACACACGAAGCAGGCCACTGTGATGCTCTGTGGGTATTGGAGACGATGACCTGGTAATATGCAATCGAACGGACTGGGTCACAAGTAGTGGATCAACGTAGGCCTCGAACGGCCGTGGTGCCTCTTCATCCCATGGTTCTGAAAACTCGGGCGTTTTTGTAGTGTCCTTGAACGAGGAGAAAAGCGAGGTATATCGCGAGAGCTTTGGCTTAGAGTCTCGATACAACGCCGGCATCTCCAAACATTCACCCCGCCCATCTTCAATGTCTTCGACTGCAGTTCCTGCAGCCAGGGTACTCACCGGGGTTTGTGGTCTACTGCTGTGCAGTGTTTTTAGCCAGCTGGGTTGACGAGGTCTGTCACCTTGGTCTTCGGTAGCTGTGGAGCGTTCGCCGTCAGATCTGAGCGAAGAGACCTTGGGTTGCTTCTTGGGGTGTTTACTGTGACCTAGGCGCCAGCCCCTACCATCTGGCATGTTGTTTTCCTGTGCAAGCTCTCTTGATAGGTGAGTGGCTACAGAGAGCCCAGGGAGTTGCGCAACGTATAAGTCCATATCCTCGACAGATCACAATTGCCGGTTGAGTGATACTGCGGAAAGTGGTCGTGGTAAAGGTGATTGTGGTGATTGACGGGCAGGTGCTGCCGCGGGGCCAGCTTTCACCCTCACTACCCTGACTGACATCACTTAGGGCAGCTCACCTTCACCAAAGATGGCGCCAAAGCATGTGACGTCTATACGGCTGCCTAATTGTCGATTCTTGAGTGAAGCCAACTCTTCAACATCTTTACTACCCTCTGCAAGCATAGCCGTGTCATCGTTGCTCCTGCCGTCTTCTAGACTCAACCCAGCACCTCACGTTTGCACCGAGCCATGCACCCAAGCCTCCTCGATGAAAATTATGGGCGTCCAGAGGTCAAACAGCCATGAAAGCCGCACTAGAGCTTGCGTCATGTAAGGGTTTGGAAAGAAGGAAAGAATATTGCTAATGTTGAAAGGCGCACGAAGTGGCCAGGTGAGCGGTGCGATGTCCTGCAGTCCATTCAACGTTCCTTGGGAGCATACATACTGATGGCTACTTTACAAATTTGTGTGTTCGTTGCAACCACAAGCGACTATATTCATAAGTCGGGGTGTCTTGACGTTAAAATGGTTCGGCCCCAAAACGGCTAGATAGGTACACAGGTACTTAGTAGCGAAAGCTGGTCCACCAGGGCACTACACTCGAACCACTTGAACCTATACTTCATACTTGCATCGCAACAAGACGTCGTTAGCTTACGCGTATTCCTGATCCGGAGAATTATTAGGTCCATAATATATGCTACCTAAGGATTCGTTTGTATCGCATAGCCGCCTCCAGGATCGTTGCCAAGGGACATAATGTTCCGTGTTTCGGTTGAGTTTGAGTAGAGGTGCCGGACGGGCCAACGCCGCGGACGGGCCAACGCCGGATTTCTCCCCAACAGTACTATCACAAACTTGAAGCTGTAGAGCTCTACATAAAAGCTATTATCGCGAGAAACTCTAGTATAGTAATCTCGTAGTATTGTTTATTTGATCTATCTACTGATATTTGATTGGCAGCTTGATGGGGCGGCCTGAACGCGAGCGTGGTGATGGTGGTGCAGCTGATCGATTAGCTCGCTGCGCACCACCACTACTACTGCCAACGATAATATTCTTTGATGCTAGTTCAGTAGAGCGCTTGAAGGTAGGCTTCTTTCCCCTTTGTGAGATTTTGATAGCTTTCTGAAGTCGTTTGTGGGCGGCTTGGCGGGCTATCCGGTGGGCAGCTGCTTCAGCTTTCTGCCTCTCACGATCTAGTTTTGCCTGTGCCCGCGCCCGCCGTCGCGCATCTAGTTCTTGAGCTTTGAGTAGCTTTCTCTCCTCTCTAGCTTTAACCGCGATAGCTTTTTGGCGTTGTAACTCCTCATGATCGCGCTGTTTCTGCTCATATTGGCGGCGAGCTTCTCGCACCTTCCGTGGAGACCAGAAAAGTAGCTCCACCATGATAATCGTC